CAAACCAGGTAGGGCCGAACTGTTCTGACAATGCGTCCGGCCGCATGGGCCAAAACTGTTCTGACAATGCGTCCGGCCGCAGCAGCCTGCCCGGGTAGGGCTGAACTGTTGTGACAATGCGGCCGGCCACAGATGCCTGCCTGCCGTACTGCCAGGTGATGCACTGGAAACGAGAGAAAGAAAGAGTCAAAACTACTTATCGTATCCGTCTACTCCCCTGAGCCTCCTTTTTTCATGGCCCTGTGTATGTAGCATTATAGTGGGATAGCCTAGGAATGGCACCACAACCAGGATCCGTTCTACATGTATAGTGGCATGGCCACCACGAAACATCCCCATGTTGCCTGATGATTGCAGTGAGCATGAAACTCCTGTTTGCATCGAATTATCCTTGCTCCGCTGTTGTAACGCTACTGTGTACTACGCTCTGCCTTCATAGCATTGGAACATACTTCAGTATTCGGCAATATAGCCGTTCCCCGGACACTGTGCGTAGTAAGCATTTGTACGTCTTATCACAGACTACAATACTACTGTAAAAGTACAAATTTTCGTCGACGAAATCTTTCGTTGTTTCACTCCACCAGCAGGCTTGTTACGTACTAAATTTTCGTTTTTGGTCGAGATCTGTCACCCCTAACGTTCAGAAAAAAAACTTTAGTTTGGTACAAACTTCAGTTATTTCGTGCCCCAACGAATATAGCGAAAGTTAATTCCAAACAAAAATTTGTACTTATACGGTGTGGGCTATCCAGTGACTTTCTACTAGGGCTGAGTCGGGTAGCATTTTCTTCGGGCATCGGGTTCGGATAGTTTTCCACGAGTAGCACGGGTACCCGATCGGGTAATGTTTGCATGGTAACTCCACAATGCACCCCTTCCCTTGCACACTGGGTAGACATGCGGAGTATTACCGTAAAATCCCGCCAGAGCGCCCCTACCTCCTCGACGCTTCAGGTGGGGAGGGGCGGATGGGCGAGTCCTACTTGCCGCATTCAGTGCTACATGAAAAAGTACTTACCCTGGGTAGACATGCGGAGTATTACCGTAAAATCCCGCCAGAGCGCCCCTACCTCCTCGACGCTTCAGGTGGGGAGGGGCGGATGGGCGAGTCCTACTTGCCGCATTCAGTGCTACATGAAAAAGTACTTACCCTACGAAAACTGTTCGTGCATCTCGTACACCGGCCAAAGGTCAAGAACCAGGAGTCGTACAGACCCGTTAAAACTCAGGGTTTGTGCGATCCCTGGTCAAGAGGGTGGGCACTGTTGCGTACATTTCCAATGGGGTCGAGTACTCGTCTGCAGTACAGTACGGCATCACAGACTGTGATAGAGTCATACGAGGATACAGCCAATCACGTCCCTGACAAGAAGTCAGGGAGGGGTGGATAGGAGGGGGGGGGGGGCTCTGGCGGGATTTTACGGTACATGAATTTGCATACGTGCACTGTACATGTACTTGATGTCATCTGCGACATCGGGTTTTCGGGTACTATTCTGTACCCGTCTACCCGAGGTCCTCACGGGTAGCACGGGTACCCGACTACTCGTGCACACCACTACTTTCTACAAATACTGTGGTGTGTGTCTGGGTGTGTGTCTGGGTGTGTGTGTGTGTGTGCGCGTGCGCGTGTGCGTGCCTGTGTGTGTCTGTGTGTGTCTGTGTGTATGCCTGTGTGTGTGTGTGTCTGTGTGTGTGTGGTGGTGGTGGGGGATATGTGTGTGTGTGTGTCCGTGTGTGTCCGTGCATGTGTTGATATATGTTTGTACGGGCGCATGTGGGTGCTTGTCATGTGTGTGTGTGTGTGTGTGTGTGTGTGTGTGCGTGCGGGCGCGCGCGTGCATGCAAACCATTGATTAGACTTTCCACCGGGTGTCGCTGCCAACTTTATGATGGCAACACGAGCGCTGTTGTCCCGTACTCGGTCTGCCCGTCACCGCCATACCACTGTCCATGATGTAGCACTGTGAGTCTTGTCGTGTTTTTGCAACACTTTCACATCAACTCGCTGTGATGCATACATCATCATCGTGATGCATACACTCGCGTTAAAAACCTGGCCCATTCTTGTGCAGTCTGTAGTGAGGCCTACGCTTGTATTTCAATACCTAATCAGGTCTACCGTAAGGTTCCGTGTATACGCCCACTCGAAATAACACCCATGCCCGAAATAACGCCCATCGAATCGACATCCACACTCAAAGCCTGTGAGTTCGCCCATGCCCAAAAACCGCCCAGGGTGATACTGTACCCGTGTATGCGTGTGTGTGCAAAATGTTATGCATGCTTATGAAAACGCAAGCGATGCAGTATGCACCTTGTATAGGCCCAGCCCTGAAATAACGCCCATGCCCAAGTATACGCCCAGTTTTCAGGCCCTTGTTCTGTATACGCCTGGGGCTTATTAACGGAACTTTACGGTATGTCTCTCTTGCTGTGTCAATTGACACTCTTAGCAATCAACGGTAACGCTTTTTTTTGCGATACTCGTACCTTGATCACCCAAATAGCGTTAAAGCTGCAACGTAAAAACGTTATGGAGGCTGATTTATCGTTGTGACAAACGGTACGTTTTGTGGCCAAATATTGCTTAGTGCGTACCCATTTCACCTTGTATCGCGTGTATGGCGCCATAAATGCTATACTGTAAATGATGAAAATGTAGCGAACAAATAAATCTAACGAGTGAAGATTTGTCGTTATTTTAAAATTCGTTAGTTAAAGTCGTATCCATTTGGGCCTCGCACGATTGAAATTGATCGTTTCATACTATGGCATGCAGTGCGTGTTCAACGGATCGTAACTCGGTCAATTCCCAACCGAATTTAACAATCGAACGACCTAGATGATAGCAGAGACGCTCAGCCGTCGGCTCGAACAACTCCGAAGTCTCTCAGATGAATTTTGACGAAGCGGCAAGAGATCGAAACATTTTGAATATTTTACGCTCTTGTGCTGGGTAAATTTCTCCTCAGATCGATGTCTTGCTTCTCAAGATCGTGTCGCAACGGCGCTCCTGGTATACTGTGGTGGACAACAATGGATGCCCTTGACGAGTTTAAGTTCGTTGTAATACCCTCTCCAAGAACTTTCCAAGGAGCCCAAGATGGTCAAAATTGGTGAAGTGGAACCAATGTTATGATGGGAAATCTAACGATGCGCACTCAAAATGCAGGAATTATTTTCTTGTTCTGGTCATTTCAGTGGGGGCCCCGAAGAGTTCAAGGTATCATCAAGAGTGTAATCTACTCTTGGTATCATTCCTACTGACTGACTACCTGCAATCAGTCTGAGAAAATCGTTAACTTTTCAAACCGTTAACCTTTGAAAATCAGAAAATCGTTAACTTTGCTGGTCGTTAAAATAATACGATTTACAGTAAATAAAGGCTATACTCATGGCAACAGCGTACTAAAATTAGCGTGCATCTTGCTGAAGGTGGAACCCAAATCTCGGTATTTTTCCCCTTACGGTAATACCGTTACAACTTAACGTTTTTTGCTAAGGTGTCTAGTAGTAATAAACCCACGCTCATGTACCGAATGTCATCTTGAAAATCGGGCTTGTATTGAAATCAGTCTCCTCTATGAGTTAGGCTTTTGCCACAGGTGAAGCAATTACCGTATTTGCCAGAGTATAAAGCACACCTTAGTATAATGCGCACCTCCTTTTTTTTGCAACATTTTGGCAGCTCAAGTTCTATCCGGAGTATAATGGGCAGCCTAGATTTGAGTGCAAAATCGATCATTAAGACGGTAGTATAGTGCGAGCATTGCCAGAATTTATTATGAACTTGTTGATGTGTACATTTGTATATTGCACGCACTACCGATGGGACCTCATACCCATCAATCATGCATTAGCAGTGTAGCTGGCAGTAGACACTGGAAATGCACACCGTCACATATGGCTTGCACCAGATCAGAGGTGACAAACTTTGCAACAGTTTGATGCATTGCACTACTTTTTTGAAGTACCGGTAAGGCCACACCAAGTTAATTCTATGTTTCGCGTCGGACATTTTCTGGAAAAGGCACGCGGGCGGAAAAAAAAACAGAGGAAAAACAAAACTCCATTCTATGTGTACTGAGCCATGTTGCACACAGAATAGCACTACTAAAACTGTCACTAATAAGTAATATCAAGAGTACATAACCCCAAGAGTGTGCAACTCCAGCTATGGGGTCTGCGACGGCAGAACTTCACATCACGTGATGAACCCGTGCACTCTGTGCATGATAGATACAGTGGTCCCTCTATAATCCGGCACCATTTGTACCACGAAAATCTGCTGGATAAGGGAGGGTGCTGGATTAACAAATCTGATTTACTGCTGCAATGTACATGAAGAGGACATTTTGGCTACTGAAAATTGTGCTGGTTTATCGAGGGTGCTGGATTATAAAGTGCCGGATTAGAGAGGGACGACTGTACTGGGTTGTACGCAGCCCAGCTTTGGGTACAACTCTCTTGTGGTCACTTTGCACCAGGGAGTCGTAAAATATTATTATTAGTATTTTACGACTCCCTGCTTTGCACTGTTTGCCAGCATAACCTTTTGAACCATGTCACGTGATGTGAAGTTCTGCCGTCGCAGCACAACATAGAGGTTGTGCAGGCAGTTGCACACTCTTGGGGTTATGTACTCTTGGTATCACCAAGAGTACATAACTTGTACTCTTGATATTATTTATTAGTGACAGTTTCATGTACTCTTGGTAATATCCAAAACGACAGCAAGTCACTACAGGACAGCGGGAAGCCTGCGCTGGAGCGATACAATAACCAATTTCATGGATGGCTCCTTCTGCACTTTGACATGAGTCGAGTGGAATTCCGCTTTATCACGATCGTGGCTCCATCACGATCGTGGAAAATCTCGAAGTCCTTGACACCTGGAATCTTCGCTCGCTTGGTGAGCAGGCCCTACTGTACGGCTAGGAAAAATAGAAATAAAAAATAAAATAAATTGTCATAGCTCGCACCTTCTACGTACCATCGCCTGGAATGCAAGATTATGGAGAAGCTGGTAACCTCTGATCTGCCATACTGGCTAGAGAATGTTCGCCAGAACAGCCATCGATTGACTTGTCTCGGATCTTTTTTTTCTTGTCAAGGATTCGAAAAGGTTCGCGCGCGGTAACGTGAAACATAGAAATAACTTGGTGTGGCCTAAGTGCAATTTCATTTTCGGAGCATAATGCGCCTCTGTCATTTGGCGCCTAAAACCGTGCATCTAGAGTGCGCACTATACTCCGGCTAATACGGTATGCCGATCGCCGTTGATACCTTCTCTTTAGTGTCCGTCCCCTCTCGATTTTCCGCCGGTGAAGCGACCTCGGCGTGCTACAGTCCATTCATAAAAAGATGGGTCCTGGCTCTTGTGAGCTCCCGTATTTGGCGATTTTTCGTGATTTCATCGTACACAGTGCAGTACTGCACCCTATTAAATTTGAAAAAGGGTCCAAAAGGGTACCTGAAGTGCGGTTCGAACCGCACAATGCACTGTTGCACGCGGGGTCAAGCGGCCTGGATTTTTATGGGTTTTCCCAATTCAGTGCTTTTGGGGCAAAACCTGGCCGAAATTCTTTTCTTGTTATGGCTTGCTTTTTGGACAAAAAAACTTCAGAAACAAGAGGATTCCATAGGGGATTACAGAAAAAACTTTAAAAAAAACTCAAAGTTTGACCCATTTATGGCCAAAAATAGAAGTCAATCTTTTTCTGAATGGACTGTAGTGTGCGCCAAGATACGGTGGTGATCCAACGTGTGCACTGCTGTACACACGAGGGGTGAAACAACTGAGTTTCTTCTGGATGGTGCCCTTCTGTTATGTGCAGGCAGTGCATGTGCAGGCAGTGCATGTGCAGGCTGTATTCATTCAGAGTGTTGAGCTTGCTCTCGTTGCTTCTCATTCTACCATCTCTCTCTCTCTCTCTCTCTCTCTCTCTCTCTCTCTCTCTCTCTCTCTTTCTCTCTCTCTCTCTCTCTCTCTCTCTCTCTCTCTCTCTCTTTCTCTCTCTCTCTCTCTCTCTCTCTCTCTCTCTCTCTCTCTCTCTCTCTCTCTCTCTCTCTCTCTCTCTCTCTGTACAGGCACATTGTTCATGGCGACCGTAGCTTGGCAAGGGATGTGGTGATAAAGGCGGGCTTGCAGGACGGCCAGTATCTGTCAACGTTCTCGCCGTCCGACTGGCTGCAGCTGGCGTTCAGTTGCGAGGAGCTGGCTTTCGACGAGTTTGACGCGATGTGTGGCAGCCAGTCCAAGGCCGCGTCCACTGCTCTTGACTTGAGCGCGACTTCATAGTTCTGCTGGTGGAGCTATAGAATACAATGAAAGGCGCTGGATTGCCTGCAGCAACCCATATGCGCGGAATGTAGTCGAGATGGCTGTTTGCTTTCCGTTCTTTTCCGCAATGGGAGAACTTTGACAGTGATGACTGGGTGTGGTGCTCCTTCTGCTACCGATAATCTGTTTTCTTCTTCTGTTGACTCCTGACTGGGCAGTGCTGCAGTGTCTTTCTCCGCTGACAAGGTGTGACTTAGACCGACACGTGACGTCAGCTACGTTCCCTTGTGCTACTACTATTGCTGCTGCGGTTGCTGTTGCTGCTGCTGTCAATGTGCCAGTACTGGCACTGGCGTATCCAGAACCCGCCGCTGCAGCAGCAGTGGCTGTGTGTACAGTCACTGACAATTGACTAAACTAATTACTTGGACTTTATTGTCACGAGTGCAGGCATTCTGTTACATCTTTGCTAAAAACAGGTTCAACTGATGCTAGTGGAATGGTGGGGAGGAGGGCTACAATGGCCTGAGCGGCTAGGCTACTCGCCCACAGCACAGATGTGAGCACCACTTTGCATGCAGTGTTGATTTTGCCTCATACCCCACCCTGTGACCCCAATCTCGTCTCTCAATATCTACATGTACATGCAGTGTTTCATCACACAGCCATCACCATTGTTGTTGTAAACCTGCTAGCACAAAGCCCACCCTGAAGTCCAGTGTCTGGTAAGATAACATGAGGGGGGGGGGGGGGGGGGGCATCATAAAGACACAACTTCTTGCTGCTCACCAGTGCTGTTGTTGCATCAAGAGTACCGTACTGATTGTGACTACTGACTAGTATTACTTGATATTAGACGTGGTTTAGCATGTTACCGTTCACGCTCACTTTCACCGTCGGCCTGTACCGTTTTTGACTTTTTGTGTCTTTCCAAGACATGGTTAGCATTTCTGTTTCTGACATAACGATCAGCTTGTGACGTCGGCCTGGTTGGAATCGTGCCGTTTCGTTCTCCCGGTAAACAGAGACTTCTAGTTCTATCGTCGAAACGATACCGAACCGACGGTATTTTGGGTGCTAGGCACAAGTACCGTGGGATTCAGCGTAAACGGTAAAATGCTAACCAAAGTAACCATGCCTATTACCTGTGAAGCGTGCGCTCAAAGAAGATTTTGTATTTCATTCAGGAGCAGTACACATGTGCATGAACGTTTGGACCGTTTCTACTGCATGTACTACCAAGAGTGGATACCCCCCAGGGGTTACAACCGTTACCTGGTTACATGCTCTTGCTACCAGGGACTAGTACAATCAAGAGTACATAACCCCCCAGAGTGTGCAACGTCTGATCCAGCTCTGCATAGGGTCTTGGTCGAGCGGAATCGGATCTTTGCGTCATAATACCGTACACATCTGAGGGGAACCCGGGGAGTCGCGGGTACTCTTGGATCAAAAACAATGGTGCCCTGCCTCGAGACCGGCCTTGCGCTGGTGTGAAGTGTACGCATGACATCAGAAGATCCGATTCCGCTCGACCAAGACCCTACACAGAGCTGGATCGGCGTTGCACACTCTGGGGGGTTATGTACTCTTGGTACAATATGGTATTGTACTACTACTAGTATACTCCCTGCTTGCTACTACACAGTTTGTAGGAAGTTGAAGATGGTCGTGCTCGTGCTTTCTTGCATGTGCTTTAGCATGCACGATTTGACTTTTTATCAGGTTCGGCCTCATTTTCTCTGTTCAGGCCTACTTGCAGTCTGTCCAACCTTGCCACCACTCCAAAGCAGGGCACCTATAAAAATGTACACAAAGGCAATTGTCGCCCATGTAAATGTATGCAAATGTTTTGGTCCAAAGCAGGGCCGGCTGTCCTGCTCAAATCAGGAGTGATTTGACTTTGTATAAAATTTTATGCATGTACTATGCCACACACAGCTGATCAGGCCATGCAGGTCGTTTATACATGTAATGTCATTGGTAGATCTACGTATCGCGATTGCAGGCGCGTAGCACTGCCGTTGGAGGTGGTCCGGTTGGAGGGCGTCTGGGGGTGTCCCCCGGGAAATTTTTAAAATTAGGGTGCAACATCCTGCATTCTGGGCACTTCTGGGTGAAAAAGTGGTCCGGCCAAAGCCTGACCGGCCGGACCGGCTGCTACGCCCCTGGATTGCATGTACACGGGTTCCCATAATACCGTACTACACTGTAGTACTGGTACCGTAACCACGGACGTGGCATTAATCTGTCCCTCCAGGAAATCGCGATTCCACGGATGCAACAAATTTCGCGATTTTCGCCCAAACCCGCGATTTTCAGCAAAATCCGGGATTTCCCGCGTTTTTGTTGTTTTCTGCACTATATCTCACTTTTTCTGCACTTTTCACGCAGTGCTTTCCATGATCCTGTAGGTTATTTGCACTCGTACTACTCCCGAGTAGATATACGATGCCACAAATTGCGTGATTTGGCCCAAATCTGCAATTTTCTGTAAATAATCCCGCGAATTCCTGGCAAGTTCTGCATCGTTCCGCACTTTTCGTCGCATTTTTTGTTGTATTCTGCCGCAATTTCTTGCGCAAGTTTTCGAGAGTTTTTTCCGCAAATTCCCGCAGGAACAGATTAATCATGCACCGGTCTTTGCCGCGGACTCAGCTGCTCTTGTTGTTACATGTTGCCGAGGTCACTCCCCTGTTGAGGTTGATGGCCGTGCTCATTATAATTATCATGTTCTCATAATTTCTGTTTTTCGTGTCATTCTTCCTTCTTGTGTTTGTTTGTTCTCCTCTAGTTTTCTTATTTTCCCGGAGAAGGTGGAGAGCCGGAACGCAGAACCTTTAATTTTTAATTTTTTCTTTAATTTATATTTACTTTTTTTTACCAGGCGTGGGCGCGGGCCATCCCCGCGGCCCGGCCGGTGTAAACGCGAAAACGGTTCCTCCGCGAAAATGGTTCCAGGCATACACCGGTTTCCCCCTGGAATCCACAGCCCACTAATTTCTGATGTATGACTAGCCGGGCTAGCCGCGAAAACGGTTTCAGGGATTAATTTTCTGGTGTAGGACCATCCGCGAAAACGGTTCCAGGCAACTGCGACCACTGTCTACTGTGGAACCGTTTTCGCGGACTGCAGCAACTGGGATCATCCGCGAAAACGGTTCCAGGCTCCAGTCTGTACATCCTTGACTGCTCCAGTACTGTCTGAGAAACTATTCGAAGACTTTTGTGACTGCTGCTTTCCATTGCCTTTGTAGAGAATCACTCGCGATGGCCGAGGTATTTATGAGAGTTTGTGACTGTTGCTTTCCATTGCCATTGTAGAGAATGAATCACTCGCGATGGCCGAGATAATTAATAAATGAGAGTTTGTGAGAATTCTTATTTTATGGCTTTCCTCTCAGACCTTCCAATTTTTCAGTAGCTGTACTGCTGGCACTTGGCTTGGAGACATTTAGCAGGATTTGTGAGAACCTATACAGCTGGTACTTCAGTACATGGCTACCTGAACATTGATGGACATCTCGATTTGGTTTGTAGATGCAAATCATCGACAGCGTTCGTATCGCTTATACAATAGAGAGTCAATACAGATGGCCGAGACATTTAGCATAATTTGTGAGATATTAACCTGTACAGCTAGTACTTCAGTACATGGCTAGGTGAAGTATGGAGATTATCGAGATCTGGATTTGATTTCTGGATGTGAATCACCGTCAGCACTTATCAAGCCATCCATGCAGTACACCTACGTGAAGAACTCCTCAAGTCATGTATGTTGTACGCCTACGTGAAGAACTTAGTGGAGCTAGTGGAGCTGCAGCATACTCTAACATCTTGGCTGTGTCTGTGTCTGGCCAGAAAGCTAGAGATTGCCTGGGACCCGCTCCCTCTACAAGAGGTCAGAGCTGGTGTCCAAGTGTCGTCATGAGAACAAGTTCTACCTAGCTTTGTAATCACGCTACCTGCTTTGTGTGTGGGTGAGGGTGTGTGTCTGCGGCTGTGACTTTCGCTGTCCGAATGACTTATCCGGACACAAGAATTACTGTGGGAGAGACGGAGTGTGTCAGGGAGCGAGTCCAGGAACATTACCGAGAAGCGAGAGCCTGTGCACCGCAGAAGCCCTGGGGAGAGCACTGCGCATTGCACCAACCACTACAACATCCATCCACAGCGCCATTCATTCACATCACCATCCATACTCGCAACGGAAGTGTCATACGTGAACCGCCGGATAAGGGAGGCAATCCACATCTCCAGACACCATCCTAAGGTGAACCGTGATCGTGGCTGGGTGTTGCTTGACAATTGACAATGTGAAAAATTGGATGATCATTGTTTCTGTTGCCACTGTCCTGTCCTGTTGTCATGTGTGCTTGTTCACGCCATTGTTATATACCGGTAGTTCAGCACAATGTTGTAGTGTAAGTGTAGTTTGGCGACGGAATCTCATCTCCTTTTCTTTTCTTTTGTCATAGTCCCACCACTACTCACACCTTGTTTTCAGGCACATTGGTATTTTTTGTGTGTGTCTTTAGTTACACGTGTTTGGGTGTGATTTGGAGTGTGAGTGAGTGTTGGTGCGATTGTGAGTGGGTGTCTCAGTGTTTTGGCATGTGCATGGGTATATGTGTGTGCCTGTGCCGAAAGGATGGTGCAATTTTATCACGTATGGTGTAGTTTCGTTCCACTTTGTGTTGCCTGTTATAGGTCCACCTCACTTGTTTTTTCTCCTCAATCCTGATGATGGCTCCTGGCCGAAAATTTGATTGAGAATTATTGTAATTGTAATGCTTGCTAATAGCTACTACAGTAGTAGTTGTTATTAGCTCTATACAATGTGATGAATCTGGAAAGGCGATTGTCTTCCATTGATTATTGGACTAAATTGGTCTACAGTAGTCGCGCGCTGAACAACGCGGAGCCCAAGAACGTCCAGCCTGAAATACTAAGAACGCCACAGCCTAAAGCTAAGAACGGCGGTATTGGTTTTCTGGGAGCTTGTGAGATACATATGATTCAGTGCGGAGTTGTTTCTAAGAATGTGTTATGAACGCAGCCAGATTGCTGAAAAATAAGAACGTCCCAGGCTGACCCATTGGAAACAACGTTCTTGGGCGCGCGACTCTACTGTAACGTGAACGTACATGTATACCACCCAATGAACACCCAACCGAGGATGTTCACACCCACTGGGTTATGGACACCTGTACAATGTGCATACTTTAGTGTCTTGTATTTAAAAAGCCTGTCTTGTATAGTCAATAGAAGCCTGGTTTCCATGCTGACATACAAATAAATACCTGGTTGAAGTATAAGCCTGATACACAATACACGACATTACGGTACATGCATACACCCTTCTGTAAAATGTACATGCATCCACACCAGATATACATGACTATGCATGTCACAACGCCATTCAAACGTATAGAAGAAGAAAACCGTACTTTGCCAATAAAGAAAGACACCAGTTTAAACAAAGAATAAGAATATTATAGTCGTGGATAGTTGCTGCATAACTCGTTCTCATGTATTTCTTCTCTTTTTTACATTTATAACTGGCTCAGTATCCGAGTTTAAATATAAAGGAAGTGTACAATAATTGCTCGGATACAAATGTAAAATAGAAGAAAAACACTACGGAACGAGTGATGAAGCAACTATCCATGGCTGTAACAAGATAATAAGCAGTCAGAAAGTGCGCTAACAGGGCACAAAACTGAATGTCTCAGTAGCCTGTCAGTTGTGTGCCCTGTTATCGCACTTTCTGCCTATTATCTTGTTACAGTCGTGGATAATTGCTTCATAACTCGTTCCCTAGTGTTTTTCTTCTATTTTACATAGAATAATTGCAACAATGTGTCCAGTACAGAGAATGTGTCGAAAATGAAGGAGTCATAAAGGATCAAATCTGCTCTTTCAGAGTTAAAATAAAGTTACAGTCAGAAGACACAGAAGCACATCATACACATACCCAATAAATAAAAAAATAAATTCGACGGGTTCGCGTACCCGGCAGGTCAAGAACAAGGAGTCGTACAACTCCCTGGTCAAGAACCACCTTTCCGCTTCCGTGGGACGCCACCACCCCATGATCAGGCGTCAGATGCGGCTCCTAAACGGTGGGGAGGATAGATCAGATCCACCAAGCAGAGGCCAAAGGCCTCAATCCCATACACATACCTAAGAATCATATAACTACAATATGAACAAAGCAAATGTTAGGTCCTAAATACACATCACTGGCTGAAAGTGAAAGCCTAAGAAAGTGGTGGGATTTAGCCCAATGTAACACACGATAGATGCATTCAAGACTTCTATGGCGTGCTACAATGGTTACCAGGTACAACCACGAGGAGGTACCCACCAATTGTACCCATTTTTTGGCGCCAGTTACCATGCAATCCACATCGGAGGAAGGACAAGTAGGCTAAAGGAAAACACAAACAAACTACTTTTTGGGCATGCTACAAAGATTAGGTTGAAAGCTCACGACGCACTAATGAAAAGTGCATAAAATGCGCACTGGGCAAGGTCAACTTACATCAGCTTCTTCCGCTCCTTGCTGAACGGAGTCTGCCGAAACTACCACACCATCCACATCGGAGGAAGGACAAGTCGGCTAAAGGGAAACACAAACAACAAACTACTTTTGGGCATGCTGCAAAGACTACTGTAAAAGCCATTATTCTAACGAGGCACATATATACCGATTTCCCAAAAAATTACTGGTCTACGTGTACCAAAGGTAACGATTCTCACTTATTCTCAACGCTCAATAGGACAGTATAATTATTATGTATCGATTTCTGTATAACGATTTCTATTTTAACGACAGATTTCTCCTCGTTAACTCGTTAGAGTTATTATTAATATTATTTAAAGAGTCGGCGTGGAGAAAGCAATTTTATTAGTGCAATTAGGAGTATAATAGATGCAGACATGGCCAGACAACAACGAGTTCATGGAATTTTTAAGGATTTTTATGTTATTCAAAATAGATTTTCGTGTTCCGCTCATCAGTGAATAGTATCGGAACTGAGGGTACTGTGTACAAAAATAGAACATTTTATAACAGCATAATTAAAAGTGTGAACAAAAAAGGAAGTGCTACAGCATTACATAATAGGTGTCAAACATAGTGCTAACATATTATAACTGAGTGCAGGCACAAAGCATGAGGTGATACAGTGCAACATGACACAACATTTACATCTGATAACCAGCTATGAGAACAACTTAAGCGCGACTACATGCTTCTTTTGTTTACAAAGAACAGGATTATGCACACGAATACATACAGCTTCCAGAACCTTCAACTGCTTAACATAACTTGCACGGCACAAAACAGAAAATGTAATGCTGTAGCACTTCCTTTTTTGTTCACACTTTTATTTATGCTGTTATAAAATGTTCTATTTTTGTACACAGTACCCTCAGTTCCGATACTATTCACTGATGAGCGGAACACGAAAATCGATTTTGAATAACATAAAAATCCTTAAAAATTCCATGAACTCGTTGTTGTCTGGCCATGTCTGCATCTATTATACTCCTAATTGCACTAATTAATATTATTATTACGAAGTAGTGGTTGCGACTTCGGCGATGATTTGTAAGAAAGGGTTTGAATTTTCCTTTGTTCAAGCACTGCACTTGCAGGCAAATGAAACGTCATCAAAAAGTGTGGAGCACGACCGCGGTACCGCGAATGGCGAGTGTCAGTGGAACCGCGCTGCTCCGCTGCATGTACCGCGGAGCAGCGGAGCCGCAGTGGAACCCGGGCCTTAGGCTGTGTTAACATGAGAATTTTCAACCCGGGTTGAAAGTCTGTACAGTCATGTATGGTGGAAAATTAGGTGCGTGCTTACATGTATACGAAGTGAGTTAATCCGGGTCAATTACTGTACTGATATGCCAACAGAAGCCTTGTCAGTTGTGGTCAGTTTTGTGTGTGGGCCTTCATGAAGACGGTTGAAAGTAATAATAATTAAATGTGGTGCACTAACTCCCTTACTTACACCACACACTACCATTCTTTCGACTTTCACTGATTTGAGACTGAAAATAAATAAATCCAAGTAATATTAGTTACTCACCTCTCACAGACCTTCCTCCTCTCTTATCACGGCCAAGGTGACCAGACATATCATACGAGTGGCATGGATGCAAGATCTCCTTTTGTTGGCCGTCGTCTGTGATCCATTGTGGTAGGCCTTCATCTGTTTGGCGAAAAAGGACCCCACGATCCAAGACGAAGTTGACTGCAAAGCGTTTTATTGCTCTACGCCTCTTCGCGTCCGCAGGAAACGAGGCAGGCGTTTGCAAGCAACGCTTGCAAGACTTCGTCGTAACACGCCCGATTACCACCAAGATCAATGCAAGAGAAGACATCTTCAGGACGTTTTGAAGAAGAAAAAACCGAAAGCACAACTCATGATTGGGAACTGATTTCGCGGATGCATGTCGATCCGCGAAAACGGTCCATAGATGCAGGAAATGTGTGGAACCGTTTTCGCGGAGGAACCGTTTTCGCGGCTAGCTGGAACCGTTTTCGCGGTGAGGCCCCATCCGCGAAAACGGTTCCAAGAGGGCCATAGATGCAGGAAATGTGTGGAAGAACCGTTTTCGCGGAGGAACTGTTTTCGCGGCTAGGGTGGAACCGTTTTCGCTAGCGAAAACGGTTCCAGGGGGTAACCGGTGTATGCCTGGAACCATTTTCGCGGAGGAACCGTTTTCGCGTTTACACCGGCCCCTGATCATACTCATAGGTGCCAAACATTTTACGTTTTTCAGAACAATAAAATACCGTAAATTTTTTTAATCACCAGCTAGATCTAGTACACGGCGTGGGGAAGCCTGAGCCGGAGGTAGTAAGGCCGCCCATTATCCTGGGATGTAACCGCGATACTACAGTACCGGTATCGATTTGTGAACTAGCCTCGCCGATCGACGTTGAACATTGCAACAACTGCTGCACATGCCTTCCGACGATGACTGAGTTCCGTCCGACACTGGCGCATGCGCATGGGGCAGTCAACAACAGTGATATTCTAGTACTACATGACTGTATTGGTTAGTGTCAAGAGTCCTACAACTATCTGACTATTACTTGTACGTGAGTAGACTACTCTTGATGTACAGCCTCCACGACAACCAACGTTGCAACAGGCAACACTGGAGAGGAAGCTGCTGAAAAATAGCTCACTCGCGCGGCTCTCTCGTGTGAACTGATCTGCTACCTACATACGACTCGTAGTCATTGTACAGTGTACCTCCGGCGGTCCTCCGCCCCGCCTCGTATGCGGTAGGCCATATATGCATAGGGTCTACAACGCTCTACAACAGTACAAGTTAGTTGTACCATACCGTTGATACGGTTACTTGCAAGACCGGGCCGGGCCGATCCCCCGAGTCCGAGGCTGCAGAAATAGAGTTACAGCATTGAGCAATGAGATCAAAGCAAAGGCAAGAAATGTACAGCGTTGAAGGGCAATAGTTGAGCACACGTTCACTGTGCCTTGCTGTCCATGGCAAAGGAAACCAAATACTATTATTATTTATTCTTCTTTTACTAGGGAATTCCCAACAGGCGTCAGCGCCTTTTTACAGGGAACCCTAGGTAAAATTTGATGGATGAGCGAAATTCAGCAGCAGCGAGTCCCGCGGACCGGCCTTTTTTGCAACCGTACTTTTGGCTCGTATCCATCGCACCCGACCGTACCCGTATGAGTACAAAGTACATGGATGCGCGCCCGACCCGCTAGGAGATCTATGTGACGTGCACGCGTGAGGAGTGACCTGACATGACGCATGCATCCTTCCAGTGCATTCGTGCATTCCCCTCCTCCTAGATCCTATGCCTATGCCTCCTCTGCCATACTGCACTTTGCGGCTTGTAGTTTTTCTCCGAGATTCGATCTCTTCTTTCTTCATGCTGAAGACGCGCAGTTCAGCTACTGTATGACTTCTTCACCAATAAGTAAAAGTTGTGGTCACTCAATGTTTGCCCACCTTGCACGCCGCCATGCGTGAATACAAACTCGTGGTGCTTGGATCTGGAGGAGTTGGGAAGAGTGCCCTGGTGAGTTTTTGTTGATGTTTCCAAGGAGAGAACTAGACCAGTCCTGTAATGGGAGTTCTGTTTTCGAATCGGATCTCTGCTCTGCGTTCTGCAGACTGTCCAGTTTGTTCAGGGAATCTTCGTAGAGAAGTATGATCCCACTATTGAGGATTCCTACCGCAAGGTGAGAGACTTCTTGTTCTTTTGGCGAAAAGACGCTTGTCCACATTGTCAACGTTCTTGCACTCTGATGCCGTTTGTTTGCTTTGTCGTTTGTAGCAAGTCGAAGTAGACGGAGCACAATGCATGTTGGAAATCCTGGACACAGCTGGAACAGTAAGACTTTGTCTTGTTGCAACAATTCTGTACAGCTTGATTATTGTTGGAGGCCTGTTTTCAAACGGCATGACACTAGTAGTAGTCTTCGGCTCCGTGTTAGCCGTGTCGGCCCGAATTCCTGTGCTAGTCTACAGTACTACGATGTAGCTGTAGTATCCAAGGAAGATATCTCAGGCCGAGTGGAAATGCGAATCGCTGGAGGTAGTATGAGCCCCGGCTCAGCACACACTAAGAGTATATCTCGACAATGCCGTGTCCATGTGCTGTCTCCTCATCGGTAATACAGGACCTCATGGAAAGTTGATCCGAGATTTCGTGGCCTTTCATTCTTGAAGTAAAAATCTGTTAGTTCATGAAAATAGCAACACTGAATACGTCTAGTAACTCTTGTTGTGTGAGTGGAGCTGTACATGCATGTTGACAATTTGCCACCAACACTTTCTTTTATGGAAATGTTTGTGCATGGTACATGGTGAACTTCAAACTTCACTATGGAAGAAAGCGTTCACGCATCATGGACCGGCAGAGTCCTCGATCTTGTTACAGTGCGTTCAAAAGTATATGTCCGGTTTCAAAAACCGTTAGGCCAGCATCTTTAAACTGATACCACATACCATCTGTGATCACTTTGTGGATGCATTTTCCAAATTAGGGTGTTTGTTATCCAATTGTTTAGAAATCTATCGGGGTACGGGAAAATGGGGGGGGGGGGGGTGGAATCGCCTGAGTAATATCCCGAAGAATTCTCTCAAAAAGCTAAAGCCAAATTTGAATTATTTGAACAAGTCTCGAGGTCTGGACTTTTGAAAAGCATCGTAGTGTCGTCCGAGAGGCTCGGTGAAGTCAGTGTAACCCAAGTATTACGAGAGCATGAACCTCCGCGTGAATCAGGACTTCATCTTGACTTCTGCGTCAGTAGTTCATAACAATATGACATACATGCGTTCCAGATACAGCGAAACGTGCAGTTACGCATGTGCGCGCCGTTAGTCTACTCTGTGAGCCTGGAGGGCAGCTCGGCGGTCACTTACGATGCCGACACTGCTGTGCTGTGGGTGTGCTGTGCTATGCTAAATCCAATCAGTCAGGCCAGGCATGGTGGTGGTGGTGTGTCTTGGGCACATTGTTGCTTTGTTGCAAGCCGAATGCGCACACCATTGTCTCTTGCAGCTACATGTATTTGTGTGAGAACATGGCCATGTGCTGAGACTTCGCCATGCCCTTCACCATGTTCACCACCACTACATGATCCCTGGGTGCTGTTGGAATATGCGTAGACTGGTCAGTAACACACACGGGTGTATTTAGCACGCTCTATCTCTGATAGTCGCATACAATATTTTCGGCAATACTGGACGAGGCGCTTACTAGTTTGGAACCCCCTAAATTTTCATCCAATTTAAAAAATCCACACAAAAGCCCTGAAATGATGTGGCGCTTATTTCAGACAGGCCGGCGCCAATTCCCGAAAATACGATAACCCGGGCCAAAAAGCTAGAGCAGCAAGATGACGGGGTTGATATGTCATTGCACCGAGAGGAAAGCAACCATTGAGTACCTTGTCAACCTGGACAATGTTTACAGGTAGGTTAACCGTATTTTCCCCAATAAATGTAGTCCTTTTATTTTTTCAAAGGTGGTCAGACCTGCACTACTATAGGAGACTGTACTAGTATTGGAGACGTGTGCTTTTATTGTTTCTGGAAAGATTGATTGTCTGGGTTGGGTGGTAAACAACTAGTGATAATGACACTGTAAAGCTGTAAATACATGCAACCATGGTAAGAATCAGTGTACAGAGACACAAAGATGATAAACGGGTAAGAAAAACGAAGTAAGGTGGGCCCTAGTACCTGTACGGCAGTAATGCCCATCACATCATTCCAGCATGTACTATAATTAGAGACGTGTCCTTTTATATTTTTGATCCACGCTCAACATGTACTACAATTGGAGACGTACTAGTATTGGAGACGTGTACGTTTAATGGGGGAAATACTAGGGGTCAAACGGGTGTACCTTTAACTAACGAACGGGTAATTTTCTTAACGGGCGGGTTAATGGGTACCCTTTAGCAGCCATGTATAATTTGTTGCGCAATTTTCACATAAATCAAGATTTTAATTCATCTGTTCTCGGGTTGCATTTTGATATAACATTGTGATTCGCAAATCGATTGGTGTCTGATAGTCACAGGAGTCGATCTACTAGGTGCGAAAATGCAACAACAATGCAGACATCCAGCGTGGAGTTGTAAATAATTGACTCCCGCCTGGAATACACGATCCCAGCAGTGTTGCTCCGTACTGACTGGTTCATCAAAATCCAAACGGGTACCCTTTTACTAACGGTACCTGAGATTAACGGTCGGGTACCCGGCACATCCCTTTGACCCCTAGAAAATACGGTAGTAAAAAAATGATGGGTGGTTACTTTAGGACGAATAGTAGAGCGAGGAATTCTCAAGAATGGCACGGTGGTCTTGTTGGCACTGTCCTGTTGTCCGCGACTATTTGCTTGATGGTCCGTCTTTACTACATCTCAATTCTTATCCTCTTGTAGTGGAATAGTGTATACTGAAATTGGTGCTGGAAGTGGCAGCGGATTCCACATCTCAGGATTCTACCTGCATATGAAACTGCGAATGATAGTTCAATGTTGGAGATTGGACTTGTTTCTTTGAGCTCCTTTGGACTTGCCTTGTAACACAGAATTCAGCAAGCTATGCAGCGTTCGACATAAGTAACTTTGCGTGCAGTTGACAGCATGTTCTGCTACTGGGGTGAGATGGTATGTAACTGGTTTCTCTTTTTGCCTGTGTTTGTCCACTCTGTTTTCGTGATAGGAACAATTCACGGCTATGCGTGATTTGTACATGAAGAACGGCCAGGGATTTGCGCTGGTTTACTCTATCACCGCTCAGTCAACATTCAACGACCTAAGTGATCTCCGTGATCAGATTCTGCGAGTGAAGGACACAGGAGATGTGAGTGACTCTTTCCAGGCTCGCAGAGACCTATGCATACATCAGCACCCGTTCCAACTACTGCTACTGCACGAGTTGTCTCATGCCGAAACCCATCGACTTTTGTCCTGTAGTTTAGTGAAAAGCAACGCTGGTGTTAACCATTGCCGTCCTTACTCTTTATGAGATCTGAATATTTCGCAGTTAGATGTTGCTTACAGCCCTGTTTAGCAGTTTGTGTGCTATTTCACCTGCCTGATCTGCACGGTGGCGACTGTACATTAGTGATTACTGTAAATATACAAATTTTCGGCAGCTATTTAATTTCGGCTATATTCGGCACCGACCCAAAACGCCTAAATTGAAACGCCGATGAAGTTTTTCACAGCATCTGTCGCACTATACCATGCCCTCTACCCCACGCCGAAAATAAATCGCCGTCGAAATGTCAAAAATCGTGAAGTGCCGAAATTTTGTATATTTACAGTAGTTAGTGTGGTGTGTCAAGATCACTTGAGAACCAGAGTTTGCAGATTCCGCCTACTGGTATAGCCTAAGGTATCTGCCGAGCAGAAAGCCCCGAGTAAATCAGACCTGCTTGAATCTCTCTTGTACAGACTGCATTACTATAATGTTGTGATCCAGGAATTTTTGCCGTGACAGCCAATCATCGGGGGTACATACTCCGGTTTTCATGTTCTCGTGGTTGTGCTGACGTTGACGTACGCATGCACGTGCACATGTGCATTTCCCAAAGTAAAGGAACGTGTTCTGCATTCAAAGCTTTTGTAACTCAGACAGACAGTGCATGTAATGGCATTGGTCTAAGTGATTATAGCACTGCTCCCAATCCACTGTGTTTATCTTTGTTCTAATCCCCTGCAAAGTCATTGCCTCTGCTGCTGGCTGACATCATCCATGACTTCTTTTCCTTATGTTCAGGTTCCAATGATTTTGGTTGGTAACAAGTGCGATCTTGAGGATGAGCGAGTTGTAAGCAAGGAGCAGGGAGAGGAATTAGCTCAACAGTTCTCCAGCTGGTAAGAGTACTACAGTGTGTGTGCTTATCAGTTTCACAGCCTGCCTGATGTGCATGCTGTGTTTGCGGTCCCGTTCCTCGGTCAAGTTCATCATGTTGCAGCTTAGGGTGCGTTCTTAAATCCTCTTGGAAAAGTTGGCAACTCTCCGAAAAGTTCGAGAGCTGTTCTTATATCCTCTCCGACTTTTAGGAGGCTCTCCAAAGCTCTCCAACCTTCAGAGGTGGTTGAAACTTGGAGATTCCCGCGGTTTGGGATCAGCGCATGCGAACTACGACTAAAAGCCACGTGTTCATCATGAGTGTACACGCATTTCCCTTTTCGCATACGCACACGTGTATTACTACATTCATCACTCAAGATCGCGGCCCCTTTGGCGCTTCATTTTGCTTGCCATGTGCAAAATATCTCCGAATTCTTCGAGACCCGTTCTTGAGTAATCCCAGTTTCTTCGACTTCTCTTTTCTTCTTCTCCTAGAAGCTAGAGAATATAAGAACGCACCCTTAGTTTAATGATGCCATGGCATCTGGTTGAAACCTGCCCTGACAGACGGAAACAAATGCATGCATTGGGCTACGCGGCGTACAAGTAGATAGGGCACTGTAAAGAGAAAGGACGCTGTGTTGCAACTCAGAGTTTCACATCAATTCACGATCATTGGGAAACCGATGGTCCAAAACTGGCAGCCTGAACATAAGAGGAAGCGTGAGATCCGCCCCTGCGCTCTTCTCAGCTGCCACACATGCACATACGCGGGCAGCGTGTAGTTAGGTTCGAAATCATCACTAGTCGCAGAGATAATAGCATCCTGGTCTAAAACCAATAGCACAGGCCAACCTGAATGGGGCTTTGAGTTTGTGTAAGTAAATATAAAGTTATGGATGCTAAGACCTCGAAGCACACCCTGTGCTTGGGTACACACTTAGCTAATCTATTGCGGGCTAAGTTGCTATGACTTCCGTAGTAGTAGTAGTAGTAGTAGTAGTAGTAGTAGTAGTAGTAGTATCTGAAGATAGTGACTAATCCAGAAGCAGATATGCAAGTACGCTTTCACAGATCGAAAAAAATGTCGAGAAAACGAATCAGGCCTAAAATGAGAGGCTGGAGAGTGTGACAAATGCAGGGTTTGTAACTTTTATATGACTCTCTGGGAGAGACCGGCCAAATGATTCAATAGATTCGTACCAGTGGGGGGGGGGGGGGGGGGGGCTAGCTTGGCCCATGGGCCCAAAGTTGTTATGACCCACAAGGGTTGTGCCTATTGACATGCACGTACTGTGGCGAGGACTACATTGGCGAGGCGGAGCGCAGTTAAGCAACCACATGAAGGAGCACGATAATGAGGCAAGAAACAGGATACCAGGAATGTTGTGGTGGATGCAGGATCAAGCAATGAGGAGTTAGTTGTGTGAAGCAATGAGATGCATGATAACAAGAGTGTGCAATTCCAGCTATGGAGTCTGCGGCGGCAGAACTTCACATCACGTGCCGAACCCGTACACATTATTGGCGCCCTGTGCATGATAGATGCAGGGTTGCACGCAGCCCTGCTTTGGGTTCAACTCTCTTGTTGTCACTACTACTTTGCACTCTTGGCCAGCGTAGCCGTTTGAACTATGTCACATGATGTGAAGTACTGCCGTCGCAGCACTGTATAGAGGCTGTGCAGGCACTGCCAGGCAGTTGCACACTCTTGGAGATTATGTGCTCTTGTTCATAATAATAATATCTTTATTAGGAAGAGGTTTCTTGAGCAGATTCGCTCTTTCTCATTTACTCTGCAACAATCGAGCTCTTTTACCAATTAATTTTTACGTTTCGGCAAAATTCCCCCCATCGGGTATGCAGAATTGCAAAGGAGTAGTTTTGTAATACATGTGATTTGTGATACAGTGTACTATGTGATACAGTGTACTATGTTGTGCTACATCGCACCCACTGTGACGTGCCATAACCATAAAAATAATGATAACCAAAAAAGTGTGATATCAACATTTAGTCAAAGATAACAATGTGGTGATAAATTCACATGCAAGCAGACACACACACACACTCTGTAGCTGTTTGTTTTGTCCACATAATTGTTTATTTTACGAGTTGGGTTTGTGAATAATAGTAAAAAAAACAACAAAAAAACACACACACACACAATCCCCACCCAAAACATAATAATGCATACCATTGCATACCTGATGAGGGCAATTTTGCCAAAATGTTGTAAAACTTGATTGATAAAAAGAGTTTGATTGTGGCAGAGTAAACGAGAAAGAGCGAGCCTGCTCAAGAACCCTCTTCCTATGAATGAAGCCGCAGGAAGCCTCCCCACTGCTACTATCTGTATTGGGACGACCCAAAGATCGCACGCCATCTAATAACCTGATTGGAGGATAGACGTTACTCTTAGTACTACTAGGCTACTGGTACATGAAGCTACAGCACAGGCTACAACTGGACACATTTAGGATGTGAGAGTTTAATTTACCAGATCCAAAGACATGACATGAAGGGAACGCCACTATGCTAGGATGAATTGTATTAAACGTATCGTACTGTACTTTGAGATGATGAGAATGATGGGTGGAATAGCTGCAATTGTGTACGTGCTGGCCTTTGTGTTTGTCGATTCGTAAAACACTGGCTGTGCCATGCTACGCCTTCACAGTCTGCCCTCCACTTTGCTGCTGAGCTGCATCATACCCATCAAACAAGCATGTTGTGTGTTATTCAAAAGTGCCTTCAATACCTGCGTGCATGGAATTGAGTTTGTTTGTGCATGTGTGTGTGTGTGTGTGTCTTTCTCCTGCTTGTGCCTCCTCTAGCGCCTTCATGGAAGCATCCGCTAAGGCCAAGATCAATGTCAGCGAGGTAAGCTATACCTGGTGCTGATGATACACTGTGCACATGCATTACATGATTACACCCATACCTCCTTTATCCATGTGGTCCTGGACCAGGCACTGTCGTATCTCTGAATCACGTACATGTACGTTGTGTGATGGGAAAATTCAGATATACGACGTCTATTCACGCAGAATGACAAAGGAGTCATAATTATTTCCACTAGAACTCGCCCAAAGGGTGCCTGTTAGACCGAAGCAGCCACAGGTTTAGGGTCCGTCTGCCCGGATAGGTGAGGTATGTGTGTGTGTGTGTGTGTGTGTACACTCTGAACTGATTTTATCAGCTAACCACGTCACCCATGGCTAGGCTGTAGTTATAACTGTACGCACTTCCGGCATGCACACAGAAGATGACTTGAAACAGTGTTTTACATGGGCACTTTTCATGCCCTTATCAGTCAACAGGGGGGAGAAAATGTGACACATTCTGACGTCACTTTGCTGGATGGATGTTCAGTTATCAATGTCCATGACTTTCATCTGGAATGATTTTGACGTACAGTTTGTAGGGACTTGACTCGCTTTCGTGTTTGTCGGAAGTGATCAGTCGTATGCTTCTCCGATCCGGGTTGAGTTTGATCTCGCCCTCCCAGCCGCAGTTGAAAGTTCATGCTGGAATAGCATACACACACTTGTGTGCACGTTTATATACACACCGGGTTGAACTCATCCCAGGGGATGGGATAAACACTCCATGTCAACGGTGCCTGAGTGACCCAGGACCAGACCGGTTGGGGGTGATTGGGCGTGTTCAAACAATGGAACTTGGAGTGAATTTGAAGTTGAAAGAACGCAGTCCGCTGCATGATCACTGGGGTTCGCCTAAGTGATGGCTAAATCCCTACTTCTTGATGTGCTCTCTCTCCGTCCTGCAGATTTTCTGCGATCTTGTACGGCAAGTCAACAGGAAAATGCCAGAACCAAAGCGAAGAAGGAAGGGTGCTTGTCTTTTGCTGTAATTTTTCTGCTCTCTTTAGGCCACACTTTGTTTTTTCTATGTTTCTCGTCGGCAAATTTTAACAAAAGGTATGTGGGCGGGCGAAAAAACAGTAGTGCACTGAACTTTTTTTTTTCTTCCGAAATTTCTGAAAACCTACGCGGGCGACGACGAGAAACATAGAAAAACAACGTGTGGCCTTATAGTACTGCTGGCGAGTACCGCACAATGTTTCACTTCAGACGACTAGCTTTTATTGTATGGCACAAAAATATCGCTTCTCATAATAAATAACTGTGTCCATTCTGGATTCTGGGTTGGGGTTTCTTTCTATCTTTTTCTGTCTCACACCTCACGGTGATCGATTTGCACATTGTTTGATGTTAGAGACATCAAGTAAAATACGGTACTCACATGGTATGTGTGTGTGTGTGTGTGTGTGTGCGCATGATTGCGTCTAATAAAGTTTAATAACAATTGATCGAGTTTTGTCCGTTCATTTTCGTCTACTTGGTAGAGTAGAGGGGAACAGATCTGGAGGGGGGGGGGGGGGGGGGTCATGGGTGAAGGTGCACACATGCAGATCAACCCATTTCGGTAGGTCATCGATGCCATTTTTGCAATATAATTATATTCAAAGCAGGGAGTCGTCAAATACCGACTCCCTGATTCAAAGTGCGTTGTGCGATATTTTGTGGAAAATAGCTCGCATGTTCATACGCACTTAAGCAAGAACCTCTGCTCTGGGATGATTCTCCCGGAGTTTCAAGGCCGATTCACAATACTCGGCCTGTTTCTAAATACAGCAGCGTAATGGTGGTGAACTGGAGGAAGATTGTTCGGTACTCGTACATATTTTGGCTTATGTGGTAGGAAAGAATGTCTCTTTCGTGCACGGGCGTGTGTGCGTGGACTACTGCATCTACACACTGTACAGTTTTCTGCGCAGAGTGACAAGACGTAAAAAAGATCTACGCCCTGATTATCTTGTCTGGTTGACGTGTCTCGCAGCTTCATTGGGAATGATTGTTATGCTTCCCTCTCCTTCCCATGCACACTTCACGGAGGGTGGCGTAGCATAAGTCAGTTTCCGACTTCATGCTTCTTTGCACCAGACACCACTTGAAATAAGAATGAGTGCACAATCATCAATGACAATGCTAAAATAGATAATATTATGCTCGTACTGCATTCTTTACTCTGAGCAGCGCATTGTGCATGAACTGCATGTAGTGTTGTACTCGTAAACACAAATAGCTGGTGACATCAGGCGAGAAATGAAATACAGTAGAGTCGTGCGTTGAAGAACGTCCAGCCTGAAATGCTAAGATTACCACAGCCTAAAATTAAAGGGGAAGTTAAGGCAAAACTCAAAATTTCACCAGTTGTAGTCTTCGGGGTGCTGAGTTGAATGGTCGTGGTCCGAGGAAGCTGAAACGCTCCCTTCCTACTTGAATCCCAATCGAACTCGCGCACTTCCACCGAAACTGGGTGACTGCGCCCTACTAGATGGGGATTTGTATGAAAAATGTCACTAAACGCGCCATTTTGTTCTTATAAAAGCACGGATGACCGCGATTGGCCCATATGTTGTAGTCTTTTGGACGCTGAGTCGACTGGTTTTGGTCCGAAAAGGCTGCGATGCAGCGTTCCTCCTTTATTCCCAATCGAACCTGGTTGAACAAGCGGTCACGTGCTCCTGCGTACACCAGTCACCTGGCCACCGTGCCTGCAGGGTACAACTTACTAGCCTGTTTGACCTTTTTTGGGTGCAGTCCTGTCACTCAAGTTGAACCTTGGTGTGAAAGTTGTCGCCTGCTGGCGCTGTGACCAGGTGACTGGTGTACGCAGGAGCATGTGACCGCTTGTTCAACCAGGTTCGATTGGGAATAAAGGTGGAACGCTGCATCGCAGCCTTTTCGGACCAAAACCGGTCGACTCAGCGTCCAAAAGACTACAACATATGGGCCAATCGCGGTCATCCGTGCTTTTATAAGAACGAAATGGCGCGTTTAGTGACATTTTGCATACAAATCCCCATCTAGTAGGGCGCAGTCACCCAGTTTCGGTGGAAGTGCGCGAGTTCGATTGGGATTCAAGTAGGAAGGGAGCGTTTCAGCTTCCTCGGACCACGACCATTCGACTCGGCACCCCGAAGACTACAACTGCTGAAATTTTGATTTTTGCCTTAACTTCCCCTTTAAGAACGGCTTCTGGCAGCTTTTGGGATAGATATGATCAAAAGTTCATAGTACGTTATGAACTCTTGATATGATCCAGTACGTATTGTTTCTAAGAACGCAGCCAGATTGCCCAACAAAATAGGAACGCCCCAGGCTAACCCCTTGGAAATAACGTTCTTGGACACAAGGCTCTACTGTATGTGTGAACTAATCTGTTTTATTGTTGCCGCCAGGAGAAATCAGCTTTTCATGCGTGTTTACATGTACACCAGAGAGTGGAATGGTGTGGGTTTCACTCCCGGGCTACCCACTCCAGGCACCCTTGGGGCATGTAATGGTTGATTTATGCATGCTTGCCTACAGCATTGCCGGTCTCGGCTGCAGTTGGGGTCAGCAATTACAGCAGTTACATCTCAATCCAATCAGGCCTCTTCTCATAATATCACATGTGTAAATAGATTGGTGCTCTGTGCAAAGTTGTACACTTTCCAGGCAGTTACCATAATTTCCTAAGTCCATGGAAGTAAAAATGGCTTGTATTACACGCCCACCATGTACCAGTACATGTACTACTTATTTGCCATGGTGTTGTTATAATGCGGGGTAGCATCAGGGAGTCGTCAAAAAAATTCACGGTTCGCGTGAGACTCGGTTTCTCTATAATTATAGAGGCCGAGTTTTCCGCATCCGTAGAAACGCCACCACCCTTCAAGGATCAAGGCGCAGATGCAGCTCCTAAAGCGGTGGGAGGTGAGTAGATCAGCTCACCAGCATGTGCTGCGACCCACAGTTAAGCAGTGAATGGGAGTCGTCAAGTATGGTATATAAATACACCCACCCCTAAAAATACACCTGAAACAGCCTTATCTCTGCAGAACCTGACTACCCCTGAATTTTTTTGTGGAGTAGCATGGGATGATACAGAGCACACTCATCCACAAAGGGTTGGAGCCTCCTTAAGGCGCTCTGAACTTTTCTGTTGGGCTCCGTATTCTTTGCTGCATGTCTTCTAGGCTTTGTACACCGTTGGCCCAAGAGGGCAATATTCTGCAGTGGGGACTGTACTGGTATATCCTTTCGCCTACAGTAGAGATGCACACTGAAGAACGTGGAGCTCAAGAACGTCCAACCTGAAATGCTAAGAACGCCACAGCCTTTTAAGTTAAGAACGGCGGTGTTGGTTTCCGACAGCCTTTGGGATACATACGATCCGGTGCAAATTGTTTCTAAGAACGTGCTATAAGAACGCAGCCAGATTGCAGAAAATAAGAACGCCCCAGGCCCTTGGACACAATGTTCTTGGACGCGCATCTCTACTGTACAGATATGTAGAGCTCCTTGTGTTGTTGAGAGTAAGGGTACTAGAGCGAGGCTGTGTGGTCTGCGACCCATTGTTGTGATGCCGTCATGTCTTTTCCCAATGGTCTTCATCACATACAGATACAGATAGAGAATTGCTGTTAACGCTTGACACGAATTCGCAGTAAGATGATTGTGATGGTGAAGGCAATCAGCCTATAGCCAACGATCAATGCTGCCAGTATCCCGAAGTTCCTGCCGATTGAGCTTACACCCTGAAGAAAGCACACATGGAAGAGAGATAGACAAAGAGAGAGAGAGAGAGAGAGAGAGAGAGAGAGAGAGAGAGAGAGAGAGGGAGAGAGAGAGGGGGGGGGGGGGGGGGTACGAGGTGTTGTGTATCGGTAGAAAGACTTTTCATGGCTCTTTTTGTTGTGGTCCTTTCGTTTATTTTGGTTTGTTTTGCGTTCTGCTTTGACTGGTTTTTGGTTGCATGTATAGTTTGTACATGATCCAAGTAACGGTTACGTCATTGTCATACGTTGTGTTTTGTTGCGCGCATGCTCGTATGCTGCCATAAATGTTAGTCTTTTTCTTCAGTTATCAGTTTACCTCGTCGTGTCCGGTCTTCTTGTCTGTCCGTCTCCGTCTTGTCAAGAAATTATGTAGAACTCTCAGTTCAGTTTCGTTGTTGTGTGTGGCGGGTCGGATGGGCAGGGAGGCTGGGCCCCTGACGCCTGGACAACATGTGCGCGTGCACAAAATTTGGCGACCACGATGGGACACGGACCCACGACGAATAGTGTGAACGCGGAGGAACCGACAACCCCGCCGAGGAACCGGATAAAGTTTCCGAAGTACGAGGAGCGAAAAGCAACGGAGATCAAGGAATACCTAAGTCTTTTCGAGGATATTGCTCAGCAAAATCGGTATAGCAGAGACGATTGGCTAATTCACCTGCGTGTAGCGTTCTCTGGGAGCAAGCTGGAAAAGGCGTTCTCGGGATGTGCCTCGTACGACGAAGCGAAAAGGGAAGTGCTGCTGGCGCACGGACTGACCGCGGACAAGGTGTGGCGAGATGCCAAGTCCATTACGCAGCTCGACGAGTCGTTCCATCATTATGTAACAAGAGTAGCAAGGCTGCTCGACTCGTGGATAGAGCTGACGAGCACTGCCAACGCAGAGGCTGAGGACGATGAAGCGCCTGACGTACTTGCAGTATTGGTCAAGCAGCTAGCATTGGATGGATTGCCAGCCGAGATGAAAGCGTTCCTGATTGAACGAAAATGCTTCCACATGGACATGCCCACGTTCCAGGCAACAGGCGTCTCATATCAGGAGGCGCACGGACGGCGGAAGGCAGCTGAGAAACGGCCCGTCGCTCCACCAGTCCAACACAGTGCGCAGTGCCTTGGGGTGTCAGTGGAGCAAGCCAAGAAGGATCGGGCTAAGATGGGAAAGACGTACGATCGCAGAGCATACGTACGCAATGAAAAGCTGTGCTACCTCTGTTTGCGTGGGGGTCACCTGGCAGAGCAGTGCCAGGCCAACACAGGTTGCAGCAAGTGCGATGGCAAGCACCACACGTTGCTGCATGGGAAACCAAAGCCTAAACCCGCCAAGGACCGGGATGAGAGCATCAGCACATACAGTTGTACCACATCGGCACCGGTGCATCTCATGACAGCTGTAGCGGAAGTATGCGCCAAGAAGCGGGCACGAGTGAGAGTCTTTCTGGACCCAGGGTCACAGGCCTCATTTATTTCCTCGTCGCTAGCGGCAGCCATTTCCCCCAAGTGTGTAGGGATAGACCAGGTCAAGGTAACGGCATTCGGCAATGAGCCCGTGGTCCAGAGAATGGAGCGCCTTGAGGTTGCAGTGACGGGTACCTCGGGTCCTATCAAGGTACACGCCTGGAAAAATGACAACATGAGTATGCGTTTCCCGCCAGTTGCCAAGGCAACGATATGCCAATGGAAAGCGAGCGGCATCAATCTGAGTGACCAACCAGGCGAAGGCACGTCCAACGACGTCCATCTCCTGATTGGTGCAGATCACTGCAACGACATCCTACTACAAAAACGGGTGGTCAACGGCAACACTGCCTGGGAAACGGAGATCGGCTGGGTACTGTCTGGCCCAACCAAGGACGCCGAACTCGGATGCACGGTGTCAGTTGCCTGCATCGAAGCGAGGGTAGAACGGCTGTGGCAGCTCAAGGAGCCACCAAGCGTAACGAGCCACCAGCCTGAGTTCCCCATAGAGCAAGTGGGGACGCAGTACCAAGTGGGGCTGTTATGGAGGTCTGACCGCCGACCACCTGAAAATTACACCCAAGCTATGGCAGCAGCTACCAAGCTGATGGATCGGCTGAACGTCAAGGGCAAGAGGCAGCAGTATGACAACGTGCTCATGAGAGAGTACAGCGAGCTAGGAGCTATCGAAAGAGAGCCGAACCCTGAACAGCCCGGCTACTACATGCCACATCATGCCATCTTCAGGGAGCACGCCGCTACGACCAAGACAAGGGTAGTCTTCAACGCATCGGCATCGGCAACTGGGAAGTCATCATTGAATAACCTGTTGAACCCAGGACCATCGCTACTACCCGATCTGGTGGGCCTTCTCCTACGGTTTCGTGAGTATCAGTTTGCACTACAAGCGGACATTAGGAAGTTGTTGTTGTTGTTGTTGTTTGGCTTTATTTAAAGTGGAGTTCCAAAACAGGCCTAAACCTAATGACAATGGTCCCACTGATAATAAGAGAAAAGAAAAATATATAATAATAAGCGGACAAACAGAACCAAGAAGAGGATAACCGGAGTTGTTGTTCGCATGTTGCAATGGCGATATCCAACTAAGACGCGGGCGGAGATCCTGCCCATTGCTGAGGCCAGATTGTACCGACTGATCCAGCAGGAACTGTTCGGACCGGAGTTGGCTGCACTGCAGAATGGCGAGCCGCTCAGCTCAAGTTCCAAGATCGCTAAGTTCGGCCCGTATGTGGATGACAGTGGGGTCCTGAGAGCTGAAGGAAGATTGAGTGAGAGTGAGCTGCCGTACAGCGCTAAGCATCCGGTATTGCTCGGCAAGCACTACTTGACATCGTTGATTCTGGAGCGGGCCCATCCGAAGCAAATGCATGGAGGCGTAGAGACGGTCCTGGCATCACTACGTCAGGAGGTGTTAGTGATTGGTGTTTGGCGAGCCTTACGCGGCATTGGATCTCGGTGCGGAGTCTGCAAGCGTTACGAGGCGGCCGCTGCTACCCAAGTTACACCACCACTGCCGGCGGATCGTGTGAGTCATGTCAAGCCATTCGGACTGACAGGCATTGATTATGCGGGCCCATTGATGGTTCGTAAGGGTGACCGAGTGGAGAAAACATGGATTGCTCTATTCGTTTGCGGAACAACGCGGGCAGTTCATCTAGAGACAGTCGACAGTCTGTCCACGGAGTCATTTCTGCTGGCGTATCGGCGGTTCGTAGCACGCCGGGGTATCCCCATCCGCATCCGTTCGGATAATGCCACTACCTTCAAGTCGGCATCGGAGAAGATCAATGTTGTATGGTTGTTCAATCCTCCAGCGGCTCCATGGCATGGTGGATTCTTCGAGCGTCTGGTTGGAGCTGTGAAGGCACCATTACGCAAGGTGTTGGGCAAGGCGATGCTTGGTCCGCGTGAATTGGATACCGTATTGGCTGAAGTGGAAGCAGTGGTGAACAGCCGTCCGCTCACCCATGTGGCAGACACGGATGATGACTTACCCCTGACGCCAGCAATGATGATCAATGGTGTTTGGCAGGCAGACGAGATCAGCGCCGAACAAGCAGCAGGGCTGACGGCAGAGCAGCTCAACGCAAGACAACGGTATGTTGCTACAGTTGGCGAACACCTGAAGAAGCGATGGCAGAGGGAGTACCTGACCAGCTTGATTGCGTATCATCAGTCTAAGTCATCCTCAGTCAAAGCAGGGGAAGTTGTCCTGCTGGTGGATGAATCACGAAAGCGTCAGTTCTGGCGTTTGGCTCGGGTTACTGAGGTGTACCCTGGGAAAGACGGCGTTGTGCGTGTGGTGCGAGTCAAGGTTGGGCAAACGTCTTTGCTCCGCCCAGTACAGCATTTGGTGCCACTAGAAGTATCTCCGACGGCAGGAGAAGTGGCCAGTAGTGACGATGAAACTAGCACCGATGAAGCAGTGGAGATTCCACCGCCAACGTCACCCCCTCAACCAGATCCACAACCTGTTGCAGCAGACAATGAAGTGCGTACTACCAGAACCGGTCCCCGCGTCCGTGCACCAACCCGGTTAGATTTGTAAACCCCAGGATGTCCTTTGGTGGGGAGTGATGTTGTGCAACGAGTGCCATATAGTAATAAAAGGACTTGAGAACTTGGGCAGGCAGGCACTCGGTGTTTCTAGTTGATTTATTTTCGGTTCGATTTATTTGTGTTTCGATTTATTTGCATTTATTTGGCACGGCTACTTGTCGCGTACCCTTATGCAGATCGGTCTACTTTTTGAGTGCATGTGGTGTCCTTATTTTGATGCATGTAGATTAGTGCAGTACGGTGGCTTTGTTTGCGCTGCTGCGGGTGCGCTGTAGGTGCACTTGTATGTGCACGTTCTGCTGAGGAGAGCGTTTGGGCTTTCGCTTGCGCTGCTTGGTTATTCGATGTTTTCCTTTTCTGGTTGCTGTTGTTCCTTCCGTGATGAACGGATAGTCTTTCTTTCTCTCTTGTTTCACCTATATTCATATTTCTTGCAATGTAAAATATCACCCCACTGGTTTGTGTGAGCTTGTAGTCGGTTGGACCAAACGAGGGTATAACGCTAAAACAGTATGAGTCCTGTGCACACATGCTAAGGTTGCACAGGGTTTAGAAAAGAGACTAAAGCCTGGCGGTATGAGCTCGTACATGTCGTCTGCATTTTCTGCACGTATGAAGTCACACTGCAGCCGATCCGGTAACATGAGCTTGTGGGTGCCACAGCATGGTATCGTACAGCAGGCACCGGCTAATACATGAGTTTTACTCACCGTATCTAGACCGAATCGTTCCAGAACTTGAGATCCGTTATTGAAACACAGCTGAGTGGGATTGACACCCGTGCAGTTCTCTGGAACAGATAAATAAAACAACGAAGAAAGGCAGGGATGTGCGTACTTTCCCCTGTGATACTAGTACCTTAACGGTATTTGTACTGCTCGTGCATGGGTGGAGATGTGCAGGTGTAAAACGAAAAATCACAGTACTCAACACAATACGTACTTGAACAACATGAACAAGTAGCAGTGCACGCACCATCTTCTGTACACTGCACTCACCACTCCTGCAGGTACCCATGTTGGCAATAGTGATATCCCGGTTATGATGGCAAGCCTGTATTCTCAAACTATCTTCTGTACACTGTGTCATGTACTCACGCTCGACATGGTTAGCATTTTATCGTTCACGCTAAATCCAACGGTACTCGTACCCAACACCCAAAATACCGTCGGTTTGGTATCGTTTCGACGATGGAAAGCTCTGTTTACCGGGAGAACAAAACGGTAAGATTCCAACTAGGGTGACGTCACAAGGCGATCGTTGTGTCAGAAACCGAAATGCTAACTATGTCTTGAAAACACACAAAAAAACGGTACACGCGGACGGTCGGAGTTGGCGTGAACAGTAAAATGCTAACCATGTCTACTGCCTCCGCGCCCTGTCCGTGTGACACGCATGCCTATTCACACTTACGCAAGAATTCCTCTTGAAACTCGTTGACCATGGCCACTTCAAACCCCCAGCGCAAGAACGAGATCGCCTCCAGCCAGACAACGTAGTCGGGCGTGGAGTTCAGATTCAGGAGCACGCCGCCGAACAGCATCAGTGGTACAATGCCGACGGGCGTCAGTGCAAACGCCACCGACAAGTTGCTACCAGCCACGGCCGATATGATGTAACCTATTGACTCTGCACACAGCATCACCATCACGTTGGCTGCGTAGAAGATGAAGTAGCGCTTTGCACTGGCGGCCAGACCAAACATGAAGTAGGTGATGGAGGTGGCACCAAGTTGAAGCATCAACACGACCGGAAGCGTTGCTAGGTACTTGCAGATGAAGTAGACGGCGGGCGAGTACGTGCCGCTTTCATACTCTCTTACGAATATGGGGTGTTCCACGGGGACAATCTGAGAAGAAGTTTGAAAACATGAACCCAACACTGAGCAGCATGCGTGCACGGCGTTTGAAAAAATATTGCAGAGAACATTAGTACTGGTTTTGCTGCCCCTCACCCCCTCATCCCGCACCATTCTCCTGTGCAATGGTACAATCATTCACTGGCCAATTCTATATGTACCAGAAGATTGGTGATCACTAGAAGATTGGGAACAACTAAAAATGCACCCTCAGCTTCCATCAAATTATTGCCTCTGATAGTGGAATAGTGTCCCTACTCCCCCCCCCCCCTTTCAACACAGGGCGTAGTACAGTACTACATCTACCGGTACATGTATACAGCATGAATCATACTACTTATTGCTTTATATGCTCTGGCCATGCAGCTGCTGACCTGTGCAATATTGCCAGCTCCGTGATAGCTAAACACAGCTATGAGCAGGAAGATAGCGCCGGTCACTCCCTGTACACGCCGCACAATGTCCTCATGGCTGCCAATGTTCAAATAGAAGAGGCCCATTGCAACGCATACAACCTGTGTGCATACACATGATACAGCAGTGGGTAGAGCATTATGTATGCCGCACTATACAGTACAGCTCGTGATCAGTAGAGATGGAGTTAACCAGCTTGTACGTATATAATTAATGTAGAGCTGAAGGATATATTACAATTACATACTTACATACTACAAGTAGTATAACAACCGAGGCGAAGCCGAGGTTCTTATAGCTGGTATGTGATCGCAATAAATCCCGAGGCTACTGTAAAAGCCATTATTCTAACGAGGTGCATATATAACGATTTCCCAAAATTGACTAGTTTACGTGTACCAAAGGTAACGATTCTCACTCATTCTCAACGCTCAATAGGACAGTATATGTATCGTTTTCTATATTTAACAATTTCTATTTTAACGACAGATTTCTCCTCATTAGGGGGCGTCCATAAATATCGCTTTTTTCCACAAAACGAAATAATTTCATTAAGGGGTGGGGGGGGGGGGGTCGACCAATTTCGTTTAAGAAAACATTGATCCTTTGGAATTACCCCCAGCACAGAGTACGGCTGGCTTTTCTCGGATTGGCTATCTCGCTGCTGACCGGTGGAATATGCTGCCTTCCACTGTTCGTACTTGTACAGATTACCGCTTATTTATTCGCTCATGCATAACCTTCCTAGGGGCTCCCGTAAGAAGACCATAGGTCTATGGGAAACACCCTAGAAAAATAAAAATTAATAATAATAATAATAATAACGGTTGAACGGCCTCTGCTGGGATGACGACTACACCATAGCTCAGTGGTTAGAGCATCGCTGGCTACAAGCGAGGGTCCCTGGTTCGAGTCCTGGTGGTGGCAGTCAATTTTTTCTTCAGACTTTTCCCGTTTGTCTCTTTCCCTCAAACCAGTTAACATTTTATGACTTGGGGCTCCCCGCGTGCTAGTTTGTACGCGAAATGTGTGGGTTACAGTGAGGGCTACGTCCCACCCGCCTGTGTGGATTCACAGGAAGTGTGAGTTACGAAGTCTGAGGAAAATGTTGAACGGCCTCTGCTGGGATGACGACTACACCATAGCTCAGAGGTTAGAGCATCGCTGGCTACAAGCGAGGGTCCCTGGTTCGAGTCCTGGTGGTGGCAGTCAATTTTTTCTTCAGACTTTTCCCGTTTGTCTCTTTCCCTCAAACCAGTTAATATTTTATGACTTGGGGCTCCCCGCGTGCTAGTTTGTACGTGAAATGTGTGGGTTACAGTGAGGGCTGCGTCCCACCCGCCTGTGTGGATTCACAGGAAGTGTGAGTTACGAAGTCTGAGGAAAATGTTGAACGGCCTCTGCTGGGATGACGACTACACCATAGCTCAGTGGTTAGAGCATCGCTGGCTACAAGCGAGGGTCCCTGGTTCGAGTCCTGGTGGTGGCAGTCAATTTTTTCTTCAGACTTTTCCCGTTTGTCTCTTTCCCTCAAACCAGTTAATATTTTATGACTTGGGGCTCCCCGCGTGCTAGTTTGTACGTGAAATGTGTGGGTTACAGTGAGGGCTGCGTCCCACCTGCCTGTGTGGATTCACAGGAAGTGTGGTTACGAAGTCTGAGGAAAATGTTGAACGGCCTCTGCTGGGATGACGACTACACCATAGCTCAGTGGTTAGAGCATCGCTGGCTACAAGCGAGGGTCCCTGGTTCGAGTCCTGGTGGTGGCAGTCAATTTTTTCTTCAGACTTTTCCCGTTTGTCTCTTTCCCTCAAACCAGTTAACATTTTATGACTTGGGGCTCCCCGCGTGCTAGTTTGTACGTGAAATGTGTGGGTTACAGTGAGGGCTACGTCCCACCCGCCTGTGTGGATTCACAGGAAGTGTGAGTTACGAAGTCTGAGGAAAATGTTGAACGGCCTCTGCTGGGATGACGACTACACCATAGCTCAGAGGTTAGAGCATCGCTGGCTACAAGCGAGGGTCCCTGGTTCGAGTCCTGGTGGTGGCAGTCAATTTTTTCTTCAGACTTTTCCCGTTTGTCTCTTTCCCTCAAACCAGTTAATATTTTATGACTTGGGGCTCCCCGCGTGCTAGTTTGTACGTGAAATGTGTGGGTTACAGTGAGGGCTGCGTCCCACCCGCCTGTGTGGATTCACAGGAAGTGTGAGTTACGAAGTCTGAGGAAAATGTTGAACGGCCTCTGCTGGGATGACGACTACACCATAGCTCAGTGGTTAGAGCATCGCTGGCTACAAGCGAGGGTCCCTGGTTCGAGTCCTGGTGGTGGCAGTCAATTTTTTCTTCAGACTTTTCCCGTTTGTCTCTTTCCCTCAAACCAGTTAATATTTTATGACTTGGGGCTCCCCGCGTGCTAGTTTGTACGTGAAATGTGTGGGTTACAGTGAGGGCTGCGTCCCACCCGCCTGTGTGGATTCACAGGAAGTGTGAGTTACGAAGTCTGAGGAAAATGTTGAACGGCCTCTGCTGGGATGACGACTACACCATAGCTCAGTGGTTAGAGCATCGCTGGCTACAAGCGAGGGTCCCTGGTTCGAGTCCTGGTGGTGGCAGTCAATTTTTTCTTCAGACTTTTCCCGTTTGTCTCTTTCCCTCAAACCAGTTAAAATAATAATAATAATAATAGCAATAAAGATAAAAAAATTCTGCAGTCATCGCCACACTACAACGAAGTCATGAAAGTTTACCAGAATTAATTTTCTTGTCACATTCATCAGTGGAAAGTCGTGACTGAAGAGTAACAGAACATAATGTGTCACTAGAGCGCGCAATGTCGTCTTCGCGGAATACTCTTTCTATTGCTAATGAGTGATATGCACGGGCTTTGTGCACCCGATTCTGGATGGAAGTAGGGCACACTCCATTTTCCTTACAGCGCTTCCAAAAGATAATATTATGTGAAATGTTTCTAGCCAAGTAGCGTTTGCGCAGAGCATCATTCAGGATTTCAACCTGACTCCTAGAGTATCTCCGTTTAAAATATGCAAATAATCGACGTGGAGACAACAATTATATAATAGCAATAAAGAGAACAAATTCTGCAGTCATCGCCACACTACAACGAAGTCATGAAAGCTTACCAGTACTCTAGGAGTCAGGTTGACATCCTGAATGAGTCAGTTTCTGGAAACTACCAGAGGTGAAAGAAAGTGATTAAATTTGGAAAGGATTGGGAGAACTTCAAATTCAAAGGATCAGCCGGGGAACCCTGGGGGAGGGAAAAAAGACCCGTGGTTGGTCCCCTGGGCCCCGGGGAGGGAAAAAGACCCAAGTGCCATCAGTATGTGTGGTACGTGTTGTGAGCTGCCTTTGGAGTGAAAAACTTGTCAGCGCCTTCTAGGTTCAGCCTGGTCCCATAGCTCAGTGGTTAGAGCATTGCTCATGACAAGCAGGGTCCCAGGTTCGAGTCCTGGTGGGTCTGGCGTTTTTTTCTCTTTTCAGGCAGTTCCGACTTCCCCGACTGATCCTTTGAATAATAATAATAATAATAATAATAATAATAATATTAACTGGTTTGAGGGAAAGAGACAAACGGGAAAAGTCTGAAGAAAAAATTGACCGCCACCACCAGGACTCGAACCAGGGACCCTCGCTTGTAGCCAGCGATGCTCTAACCACTGAGCTATGGTGTAGTCGTCATCCCAGCAGAGACCAATAATAATAATCCATGTATATGGCCGTTGTATATGCATGTATGTCAACATTTTTTTACGTTCTAAGGGGGGGGGGGGGAGGGAGGGAGGGGTTGGGTCTAAACTAAAATAATTCGTTTGGTGAAAAAAGTTCGATATTTACGGACGGCCCCTTAACTCGTTAGAGTTAGCACTTCGTTAGAACAATGGCTTTTACAGTACTACATCTATTATACATATGTTGACTATACCCAGTAACAATCACCATGAGTCATACAATCATGTGCACACCATACATAGATGAGTGATGAATCATAATGTTGCAATCATGTACATGTACATGACATGCATGGTGAGTAATGAGGTAAGTCATATGAGTAGTCACGTGACCATGGATTAACCTCTATCTCTGTAGACTATTCAGGTACTACCGTAAAATCCCGCCAGAGCGCCCCGTCTCTCCCATCCGCCCCTCCCTGACTTCTTGTCAGGGACGTGATTGATTGTATCCTCGTATGACTCTGTCGCAGTGTCTGTGATGCCATACTGCACTGCAGACGCGTGCCCGACCCCATTGGAAATGTACGCAACAGTGCCCACCCTCCTGACCAGGGATCGCACAAACCCTGCGTTTTGTCGGGTCTGTCCGACTCCTGGCTCTTGACCTTTGGTCGGTGTACGAGATGCACGAACAGTTTTCGTAGGGTGAGTACTTTTTCATGTTGCACTTAATGCGGCAAGTAGGACTCGCCCATCCGCCCCTCCCCACCTGAAGCGTCGAGGAGGTAGGGGCGCTCTGGCGGGATTTTACGGTAGTAGTCATGCCCGGCGTACATGTAGGTATAACTCACAACTGTTGCCATGACATTGAGATGGATCATGATCATGTTGCGCAACGTCAGGCGCAGTGTTCTGCGGCTGAGCACGCTGAGTTGCGTGAACACTGTCTCTCCGTATTGATCTCTATCAGCAGTGGCATAGAGCAGACAAGAAGACTGTCTGTGCACCATCACCACCACTGATGAACATGGTGCCGTCATGCCCTGCCACTGGGCAGTCTGAAAAATGTATAGAACCTACCCCGCTTTATGGAGCAGACCCGCTATAGGGAACAGACCCACTGGCGGGAACAGTCCCATGCGATTACATCATACCCGCCATAAAGGATGAGTCATTCGCATAATCTCTATAGGAAACATACCCACTACAGGGAATAGACCCACTATCGGCAACAGACCCACTATAGAGAACACACCCACTATAGGGAACAAACCCACTACATGGAATAGACCCACTATCGGCAGTATACCCACCACAAGGAGCAGACCCACTATAGGGACTCACTACGTCACAGGGACTCATTTATATACTGCACTTCAGCGTTCTGGCATTGTATCGGCCCAAGTAGTGCAATGCAGTATGTGGAAATGTGAGTCAATGGGCGGGCGAGTACGCAGCACAAACAACGTAAGGTCGAAAGTTCCATCTGATTTTTTTAACATGCAGTGAACTCTTTCTCCCTCTCCCTCCCTCCCTCTCCCTCTCTTCCCTCCCTCCCTCCCTCCCTCCCTCCCTCCCTCTATCTCTCTCTGTCTCCAATCCGGTCAGACTCACCCAAGGCTCTTGACTGTTTCCATGACTTGCACTGATGGCTGGTAAGTGTGAGACAAGCATAGTGGTAAGTGTGAGACAAGCATAGTAGTCAGTGTGAGACAAGCATAGTAGTCAGTGTGAGACAAGCATAGTAGTCAGTGTGAGACAAGCATAGTAGTCAGTGTGAGACAAGCATAGTAGTCAGTGTGAGACAAGCATAGTAGTCAGTGTGAGACAAGCATAGTAGTCAGTGTGAGACAAGCATAGTAGTCAGTGTGAGACAAGCATAGTAGTCAGTGTGAGACAAGCATAGTAGTCAGTGTGAGACAAGCATAGTAGTCAGTGTGAGACAAGCATAGTAGTCAGTGTGAGACAAGCATAGTAGTCAGTGTGAGACAAGCATAGTAGTCAGTGTGAGACAAGCATAGTAGTCAGTGTGAGACAAGCATAGTAGTCAGTGTGAGACAAGCATAGTAGTCAGCAATAAAAACAACAATGAAACAACACAATTCAGATGGGTGTTTCACAGGGCTAGGCAGCAGAGAAAATAAATTTGGTTCTACGCAATGGGGAAATTCAAATGTCCATGTAGACCCAACCAGAGACTGCTGATTTCCATTACAAAGCCTTGGAAGACATTCTGCTCTTTTTTGAAACTGGCAGAAACTACGCAGAACTGGCTTAGCATGGTGTTGCACATTCTAGCACGTTCTCAGGTTTGTGTCATGTGCAAGTATGCCGGCATACTTTCTCCACGTGACCCATTGTGGCATATGCTGCAAGTCATGTACAATAAAATTTATTACATTTAATGTACTGTACCTTTGGGATCATCCTTTCGGTGATGCCACTGGATTCTTCCACTTCACGATATTTGTCGGTGATTTGCTTCAGATATGAAGATGGACACACAGGCACGCATGCACGTATAAATGCACATATGCACATATGCACACATGCACATATGCACATATGCACGCACAGCACACAACACAATCAGTGTGTGTGTTCATTATTCAGGATGAAGAAGCTATTAAAGCAACTTTAAATCTCAATGTCATCAACTTGATTGCTGCACACAGTCCATTCGTGATGCACTTTTGTGAGATAGGAAGAAAGCCGGTTAGGATGCAACATTCCATTGACATGCACTACATGTACTACATGTACGACCAACCTTGATTTGTTTCAATGTCCTCTCCTTCTCAGTGGGCACCACAGCCAGTGTGTAGATGTAGAAGTCAGCAGGGTTGAAGTCATGTGGGCATGCGTAGCCAATACTGAACACAGGCATATGAAGGAAACAGTGAATATATGTGTACCTATGCATGCACTGGCAAGAACATTGAAGTGCTGGTGAAGTGAAGATTGGATGAATATGCTAGTGACTTTTGCATATACCGTAACAGTAGATTGAGTTTTATGACCACTTTCTGCCGCTCAAGCCTGAAAGAAACTCCTAACTGCAGGTCGGATTCAGTGACAGATCGGATGCAGTGGCTTTTTGTTCACCGGAAGGATTGCTGTGGAATCCGGTCTCCACTGAACATGGTGTGATACCCACACTCCAATGAATCGTACATTTCTCTCTCTCTCTCTCTCTCTCTCTCTCTCTCTCTCTCTCTCTCTCTCTCTCTCTCTCTCTCTCTCTCTCTCTCTCTCTCTCTCTCTCTCTCTCTCTCTCTCTCTCTCTCTCTCTCTCTCTCGTGCCGTACCTGGGCCTGTACTACGCGCCACGTGCTTGTCGCGTAGCGCTGGACCAGGGACGTTACACCTGGAGGCACGACAACGTACTCGGGGTCATCGTCAGGAACATGCGTGAGGAGTTTCGAATCCGCACTGCTGCAAACACCGTACAAACCGAAAATTCAAATGAGCTTGACTTCATCTCGTTTTGCAAGGCGGGAGTGAAGCCAGTTCGCGTTCAGCCCAGACGAAAGTTGGTTACGACTGATCTCCTGTCAGCGGCCTCAGACTGGAAACTTCTTGTCGGCTCAGTTAGTGCAAAGATTTCTTTCCCTAGCTGTGTTGCACTTACCACCCTAAGACCAGATATAGTTCTGTACTCTACGAGTCGTAGGATTGTATTCTGGATGGAGTTGACAGTTTGTGCTGAGGACAGATTCAGTGTCAGTAACTTGCGGAAGGACAGGTGGTATGCGGATCTGGCCGATCAATGCCGAGCAAACGGGTGGCAGGTCGTTTCTTTTTCGGTTGAGGTAGGTGTGCGTGGTTTCATCCCGGACTCTCTTTGGAGGGCTCTGAAAGCGCTTGGGTTTTCTAATCGGAGAATAAAATTTATTTGTAATTTGTGCAGTAAGACGTCTCTGCGAAGCAGCTACATCATCTGGTTGCGACATCAACAAAAACACTGGTCGGAAGATCCACTTTTCTGAGGTACTGTATGTGGGGCTCCGTTTATTGAGGTGCGTTGAAATTTATTCTCTTTACTCTTATTATTTCTTTTCTATAATTTGCAAATAATCGACGTGGAGACAACAATTTTATAATAGCAATAAAAAGAACAAATTCTGCAGTCATCGCCACACTACAACGAAGTCATGTAAGTTTACCAGAATTAATTTTCTTGTCACATTCATCAGTGGAAAGTCGTGACTGAAGAGTAACCATGCTGAACAATGATTAAATATACATTCAATGATGTGTTACGAGAACAAAATACAGTGCCAAAATAGAAAGAGGGAAGGTGAGACAATAGCAGTGAAGTGAGAGCTAAGTGCAACGGTGGGTGAAAAACTAATAATTATAACGCTAAAACTGTGTAGTGAGACAAACAAACATGCTGTGCACCTACGAAAACAATTTTAACGCAACTACATGTTTCTTCTGCTTACAAAGATCAGGCTTATGCAAACGAATACAAACAGCCTCAAGTACTTTCAACTGACTAGCATACCGTGCACGACAAAGAACAGAAAAACTAAAATCATCATACACCTGCAGACACTTAGGGTGAGACAACAAGTGAAGAAAAACGGCAGACTTCTTACGATCACAATCACCATCTGATTCCTCGTCTCCAACAACCGCAATCTCGTCCTCCGTTTCATCTCCCAACTCGTCCTCAGTGTCGTCCTCCGTGTCATTCTCCTCATCAACACTGATCGGTCCCAGGCTCGTTTGACGTTGTTTAACCTCTGTTCGTTGACTCCTCCTTTGATCTTGATGGCAACTTGTTACCATTGTTGTTGTTGTTGTTGTTGTTGTTGTTGTTGTTGTTGTTGTTGTTGTTGTTGTTGTTGTTGTTGTTGTTGTTAAATCTTGTGTTCCCAGTGTCCTCGCCGGTGCTTGATCTCCAGTACTGTAATAATTCATTGAATAATTAGCCGTTGATCGTCTAGGTCTTTGAATGTTGATTGTGTTACTTTCTTTGTTGAATTCCGTTCCCTTCAGCCTTCTTTCTCGTTGTTCACAATCAGTGCTTGCCTCATCCATATATGCACGTGCCACCGACACCACAGACTCAGCCCCAGCACCGCCGATGATAGATGTAGGTGGCGGATCTGGGGGAGGCAACGGCAAAGACGGCGATGAGGGCATTACCTCATCACAGCGTCCACTTTGGTCTTGAGCTGAATGTTGTTGTGGTGTGTTATCTTGTGTTGTTATGGTGCATTGTGTTGTGGTGACAATATGCCCATTACCCGACTCCAAGGCTCTCGATACGGGTAATGGAGGCACTATTGCCGATGACGGAAATTGTGCTAACGATGGCTGTGGCCGAGGGTTCTTCAGTGGCCTGCCGCGTTTTGGTCGCAGTGCCCGTGCCGAGCCAGTCAGCATATGCAGTGGGACGTGCTGCTTGATACGTGCGTTCAGATGTTGAAGAGTCCTACCAACGTACCGACTACCGCATTGTCGGCACTCAAATTGGTATACCAATTTAGATGCAAGTTGGGTTGGTAGGACATCCTAACTTACATGACTTCGTTGTAGTGTGGCGATGACTGCAGAATTTGTTCTTTTTATTGCTATTATTTCTATAATTTCCCCATATTATGAGTTCCCATCAGTTGCTGTGAACACCTTGAGAGGAGAGCGCTTGCTCGAGCGTTGAACCAGGTTCTTAATCCACCATACCCAGTTCGCAAGGCTGGGCGGGGCTGTGAGCAGGCTTTCATTTCATCTTTTCTTATTATTTCTGCTTTTCATCTCATTACAAAAATTCTGCGCTTATTCTCCATCTGCGCATAACATCTAGACTGACAACCTGCTTGTTAAATCATGCACCTGCTTTCAGGCGTAAAAACCCTGTTGTAGAGGTCTCAGTCCTCATTTGTTAGACTTACCTGTCTTTATAAATGTAACTTTCTCTCTCTCTCTCTCTCTCTCTCTCTCTCTCTCTCTCTCTCTCTCTCTCTCTCTCTCTCTCTCTCTCTCTCTCTCTCTCTCTCTCTCTCTCTCTCTCTCTCTCTCTCTCTCTCTCTCTCTCTCTCTCTCTCTCTCTCTCTCTCGTTGCTGCTGATCGTGATAGATATTACCAGCTTGTTTATCAGTATAGTTAGTTCTTTCTTTCTTTCTTTTTTCTGTTCTTTTGATGCTGCTCCGTTATGACGCACATGGCGCCCCTACGACCAGAATGATTATGGATTATAGTCATTATACATACATACATACCTACACTCGTTCAACTAAATGTTCCAGGGAGGAATGGCTTTCAGGTGATCTTATAGTGTGACCCTGAATCCAGGAGAGTAGCTGTACTCTTCGCTGCCCCCCCCCCCATCACTGGGTCTCAGTGGCAGCATTTCAACTTCTATTCAGTGAAATCGAAGCATGTGTTAGTGAATGTGTCCGTCGCATGGGTGCATGTGTGTGTGTGTGGGGGGTGTATGTGGTGTGGGAAGGGGGGGGGGGGTGTATGTGGAGGAGGGGGGGGGGGGGGGGGCACCGGTGGTACCTGTATGTACACATACAATCATGTACAGCAAAACCTGGTGTAAGCGACCTCTCGTTTTAGCGACCACCTGCTCTTAACCCTTTGTCCTTTCGCCCATACTTGAACCGTACACCTGTGTACGGTTCAACCCACGCATGTTCAAAGCGACCTGGAAGCTACGCGGATCACCCGATCCACATGAAAATTCACGTGCACACAGCCTATGCTATGTAGAGGATGATACACAGGTCGCTGGGGCTAGTTGCCATTTGAAAAAATTCAGGAAATCAAAGTCGAAGTTTGCTTGCGCCGTAACTTCCGACATGGCAGCACGCAGGTCGCTTGATGCAGATGAAGCGCTTGTTTTAGGATAGCTGGAGTGACCCAAGCGACAATCCTATGTCCTCTGATGAAGAGAACGAACTGGACGAAGCCTTAGTAGAAGGTGTTGATTCTGATTTTGATGACGACGCGGATTATGATGTCGTAACCGTCGACCCAACTGTCGGACATGTCGACCGCTCCGATTTGAGCGCAGGATCGGCAGAACAGCACTCGCGTGGTGAAGAGAGTGTACTACCGCCGTGTCTTACCCGTCGTGGAGCAGCAGGGTCAGCTAGAATGCGGCAGCACGTGGAGCGGGAGCGTAGTCCGATCCCAGAGAGGTCCAGATCTCCGTCACCTGCGCGCCGTCAAACTCATGGTCGACAGCCGCGCAGAGCGAGGAGAGTAGCTGCACAGGGCCGCAATGTCGAGCATGTTGCCACTGTCCTCTGGCTGATGCTCCGTGTTTGCCCGACATGCCAGGGGTGCTACTGCAGGTCATACTTGTACAAATTGCACATTATTATACAAAGGAAAGAACTTGAACTGTGAATTTTGCCGATTTTTGCCAAAAAATCATTTTTGATACTCTTGTTTAGCCACGCCTATCTGAGGAATTCAACCTAAACTGCATTTTTAGTTCACAATTATCATAAGCTTTCAGGAAAACATAAAGTGCACATACAAAATATCAGCTGCTTGGGAATGGTGAGTGGATTTGTTGAAGCATGTACCCCTCACATACATTTTGGGCAAAAGGACAAAGGGTTAACGACCGTTTTTCCATGCACGGACACAGACACTGTGGGGCCTACCTGGTTCTAACGACCACCTGGCTTTAACGACCGCTTTTCCTTGCACCGTGGTGTTGCGAGTATTATTTACGCATGTTGTTGTATTTGGTTCTTGTCTCGTAGAGTCCAGTGTCTGATGTCATGTATGGTCTAAGTGTACGTGTGAGCATGGTGTGATGTGTGACGTTTATGGTGTGTGGTGGATGCAAGAGTACGCATTGTTAGAGTGTGAGGATCTGCTTCCGTCTGTGTGAGAGTGCATGACTGTCAAGTGAATGCTGTACATGCGCAGTGCTAGTTTGGTCTGGGAATGAGAGTCATGTGTGATTCGTCCGTGGTCTGGTTGTCTTGGTCTTGGTCATGTGCTCTGTACGTATTAGTCCCTGATTGGTCGTCCCGATTTGTCGTCGCTTTATTACTGCTTGTTCTTTGTTGCTTCTTCGTGTCTTTTCCGGTGTGTCTTTTTCCTTTGTCTTTCGTTTCACCTTTGTTTTCGTCTCTCTCCTACTGTGCCCTTTCCGTTTGTATAAGAAGTCAGAAACTCTACCAAGTTGTTTTCGTTGTGGTGTGGTGTGGCAGGGGTCAGGGGGAGAAGGCAATACTATTTCAGTGGGGTGGTCGCTTAAACCAGGATTTACTGTACCTGTAAGTGTGTGTGTGAGGGGGGGGGGGGGAGGGGGGGGGGGGGAGGTATGATAATAAAGTCAAGGAGTGCTTGGTGTCTACCACTGTGAGAAGAATAGTCTAGCATCACAAAGTTGTCCCCCCCCCCCCCTCACACACACACATGGGTACTCCGCAGTAAAACATACTTGGAGAAGTAGGCGACGGCATCAGATCGTGCTCCGAGGTATGCTGTCCTTCCTTCTGCCAGCAGAAGTAGCCTAAATCATGCATGTACCGGCGCAGCCAATCAACAACAATAGCACATTAACACTCAGGGCTTAGGTTTTAGTTGATCCACGAAGTAGTACTGTAAAAGCCATTATTCTAATGAGGCGCTTATATAACGATTTCCCAAAATTGACTGGTTTACGTGTACCAAAGGTAACGATTCTCGCTCATTCTCAACGCTCAATAGGACAGTATATGTATCGATTTCTGTATAACGATTTCTATTTTAACGACAGATTTCTCCTCGTTAACTCGTTAGAGTTAGCACTTCGTTATATATATGGCTTTTACAGTAACATATGAGTACTTGCCTACCCTTTAATCAGAGGCCAAGTTATGCACAGTCCAGTGCCACATGCTATGCTATATGGGCTTCACATTCACATGTCACTATACATTCAGGACACTAACATGTTGAACAACTGAGTTGGAAGAAACATTGGCTTATCAATGCTGCACGTCCTTCACACATGAGCCAGGGCACTTGTACATGCATATTGAAGCAGTCCAAAGGGAGTAAACATAATCATTGAATAGTTATTTCGAAAATACACATGAAGAGAAGGAAGAATAGCAAAGTGGTGTACATAATGATGATGTACACTCACACATAGAAACATACAAAGTTTTACACTTGCCCATGCACACATGCACAGGCACATACCCCCCCCCCCCCCTCCCCCCTCTCCTTGAGCCCAACCTCTCTTCCTTGCACCTCCATCACCTCCGGGTTTAGTAACGTGCCGATGCACATACCTGCAGCACCTTTTCACTCCGAGTCCCCTCCCTCCCCCCCCCCCCTCCCCGGTTTAGTTTCATAAGTTACACGTGCATATGCGCACATGTGTTGAGATGTAACAAAGCATTGTGCTACCACCTACTCATCAAAGCAGTTGAACACTTCTGTTGCTGGCTGGTGGATGGTGCAAAGGACAGTGCGACCCTTCTCTGACATATTCTTCAGATGGCGAACAACAGTCTCTGCAGCAAACGAGTCCAGTCCAGTGGTTGGCTCATCTACAAATAGAAGTGGTGGATCAGTCAACACCTGTACAAATACACACACATGCACACAAACATACACATGCACACATACATACACATACACATACATGCACACACCTGATGCACATACACACACTAAGGGATACATACATACATGATGTATGCACACAAATATACACATTATACTGTACACACACAAACACAAAAAACACAAATACACACACACACACACACACACACACTCAAAACACACGCAAACAGGATCTTAGCTACACCGGCTAAATATACTGAGTGATTGCCAATATTTTGATTTATCCTGAGAAAAGAAAGGTGTAGAATGACGTGATGTTGTGAGCTGTGTTGCACCACCAACCTCTGTTGCAAACGACAATCGCTTCCTTTGTCCACCGGAGATGCCCCGGGAGCGACCAAAAACACTGCCGATGTAGGAATTGACAACATCAGATAGCCCAAGCTAGACGCAAAAAGAAGAGGCGATATCAGTGAAAACTGGCACTGACTGCTGGGTATGCCATGAACTAGTCAGCTGGCCTGCACCCCTGCAGACTTGATGATACATGATAACATGATATAACCATGCATGCATTCATGCCATAAGGCTGAGCAGGATTTTGTCACTGCTAGGGAAAGGGCCAGTCCCAGACTCCCACGTATGGCTCTCACCAATCCCGCACTAGTTATGTTTATTTTGTCAGGGCATGTCGCAAGGGAAGATGGTTTAAATAGTCACAGGGAAGGAGATGCCGGTAGTGGACATTTCAAACTACACAAGCCATACATGTACAATCATGCTGTTCAATAAAACACATTTTTCGACGAAAAGTACGTTGAGTGGAACTACTTGTTAGCGTAGTCAACTCGTCCCGTAGTTCTGTAGTTCTGCAGTGATTGGTTATGGAGGGGAGCTAATTAGCAGACTAGCAGCAGTAGCTAAGTGACTGAAAATTAGATGGCTTTACATGTACATTGCTAGATGGAATTGAACCAGAACGTTTGGGGGAGGGGGTAGGGGAGGGGGGGGGGGAGGGGGGGGAGGAGGGGGGGGGATATTTATGCCCAATAAACATAGGGTACCTCGTGCAGCACGTCCTGGGCTCTCTGCAATCGTTCCTTTCTCGAGAGTTCCCTGTTCATCCGCAACAGAGCCTATCAGGTGCCATGGACATGCACATACACAGGTGTGAGTAAGTACAGACTCACGTATGCACATTATGCAAACATACAAACAAACAAGCACAGACACACAAACGGGCACATGGCAAAAGGGCCAGCCATGACATGTCTATTGAATTATAAAATTCTAACCTTCCATCACTGTGACATCTCACAGAACTGCATGATGGACTGTGTGTTGTAGCATGCCACCAGCGTTATACAGGGTATGCGGTGATCATGCCATTTTGATATCATGTGTTCTCTCCGGCACATGATATCATGTGTTCTCTCCGGCACATTTTGACATCATGTGTTCTCTCCGGCACATGACATCATGTGTTCTCTCCGGCACATGATATCATGTGTTCTCTCCGGCACACGATCTACTGCTCTATGCTACTTTAGAACAGGTAATTTTAGCGACTATTAATTTTAGTGTTTTCCCATTGTCAACCGGTTAGCGACGTTTTACTTTAGCAATTTAGCAGCGATTTTACTCACGGATCACCAGTGCACTACTAATGTCTCAACCGATTAGCGACTTGAAACTATAGCGAAAATGAGTCGATCGCTAAATTCGCTAGGGTTTTTACGTCGCTAAAATTACCCGTTCTACAGTATTTTAGTTGCCTGTGCTGGGCCCAGCAGACTGAGGCCCACGCGAGCAACACAAACTCACAGATTACCTGCACGGTGAGATGCTCCAGAACGGTCAGGCTGCTGAAGAACAAGTCTTGCTGCTGGACATAGGATGAGATCTTGCGCACGTCCGATGGCTTGATGGCATTGTTGTTGATAGCCAGCACGGCATTGACTTGAAGACCGCTGGCAGTACGATCGGTCAGTAAGTTCAGGAATGTTGTCTTGCCAGCACCACTGAGGAGGAAAGAAATGCCATCAACTTTGATTTTGCAGTTCATTCAATATCAAGTATGCTGCCACAGAACTGAATTTCTATTTTCAGAGCGATGTTTTTACAAATACTGAAGAAATTTGTTAGAGAGTCGGATATAATAACTCTGTTTCTATTACATGCATATACACTGTAGTGGGATTGTTTCTATGAATTTCTTTCACGTACCGAATGGTTGTTGCCATTTGGTATGCATACATATCACTAGCCTTTGTGTCTGTAACTTCAGCAGGTTCGGCCCATCACACTACATGTACTTCCTTCTACAAGTAGGAATTAGCATATTGTGCATCCGATGGCTACCCAGGACGTGGGCTGACACGTCTGATCCTTGCTTCTGTACTGTTCAGAAATACTTTAGCAGCATCACTCAAATGGTCTTCTGTATTGGATTACGTGTATTCGCCCCCCCCCCCACCCCCCCCCCCCACCCCCCACCCCCCCCCCCCCCACCCTCAGTCCCACATGTATGTAAGTGAACAGCTGCGCAGTGTTGTCGGTTGCTTGTGTGTGTGTGTGTGTGTGTGTGTGTGTGTGTGTGTGTGTGTATAATATGTGTGTATGTATGTATGTATATGTGTGTGTCTGTGTGTGTGTCTGTGTATGCATGTGTGCGTGCATGTATGTGTATGTGTGTATGTGCGTGTGTGTGTGTGTGTGTGTGTGTACGTTTGTACCTTGCTCCCATGATTGCTAGAAGCGATCCAGCCTTCACCTCGCCATTGACTGCACAGGCCAGAGCAACAATAATAATATAATGAGTAGATCTACTCATAGTGCCCGTGGTGTAGTACAGTGCTATCACTACACAAACCTTCCATATGAATGATAGAAAACAGTATACGTCATACTGTTTGCTATCATTCATATGGAAGGTTTGTGTTGGGCTGGTGGCGGGGGAGTGTGTGTGTGGCGGGGGAATGGCAGGGGTACGGAGAAGCTTCGGGTTAATTGTGGATGTAATGACAACAACAGTATCCCCCCCCCCCCCCCCACCACCATGTACCCCACATACACATACATGTACTTGGAAAGTGTAGACTTGCAGCGAAGTGCTTTGTGCTGACCTGACTATTCTCGTAATTGATTGCAATCATCTCAAGCCCAGTGGAGGACATTTTCAAATTTGGACCATAACTGGTAGCGGGGACATGATTTTTCATGTGATATTCTACTCTGTTAGGTTGGCTGCAGGGACAGGGGCGTAGGAACAACAGGTCCGGCAGGTCCGGCAGCCGCCGGACCTGCCAATGTTTCGCCAAAAAAGAAAGAAAAAAGGCAGCAAGCATCTATTTCAATCATGGCCCATGTTGAGGCTCCAAGTCCTACTTACGCAGTACAACCCGCCAGGAAAGGCTCAATCACCTGATGTTCCTGAAAGTCCACAAGAAACTACTGGACGGCTGTGCCTGAACTGAAGTAAAGTAAAGGGTTTTCACTGCGTATACAACCGGCTATACGTTGAGAAACACAACCAGCTCAGGAAGTTTCACTCGTGCCAGCCCATCACCATGCCTGTGATACCAGGGTGGCAGATGCAGCGCCTAACGCCGAGGGTGAGGTGGTAACTCTCACAACCGAAGGGGGCGAACCTCGAGACGTTAGCTGCATCCATGACGGTTACCTGGTTCCCCTCACTCTGAGCAGTGAGTGCCCAGTTGCCCTGGTTACCCTCACTCTGAGTAGTGAGTGCCCAGTTGCCCTGGTTACCCTCACTCTGAGAAGTGAGTGCCCAGTTGCCCTGGTTCCCCTCACTCTGAGTAGTGAGTGCCCAGTTGACCGTGGGTGTACTTAGTATTCTAGTATAACCTCAAATCTTCCATGATACCACCACAGTATTTGTTTATATCAAGCCTTTTACAAGTAAAATCTCCCTCTTCACTCAGTAGAGACAGAGTCGCGTCGAGCGAGCTGTATTCTCGGTGCCGAAAGGCGGGCCCACCACCCCTGTATGACAACTTCCCCACGCCTAACCCTCAAGACGAGCTACTAGTAGTCATACTGGGCGGAGTTAAAAATTTAAAAAACCGCGACCTGCACGAGCTAAAAATACGCCGGACATTTAAAATCTGCTTCCTACGCCCCTGAGGGACAGCGTTTATCATCACAACATGAGAGAGACAGAGACAGAGTACTAAAGAGGTTTTCCACCGCGGTATTTGTTGGGGTAAAGTGAAATCGGTGTCGAAAATGGTGTTCGAACATGATATTTTGTCGTCTACGGTGACAATTAAAACGTTACGATTACACCGTCAGTTGAGATGCTGTGGCAAAGTCACGGCGGCACAGCGATTCACTAGCTCAAACAAATCTGTGTATTAAAACCGTGCAAACCGCCAACACTGTATACCAGGTATACAGTGTGTCCGTAAGCGGTTCCGCTGACTCACCATATGATGGCGTCATTCACAGAATCCCTATAGGCTATAGGCTCCCTGAACCGTTGTGTGGTGTACTCATGGCCATGTCTCTGTTGTCACTGCCCATCCTCCTGACCTTTGTGTTTTGTGTTTTGGATAATCATGCATACAATGTCATGTACATGTACATCCAAGTTTACAAGTCTTTATACTTAGTACTCACTGCTGTCCAGAATGACCTTGGCTGGCAAACCCTTCCTCGGCTGCTCAGGTACTTGGACGGAGACGCCGTGCCAGGAGAAGTTGATGTCACTGTCGATGGCCTCTCGGATAGATCCCGGTGCCGGCCGAGACCACGGAGGTATGCAAGAGATAGTCTTTAGTCGCTTTCTGCTCATGATTATTGCCCTACGCTCGTACAGGGGAAAGTGGAGCACGCACACAGCAACAGCTGAGCAACACTAAACTAACTTAGAACTAAACTTGGGACAACAATTGTCCGAGCAGCGAGTAGGGCGACTGTCATTCGGCAAGGATATCGCCGCTGCAACACTCCACAGTCCAGGCACGAGCTTTGCCTTCGGTGAATCAATCCTCCAGCATGCTCACGCGGTGAGAGCGCCCTTCCGTACTGTGGTCAGCTCCCATGCCGCGGTCGAGGGCGAGGACGCAGACGCGCTTGTCAAACTGCAGTGTACATGTACCGGTAGCGCGGTAGATACCTGCACAGATCAGACTCAGTACCTTTTCTTTTGACAAGCAAACAGAACGATAGCGCGAGATGCAGTATTGAGTTGAAATCAATAATCTTTACGGCTTGGCTTGGAGAGGCGAAGAAATGATGCACAGCACAACGCTGAGACTGGTGTACCGCTCCTGAGTTCTCCCGGATCCCATCTCCGCAAGCATTCTGGTTTCACCGAGCGTTACCTTGTAGGTAAGACTGGGCCAATGCGGGAAACTCGCTATCGGATCCGGACCGTAGATCGTGTTTTCAGTCTCAGAGTAGAATTCCATCAGTCACATTTCGGAAGAATGTGGGCTGGTGATTTCACAGCTCATCAATACTAGTAATTGAGAGTACCTAGCATTCACGAGTACAATAATGTACATGGTTTGTATACCAAAGCTCAAGCCAAGGTAAAGCAATCGACCAAGGAGGCATCCAACTAATTACTTCCACAGTTACTTCGAAGCTAGGACCGGCTGGCGGACCCGGGTCAATAATAATAAGCAATGCTAAAGTATGGCACGCGTTTTCGCACCGTCGGGAATGCCTGTAACTAGTGTAAGACAGTCTTACAGGCACAGTGTAGCAGTATGCTAGTGTAACGACAGTGTGCACTCTGTAGCTAGGTCTGCCCTGCAGTAATAATATCGTCAGTATCGTCTACTATGGACACTTTGGAATATGAAAGGGTCAGTTCATACTGGTATCTGGTGTGTGATGACTGTGTTCCTATCGCTACCAGAATACTGAATGGTAACGGAAGTCATTTCTATGTCTGGATCTCGGTACGGACCTCGGCGTACCGGTAGGCGCTTTACCTACATAGTTCTGCTCTTCACTCTCAACTTCAAGGTGGTATCTTGAAGTCGAGAGTGATCAGCAGCGCTAATTGAGTTGTGTCGGTTAGCCCCAAAATGCAAGACTCAAGTTCTTAGCAGGAAACAAATCTACAGTGACTCCCGAGAAAAGGGTAATTATGTGCACACGCAAAGTGCGGACTGGCCTGTCCGAACTTCTCACTGAAGCACTTGTTGTGCACTGTCTAATTATTACGACATGATTGTATTAGCTACCGTGCATGTTTCCTTAAAGGGGAAGTTAAGGCAAAAATTAAAATTTCACCAGTTGTAGTCTTTGGGGTGCTGAGTCGAATGGTCTTGGTCCGAGAAAGCTGAGACGCTCCCTTCCTACTTGAATCCCAATCGAACTCGCGCACTTCCACCGAAACTGGGTGACTGCGCCCTACTAGATGGGGATTTGTATGCAAAATGTCACTAAAAGCGCCATTTCGTTCTGATAAAAGCACAGATGACCGCGATTGGCCCATATGTTGTAGTCTATTGGACGCTGAGTCGACTGGTTTTGGTTCGAAAAGGCTGCGATGCAGCGTTCCTCCTTTATTCCCAATCGAACATGGTTGAACAAGTGGTCACGTGCTCCTGGGTGCCCAAATCACCTGGTCACCACGCCAGCAGGCGACAACTTTCACACCAAGGTTCAACTCGAGTGACAGGACTGCACCCAAAAAAGGTCAAACAGGCTAGTAAGTTGTACCCTGCAGGCACGGTGACCAGGTGACTGGTGTACGCAGGAGCACGTGACCGCTTGTTCAACCATGTTCGATTGGGAATAAAGGAGGAACGCTGCATCACAGCCTTTTCGGACCAAAACCAGTCGACTCAGCGTCCAAAAGACTACAACATATAGGCCAATCGCGGTCATCCGTGCTTTTATAAGAACGAAACGGCGCTTTTAGTGACATTTTGCATACAAATCCCCATCTAGTAGGGCGCAGTCACCCAGTTTCGGTGGAAGTGTGCGAGTTCGATTGGGATTCAAGTAGGAAGGGAGCGTCTCAGCTTTCTCGGACCAAGACCATTCGACTCAGCACCCTGAAGACTACAACTGGTGAAATTTTAATTTTGCCTTAACTTCCCCTTTAAGCGCTCACCAACTCCACTCGCCAGCGTGTTCTTTCCACTTAAAAATACCTCCATTACCCGAACAGGCCCTCAGCTGCGCAGATCATTGCGCTGATGATGTCCAATGCCATGGGCGAAATGTTGGCAGCATTTTATTCTGTTTTAGTCTTTTGTGTGCAGCTGAGCTGAGAACCTGTTCGCGTGAACGTGCGGTATTTGCAAGTAACGTTACCATGCACGAGTGGTGGAAACGTGGGTTTTCAGTTTTTCTCCACTCCAAGATCCTGGTACTGACACGTCATGACTACGTATCGGTATGCAAGGTCGGATGCAGGCCCTACGTAGACTCTACGTCTTACTCTTTACGAGCATGGAATATGGCTACACGACAGCAAAAACCAGCAATCTTCAACAGCGTACTGCGTAGATCAAGGAACTAAACAGTACCCGGTAGATCTACATGACATTGGACATGACTGTTGACATTGTACATGACTTGTGCACTTCGGCTTCGCGGTCATGGTGCCGCTGATACAATGCCAACGACCAATGCGACGATTAGTATTACCAAGAGTACATAACCCCGGAGGTTATGTACTCTTGGTACATTACTATTATTATTTTGAAGCAAAGTGACAGGTTCTGAACCAGAAAAGGCTTTTGGAATCCTTCTCGACGCGAATGAGACCCCCACAATCATGCATGCGCGTGCTTTACCTTCATGATCTGTTATCACGTAACTACTTACTTCACAAAACGATAAGAACACAGATTAATACATGTGTCATGGATTACAGAATCGTGACCAGAAAACCGAAAGCTAGCCTATAGCTAGTATAGCTATAGCGCTATAGCGCCCGCCTGGATAGAACTGACAATGGACTTGCACCTGGCTGACACTAGTAATGTAGTATTACTACATTGTAGTATTACTAGTAGTAGTAGTAACAAGGAGACGTGAAAGCTCACGACTCCCCCTGCGAGTACGTGTGAAGTCACAGTGTGGTCACGGCTGTTAGCTGCAGTTGGAAGTAATAGTTGGATCACGGCAACTACAACGTGAACCATGCAAAATCAACGCATGCTCATGCAAACCAGTCAGCTGGCTGGCCTGCTCGCCCACGCATTTGACAGGTAACAATTCCATCAAATTATTTTGAGATATCGCTTCGTTCTAAGTCTCAAAACAGTTCTAAAGTCACCAAACCACGCTGGTAATCGATGGCTATTCAATGTTAATTGGGCATCGTTGCCGTTATTTTCCACGGTGTTCTTCTTCCTCCTGTCTGGAGCTGCAATTGCATCCTGGAATTATTTGAAAGGTATTTCGTGCGGGCTGTGGGGGGTTCCAACAGGCATAAACTGACATCGCTATAGGATACATATGTAACTGGTAACTTTCACCCTTCAAGGAGGTAGAGCAATGACATTTTTTTTGTGGCGGTCGTCCAATTTTTGTGGCGGTCGTGGCTGTATTTGTGGACTTAGAAGGCTTTCATTCTGCCTGATACTACTCTCTACTGTATTGGAATAGTGGTTTAGGCACCTGTAGCTGTCTTATTTTGTAGATCTGCTGTTTTCAGTCACTTGGGGTAGCGCCGTATTGGCTTGGCTGCAAGAGCATTTCTTTTCTTCTCTAATTTGGAGACACTCTGAAGTTATGGTTCAAACACAACCTGCTTTCTACACCCATTAAAATTCGTTTATACAACACTTTCGTTCTACCAATCTTGACCTACAACCTTGCTTGCCATGGCCTGTCCCGTGCACAAGAAAAGCGCCTAGATGTGTTTCATAGGAAACAGCTGCAGCGTACCCTTGGAATTACCTACCCAGATGTCATCTCGAATGCAGATTTATATGCTGTTACTGGCCAGTGCTCTGTATCTGAAATGGCCAAGCGGGACAGGTGGAAGCTATCAGGACATATATTACGCCAGCCAAGTGACATCCCTGCAAATGTTGCTCTCACTGCTTTCTGTACATATGCTACCAGTCAGCCCTTTCGCCCCGCTCTTGCCTCACCACAAGTCTCCAGCGAGACGTCCGCCTCACACCTATCTGAATTTTTAAGCCCAGCTGCCTTCGTGATCTCGGCTCCTGGTATCCCGACCACGGTTCACCGAAAACGCGTTCACCGAACGACCATTCACAGAACGACGTTTCACCGAAAGACATTTCACAGAGTGTAAGATTTAGCGACTGTTCGTTTCGCCCAAAATCAGGTTCACAGGAAACAGGTTCATCGAGAGCATGTTCACCGAATATCGGTTCACAGAATAGCAGTTCTGCCGAATAGCAGCTTCACCGAAAAAAGGTCGCTGATGACATCGATATAATATATCGCATTCGAATCCTCTAAAGAATAGCAGTTTCACCACATAACAGTTTCACCGAAACCATACCACTCATTCCAGCGACTCTGATATACATCGCATTTGAGTCCTTTTACTTGTGAAACTAATTCAATGATAGTTCTGGTAGCATGTCAGTTGTTCCAATCGTAAATGTGTAGGTTTTCGCACACGCACAATGTAGGCGCCAAAAGACATACTCGCTGCCTGGAATAGGGATTCGCATGTACTGAACTGCAGCCAGACTATATCAGCACAGACTACGAAATTGCAGCTATCAAAGCATACAGACAGAAATTCCCTGATGTGGCCACTCAAGGCTGCTTTTTTCATCTCTCTCAAAAATATAATACAAACATATTCAAGGTGCTGGACTGCAACAAATGTACGCTGAGCAACCTAACTTTGCTGTTAGTCTTCATGATCGCAGCCCTTGCTTTCGTTCCGCTGGGAGACGTTGCGGATTACTTTGAGTCACTGGTAGCCGACTTTCCTCCTGAGGCGGAGGAAGTATTTTAACGTACTTTGAAACTTACTACATACTATATGATAGGCGGTCTAAGAGCTAATGGGACCAGAAAAACGCCTTTGTTCCGGCATGAGTGGTGGAACGTGAACACAAGAACGGCTAATGGAGAACACAGAACGAACTACATCCAGGAAGGTTGGCATCGCCGATTTTCAGCTGTAGTAAACTGCCCTCATCCAGAAAATCTGGAAAGAATGCGTGCTGGGCAAGATGGGCCAACAAGGAAGGAGCGGTACAGGAAGGTGATCAGCGCCTGCGCACTGTAGTGACCACATTTGAGCAACGCCCGCCACCAGGGAGTCGTCAAATACCCGTATTTGATGACTCGCTGCCCGCCACTGGAGTTTTTGCGTGGTATTGCCCATGATCTGGCCTTCTTTGTGGAGCCGTTACTGTGATTATTTTCATCAAATGGCACCACAAGTCTTCTTCTCCAGTGTTGTTTTGCATTTTAATTCATTGTGTTGTGTTAGTTTTAGCCGGTAAAAGAGGCTTGAGTATCTTTCACTACACATTTTATAAGCGACCATGATTTTGGGTCAAATATAAGTAATTTTCGGTGAACTGTCCATTCGGTGAAAAATTGCGTTCAGCGATGAAACTGCACAGTCGCGAGTTGTGACTCAATGGATTGACCACCCGTGAGATGGCTCGCGATGAAATGCCACACTCCTAACTGTCGGGACACCCATGCACCTGTTTGCTTTTGACTTTTGTACTACATTACCATGATTACGACGAGAGAAGACAACTCGATTTTCAGTGACTGTACTTGATGTTCATGGCGGTCTATACCTGCCAGTAGAGACTTGTCACACTTTGGCATGAGCACAAGACAATCACAAATTGACGAATCATGAGGATTCCACCTGTACTAGTACTTGTTAGAGCTGGAAAAACTACGGGAAACATGTAAATCGTCGGTCCTTTCTTTAAAAATCGACTGTTTCAAAATTTCAGATACTTCAGATTTGTATAAAAAATTGTTAAAAAAAATCACTGCCACTCAAGTGAAATTCTTGGAAATTTTCAAAGCGCAATCAAAAAAAGAAAGACTGCAGACCGCTAAAGTCACATTCATTTAGCATGAATTGTTTCACTCAAGTACTTCATATTCAGGCCTCCGCAGTCTAGACATAGACTGTAGTAAGATATTGGCTACATAATAACATTATGATGATAATGGTGGACAAGAAGGAGAATATTCTGCCTGTATAGCCAGCTTTGGCACTGCTTTCATCACTTCTATTCATTCTTTTATTTCTTCAGGTGATGGAACAGTGGAGCATCTGAGAACCCAATGGACTGATCGACTGGTGATTTTTATGCACACGTATGTCTCAGGTAGGTCAGACACCTGGAGCGCTTCCTCATCTCTTCACCCCCATACGTAGCGAGATCATGGTGATGATGAAAGCCACAAGGCGATAGCCAATGGCAAGTGCTGCCATTATACCGAAGTTCCTCCCGATCGTATCTGTGCTCTGTAGGCAGGTAAACAGGAAGTCACACACGCACATATGCATGCATGCACGCACACACACGGATACACACACACACACATGCATACACACATATGCACACACACACGCACGCACGCACGCACGCACGCACACACACACACACACACACACACACACACACACACACACATACACACATACACACACGCATGTCGACGCACACACGCATACACACACACATACATACATACATACACGCACATACACACGCACACGCACACACACACGCACACACACACACACACACACACACATACATACATACACACACATACACACACACACACACATACACACACATACACATAAACTCACATACACACACATAAACACACACATAGAAAAGAACTAATGGTTCATGGGACCGTTGCTTCACTCACATACACACAGGCTATCTCACATACACACAGGCTATCTCACATACACTCACATACACTCACATACACACAGGCTATCTCACATACACACAGGCTATCTGGAAACTGGAATATGGGATACAGCAAAATCATTTTTGCTGCATCTCGCATTTCATCCTTTCTTTCAGTTGATACTATGTTTTCGATCACCAAATCGCTTGATAATATTTCATCTAGGGGTTCAAATCACTGTGGAGTACTCGTGGAGTGCGCATGTGCAATATTCAAAGGTTGTTAGCTCTTGTTACCCAACACACTGTATTTTAAAGGTGTATTCCAAACAAGTAGTTATACTTATAAGGAAGGCGGTGACGTCAATGGACGAATGTCATACAGGTGCTACAAGGCACGCAACTCCTGGGCTACATTTACGTACCGTGTCGAAGCCGAAATGCTGCAGGACCTGATCTCCATTGCTGAAACATGCCTCGGTCGCGTTCAGAACAGTACAGTTCTCTGGGAATGGGTGAAGAAGACCACATGCAAACGATACTAGTTAAAAATTGTAATGCACTATTTCGTGTTGGCTGCGAAAGAACACAGTGTGCATACTATCACAAGCAAGAATTCAAGTTTAAAGTGAACATGCGTTTAGCTCTCCCGGGGCTACTGCACAATCTGATTGCACATCTGCTATAATGGTAAGTATATGTTAATCTGTTAAAGTGTCAGGAATGCTTCTTCTCATTGATGTTTTCATTATGTTTTAGTCAGTTCTTCACCTTCACCCTGTGTTTGACTTGTTCAGACACACACACTACATATACATGTACATGTCATATAGGTGTGCTGGTAAATCCAACAATTTTGAAGCCAACATAAAAAAGGAAGAAAAAGCCCCCCCCCCTTGGCTGTATTTTCTTGCATGTGTGCCTTTATATCCATCACCATAGGTTCTGGTACTTCTGCATGACAGGTACTTGAAATAACTGTCAAAAGCCCAGAAAGTCGTTATTCAAGCAGTGAATATGACCTGGGGTGCACTAAAAGCATGTCGCTATACGCGAATTGTCGTTATTCAGATAGTCGTTATATCCGAAGTTAAATGTATACAGTTAGATGGGTCTTTGCTCTGGGCATGAAAATTCGGTCGTTATTCGCGAATTGTCGTTATATCCGCAGTCGTTATTCGCGAAGTTGACTGTACTTGACTGTGTGGATTGCACCGGTGCTGACCCTTTCTTTCGAAATATTATGTTAATCCCTCAACAATCACCAGCATTTGAATGGGCTCTCTCAGCAGCTTCGAATTTCCTGTACGCTCACCAAAATCTTGGCTGTTGCCTTTTTAGGGGTGAAACTCTGTAATGCCAGGGCTCACCATAACCTTTTCAGATTTCGACGCCCGCATGCATGCACATGAACCGGCACAGAAAACACGCGGACAAATACACACATAAGCCCGTACTTCAAACATACAAATGCGTGTCCAGGCAAAACGAATTTTTACTGCAATGCAGTGCGGGAATAAGGTTTTACGATAGAACACACAAATAGGCATGGCTGCTACGATGGTGTAGTTTACATAAAAGGCCTGCAGATCAACGTTGTCTGTGCATAATCAATAATACATCCAACTCTCTCTCTCTCTCCCTCTCTCTCTCTCTCTCTCTCTCTCTCTCTCTCTCTCTCTCTCTCTCTCTCTCTCTCCCTCTCTCTCTCTCACTCACTCACTCTCTCTCTCTCTCTCTCTCTCCCTCCCTCCCTCTCCGTCCCCTCCCCTCTCCCTCTCTCTCCGTCTCCCTCCTCCTCCCTCTCCCTCTAACTCCCTCTATCCCCTCCTTCCGTTTGCTGAATCTGTACTGCCTAGCACTGTCATGTACTTCTTGCTTTCCTGATTTCTTCCTCCTCGGCTTAACTTTCTTGTTGTTCGGCCTGCGCGTGTCGCAACAAATTTGCGTCCTCAAATCGGAGCCCAGGAGGAGCCAATGGTCCCATTTCAACCCCTAATAGCCTCTCTTTTTGCTTTTTGAAATAATACTCAATCGTGTTTCCATCTCTGATATTCCATTTTCCCCTGTGTTGGTATAGAAAGGCTGCGAATAACAACTGATTTCCCCATTCAATCTCAGCCCAACCAAGGCTGAATCAAAAATTCGGGACAATGACCTTTGTAAGACATACCTGATGAACATGAATTTGCAATGGCTACTAAAACCAATGGATACAGCTGAGGAAAGCTTCAAATACGCCCCCAAAATTGAAAAAAACAGGCCATGCACCCTGCGTTTATTGGTCAAATCCAATTGGCTACTGGGCATGCTTTGTACAGTCGTGATGAGCCCTGGATGTATTGTTGCTTCAGATTGCTGAAATGAGGGTGTTTTCTGCCTTCAGGGTGTTTCTGCTCATACCTGCGCTTCAGCACCTGTTGTCACCATTGAGAATAGGCAAGGCATTGTTCAAAAACGTTAATTATTTCTTAGGAAAATTGAAAGAATGAACTAAGCAATGTTCAGCTATTCACATAATTATAATGGAGGTGCACATACAGAGGACAGTTAGGCACAGATTTAAACTTACGCAAGAAGTCCTGCTGGAATTCATTGATCATAGCTGCTTCAAACCCCCATCGCATGAACGACAGAGCTTCTAACCAGACAACGTAGCCGGGCGTGGAATTCAGATTCAGGAGCAGACCGCTGAACAGCATCAATGGTACTATACCAACGGGTGTTAGTGCAAACGCCACCGACAAGTTGCTACCAGCCACGGCCGAAATGATGTAGCCTATTGACTCTGCACACAGCAGTACCATCACGTTGACTGCGTAGAATATGAAATAGCGGCCGGCTTCTCTGACCAAACCGAACATGAAATATGTGATGACCGAGGCGACCAGTTGAAGAACCAGTACCAATGGTAGTGTTGCCAGGTACTTGCAGATGAAGTAGACGGCAGGTGAGTATGTTCCACTTTCATACTCTCTTACGAATATGGGGTGTTCCACGGGGACAACCTGAACAGCAGCGTGAGTCACATGATCAATAACATCGGTTAAATGTCTGCAGAGCTGCCCGATGAAATCTGGTCAAGCGAATGAATGCCACGACGGGCACTGTGCAGCCCTAGACCTGCAAACACTGACATTTGAACTGGTGCAGCACGCAAACTGGATTCACACGATTGTATATCATTGAGCAGCAGTCAGCAATTGGCACACGGATCATCATCTTCGTGCAGAGGGTTCCTAGTACAGCATATTTGCAAACAAAGTACAGTCAGACCTCGCTTAACCGCGTGACACATCCGTTTTCCACAAAATATCCGGATAGGCGAGGGAACCGGATAACCGAACACCAGTTATGTTGGATGCATCACGTATGCTGTAAATCTGTAACCAGCTATTTTCTTCCGGATGGCGAGGGATCCGGATAAAAGAGGACCGGATAAGCAAGGTCTGACTGTACTACAAGTTTTGTCTGTGATCAGATCGTTTCGTTGTCTGTGGAGCACTTCAAGGATGAAACTCAGATTGGCAACAAATAATCAACCTTCTGAGAATGTAACTATTACAACCTAAACTAGCAGGGGCACGCTACACACAGTGGAGTTCTTTCACGGTGCATGTATACACTTGTCAGTGCTGAGAGTACTCTTACGTGCGATGTATACACTTGTCAGTGCTGTGAGTACTCTTACCTGCGCTATGTTACCAGCACCGTTGTACCCGCCTACAGAGATGAGTAGGAAGATGGCGCCGGTGATACCCTGCACACGACGCACTATGTTCTCTTCAGTTCCTATGTCCAAGTAGAACAGGCCCATTGCAATGGCCACAACCTGCAGTTCACCAACAAAACCAGAACAATGGCCGTTGCTCTACAAACGAAGTTTTTAATGCGCACGCACGGACGGGGCTTCTCGACACCCAACAGAGCACGGCCAGCTATGGATTTTTTTTAACGTTTCCACCTGACACTCGTGATGCCCTCGGCATTCCGTCGGATGTTTACGCATATTGACCAAGGAGTCCGGGTTCACAATTCCATACACTCTCATCAACAGAGCAGATGTTCTACCCTCGTACCCGTGGCTACACTTAGTCTTGGATGGTTCACTGATAAGTGGTCCTTGGCAGCCTGTTTGACCTGCAGCCGGACCTGGTGCTGCTGCTACGGCCCGGCCTGCATGGTACTGTAAAACCGGAAAATTTTGGTGGAGATTTATTTCCGGTAGCCATTAAAAGTACCGGCAATTTTTACCTAAAATAAAATGTTACCTAAAATTCAACACGCCACGTCCACACAGTGTGCAAAGTGCCTTTTTGGATCCGGAAACTGGTTTACTGAACGTTTGGCGATACCGAACCGTTGATTTTGGGAAATACCGATACTATTACAGCACAGAAAATTCCCGGTTTTACAGTAGTAACCGGAGTGCCCGATTTCTCACTCACCAATGTTGCCATGATGTTGAGCTGGACCATGACCATGCTTCGCATCGTCAGCCGGAACGTTCTCTTGCCAAGCACGGCTAGCTGGTTGAGCACGCTCTCTCCTTGCTCGTCACTGCAGCCGCATGTACATGGAAGCATGGGACTTCATCAAGACTTGTACTGCTAGAGAATATGTGTGGTGCGTCCCTATGTTTTACACACATACAGCTGCCTAAGTGTTGGATTACAGGACGACAGGACTCATTACAAGTGAATGATGTTCACGCCACTTTTGTTCAAAGCGCATTGGCAATCATGATCAACACTCTCACATAGGTTTATAACTTACGCCAACTCCTGTACGGTTCTTGTCAGTGCCGCTGAAGGCTGCATGGTTCACAATGAGACACAAAAAGGTAAATCCATTGTGTGTCTACACTCTGTCTTAGAATCTACAGTAGTGGGGAACATGGTTGCTGTCCACAGGATCTGTACAGAGGATCTGTACAGAGGATCTGTACACAGGTATATCAGAATTATAATCTGTCATGGCAAATTATTACCACTGTGTTTGTGATAGGAAATACATGGCAATCCGCAATCGGTGCACTTAAAACTCAGAGCAGGTATGTTCAAAAGCAGCTCTGGACTTGATCTGGTTTCTTCTGACAGCATCTGAAGGTCGTGTTTTGCATGTGCAACAGCCGACCATATCAATTGCCAAGCAACAGAATACAATCATGCACGTAATATGTATCGCTCGCTGGGCCATACCCAGAAATATCTGTCCAGCACTGGGTTCTTGTGAGGCTGAATTGATTCTTTCATCTGTAGATCTACACTTTCATGAGTTGATGGCTCATAAAGGATACAGCAGGATTTAAAAAAAAAGTTTTGGACAATTTTGCTACCTAGGCAAAGTACAGTTACCTTTGGTAGAGGCCGATCATGGACGCCTTCGTTCTTCTCAACCTCCAGATACTTGTCGGTAATTTCCTACGTCCAAGGATACCCAATCGAATTTTGTTAAATTTATTCTCTAAAGATAATAAAATTTTGGTTTGGAAGTCGGAAAAAAGTATTGATTACAGTCCATTCAGAAAAAGATGATATCCTAGCTTTTTGCCACAAACGGGTCAAATTTTGAGTTTTCGTCACAATTTTTTTGGCAATCCCCCATGGAATGCTCTTCCAATTGTGTTTTTGAAGTTTATTTCTCCAAAAAGCAAGCCATAACAAGAATAGGATTTCGGCCAGGTTTTGTCCCCAAAGCACTGAATTGGGTAAAAACCATGAAAATCCAGGCCGTTCACTCCACTTGCATAACAGTACATTTGCGGTTCGAACGCAGTTGAGGTGCCTCTTTTGCACCCTTTCTCAAGTTTCGAATCGTGCGGCACTGCACAGTGTACCACAAAATCGCCAAACACGGGAGCTCTCCAGAGCCAGTGCTCATCTTTTTCTGAATAGACTGTAGTCTCTGCTTGGATGACAACTACTGTAAGTGGACACATTTTCGGCCCATTCAAATTTCGGCCTCCCAGGGCTAAAACCGATTTCGGCCGCATCAAATTTCCGGCCAGTACTGCTGCTGCCTGTATACACTGTCACACCGAACCTTGCAAAACAAAATTTCGGCCGGAACAAATTTTAGGCCAAGCATGACCTGGCCGAAAATACATGACTTTCAGACATCTTCAAACATCTGATCACAACATTAATGTGACTCTACTAACAGATAAAGCTCAGGTTTGCTACCGTTCTGATGTGCATGGAGTGATCTTCTTTGAACTTGCAAAACGTTTCTAGGCATATTTTCCTGTCATGTGGGTAGTAGTTGTACAACAATACGAAAAAAAGTAACAGTTCACACCTCGATTTTGGCAAGTGACTCTTCGCGCTCAGTGGGCACCACGGCCAGTGTGTAGATGTAGAAGTCAGCAGGGTTGAAACCACTCGGACACGAGTAACCAATGCTGCCACAAAGACACATAGTAACGAATGCAATTCAATGGGGGTTACTTTCCAGTTCCACTGGCTTTTAGTTTAGTTTCACATCCAGTTGCGCTCACTGAAATCTGACCCAAGTAAAAAACTGACACCCGGGACCAGTTCCCATTACATCACTGTACTTTTACATGATTGTGTACGACCGGCCGCATTCGTACCACTTCTAGGTCGTAAAGGGCCATGCAAGTTGAGAGCGCCAAATATTCACATTAGGTCGGATTTCACCAAGAACAACTGTACATGCGAGTATAAAACCCAAGCTGTAATATTGCTATTCAGTGCGAAACCTTCTGTGCATATACATGATTGTACGAGTACATGTCATTATTCATATGATTCGATGGTTTGCAGCTGATTTAAAACAATGTGCTGCTACTGCCCTCTTTGCTACTTTGCAACCGCTCTGACCAGTCCTTCAAGTCTTTTCTGATTCACTCTCTAATGAAGCTAGTGCATGCACGTGCACTTCAAAGTATCACACTGAGCCGGCTCATGTGACTGGCAACTTCCATGAACAAGCAGTAAAGTTAGGACACACTGTGTGTGTTTTTGTTTGTTTGTGTTTGTGTGTGTGTATATGTGTGTGTGTGTGTGTGTGTGTGTGTGTGTAATTTTTAAGCAATCACTGTGAATGGATAGCCAACTCTCCTACGGCAGGAGACATACGTACTTGGAAAAGTATGAAACAGCAGCAGCGCGTGGCCCAAGATACGCTGTCCGTCCTTCTGCGAGCAGGAGCAGACTGGAGTGAAAGCACGAGAGCAGAAGCAATGCAAAGGAGATTGACATGTTCAATTCTTTGTGGTATGTTTCTCTTGCAAGTTATATTTGAAATTTCCTCAATCTCCGACCAGTATTATAGGTATTACATGCGTGTTTGTGTACACTGTATTCACAACATTTTCCCTAGGCTTGTGTCCAGCTAATCGCAAAACATGTATGTGGCACGAGCACACCACACGAGTGCAAACATTCATACATGTAGCATCTTACTCATCAAAGCAGTTGAACACCTCGGTCGGTGGCTGATGAATCGTGCAGAGAATGGTGCGGCCGCTTTTGGCCATGCGCTTCAGATGATGAACGACGATCTCTGACGCAAAGCTGTCCAGTCCCGTCGTGGGCTCATCGGCAAACAGCACAGGCGGGTCTGTCAGCACCTGTTGAAGAGAGAGACAGAGGGTGGATACTTAGTTGGATGACGCAGGAGAGTAAACTGTGCAACACCTTATCTCTAGGTAGCTCTCTACAGTTCTCCATAATGTAAGTGGATGTTCTGCTCTTTGCGCTATTCAGCACAGTGTGGCCAATAGAACCCCACTCTACCTATTTGTTGTAAGCGAGCTAGAGTACCTAATACATGATCACCTTTAGTTACTACTTTCCACCTGTTCTAGCAGGCAAACTGAATGCTACCCCGTTAGCAGAGGAAAGGGACTATACACATGGTCACACAGCCCCATACACCCACTGTGTGCAAGTGAATACCATAATTATACAGATACCCTTCCAGCCCAAACTCGTACCTCGGTAGCAAATGATAGCCGCTTCTGCTGTCCACCGGATATGCCGCGAGTGCCTCCAGATACACTTCCAATATAGGAGTTGATCACATCCATCAGTCCAAGCTGCAGCAATAATTTATTTAATAAGTTAGGAGGTAGAACTGAGATGGTGACAAGTGTCCTGTCGTTATATTCATCATCCAGATATTTTCTCCTTGTCTGCTGAGCCGACTCACTGGCCACGTAAAGAAGCATGGCTGCACTTGCAGTATTTCAGGTACCTGACCAAACCTTACTCTTCCTGTGCAACCATTACAAACTCAACAGTGTGATTTTGTCCTTTGAAGGATACTATGCTGTGTGTGTGTGTATATGTGTATCAAAATTTCCAGAGGCGTTTCAAAAGGCGAAACTACGTATCCCATCACCAACGCTCATGCCTCCTCTCGTCTTCGTCTCGCTCAACGAGAAACACGTTACCTACATGGGAGTGTATACCAGGACCAGGACCGGCATGTGTGTGTGTGTGTGTGTGTGTGTGTGTATAGGATTTTAATGAAAGCTACCAAATGAATCAATGCTTGTTGTGGAAAGTATCTGGCCGTCTACTACGTTCATACTGCTTTGTGCGGTGAGTTACTCTTGGTAGAGGAATAGCAGGCTAATGGTGAAGGAAACCCAGTCCAATCTGTGTACCGGGCTGTCTCACCTCGTGGAGTACTTCATGTACACGGGCCAGCCTTGCCTTTCTCGTAAGATTCCTGTTCATACGCAGAAGAGCCTGAAACAACAAGGCAGCACAGCGCATGGTGACCAATCATAAGTCTGCTAACAATGTAATCATGTTGATACTCGAGGTGGCAAACGTGAAACCATCACGCTAACCCAACAAAACCGAAATGTGTCAGCACGGTATACTAGTCTCTTGTAGGGGCCTGCCACAAGTGCAACTAGCCAGACATTATGAGCGGGTCAGTTTGCAGAACAGTATTTGCTTGATAGTTCTCTCGGGGACAATAGAACCGTGAGTCAAACTAAGGAAGAGAACAGGATTCAGACTCTTTGCAATTAACATTCCACGGTGTCCTCAAGTACTTTCCATTGCTTTCTCTTCAGGTGGATACAGGCAGAAGAAGAAGAACCTAGCCAGTGAATTGGCCTTAAAAAGGTGTAGTTTATATAAACAACAGTGAAGCGAGAAAAACACAGAAAAGGGTAAAATTGTTGATTTTGCACACTTACAAGAAACATAACAAATCCTACAGTTATGCACATTAATGTTTGTTACCGGTATGCACTATAGTGATGTACGCGTGAAGGGGTGTCAACAGCGTGATATGCATCGTGACGGCAATAGGCGCCAAATGAACTTGACTGCTGGTGTTCAAATGTTCTACTTCTCTCCGCCTTAGTGTACATTGTGTTCTGTATCAGCTTGCATAGGTTTGGTTTTCTTGTGTGAATATAGGCAGCTACCAAAACACTAGCAACTTTGTACCATGGCTATGCAAGAACTGAAAGCTACTATCAGTATCTGAAAAATTGAATGAATAGCTGAGTATGCAGCGTCACGGCTGAACTAAATGTAGAAGTTAGCTATGGATGCTTTGAATGTGCGCTAAGAACATTGCACCTTCACGCTAAGGCTATTTCATGCTGGTGATCCAAGCATTGTTAGTTTTGCTTATGTGCCGTCTTTTGTTATCACAAATTCACAATGCACATCACGTTGACTATACCTCTTCTGACGTCCACCACTAGTGCACAACTGTAGGCTTTGCTGTGGTTTCTATGTGCAGGAGAATCATCACTTTTTCTGTGGTTGTTCTCGCTTATCTACCTACTGATGCTTATATCATCTATACTTTGTAGAAACTTTATGCACTGGTTTGTTTCTTCACCTGCCTGTATCCTCTTGAAGTGAGCGCAGTGAAAGTACTCAGTGTGGAGACCTCGGAATGTTGCTTGTACTTTTAAAAGTCCTTCAAGGTAAAACAATGTCTTATGTCTTTTCCATTCCTTGGTCTGTTATGGTCTTGTTCTGTTAACAAAATGATACGCTGGATTGATCCAAGAAGTTACCGAGATTTTCCACTAGACCAATGTAGGATGAAAACTCCGGTTAAAGGCATACCACCTCCGAGTATAATTATGTTTGTCACTTCACAATGTCATGTACATGTCTGTACAGCTGTCACATTCCATGCGTGCTTGTGTTACCTGAACAGTGAGGTGCTCCAGAACGGTCAGATTGCTGAAGAACAAGTCTTGCTGCTGGACGTAGGACGAGATCCTGCGCACGTCCGATGGCTTGATGGCATTGTCGTTGATAGCCAGCACGGCATTGACTTGAAGACCGCTGGCAGTACGGTCTGTCAGTAAGTTCAGGAATGTTGTCTTGCCAGCACCACTAGAATGCAAACACGGTGAATATGCCAAAGTGATTGACATAACGGTCACACGGGTGATCAAAGAACTCCATCGCACCTCCCAAGATTGTTATGGGTAGCACTTTCCCAAAGATGCTCGCCACTTTTTCCCGCAGCTTATCGTTGTTTCGGAAGAAATTGCAACTTTGGCGACTTTCTTCCCGGCTTTTTCGCGAACTACTTCGCAACTTTTCCGCAACCCTGGCCTAATGGCATGGGGGTACGAAGGTCAAGTCACAGACTGCATGTCCGAGAAATGCACACTCGTCCATTTCTCGCGTGCCTTCAGACTCACAGTTTCACTTCTTTTCAGAGAAACTGTGTTATAGATCTACAGTATGGAATATAGTTGCGTTACGTGCATTCCCTTTTTCGTGCACTGAAGTGATGGAGGATGTGTGCAACAGGTTCCTTGCACGGTGTAACGTGACAGTTCACAGCAGGAAAAAATGGGTGTAGAGTTTGCTATCGCTGCACTTCTGCTATTTCCGCTCCATTTTTGGTTGTATTTGGCATCATCGTAGGCACAAGAACTCTCTTGTTTTCAGTTGGCATGTTAGCTACTTATGAGATTTTTCTGAAAATATGGACGCGATTTCAGCAACTTGCACTTGTTTTGGCACGGTTGCATAAGTTGCGAAAATTATGGCATCTTTGATTGATGTTCTGCTATTAGGCATCGGCGGCTAATGCTCGTTTATTTTACTGATAATGCTTTCAGCACTGCTCGTTATTTCAGCAAATAATGCTAGTTTGAATGTTCGTTCTGCACTTTAATGCTCGTAACCGAAGTGAAAATTGTGGGTGAAAGGGATCGTAAAGAACGTCATAAATTCAGAATCGGCTGCAGCATATGATAGTCTGGAAAATGTAAAAGTACTGCATGCATTCCTTTCGGGTTTCAATATCTATTGAATGACTGTGAATGCACATGTGTTGGGGTAAACAAAATCAAGACCACAGTGACATTGTGTTCTGCCTCTCGTTGTGCAGTATGGACATCAGTTGTAAGCTCACAACTCCCTACTCAGTGTCTCTGTACTGCAGCATTAGCTTCACTTCGATGTGACCTTCCAATCTGTTGCTGCTGGTATGACATTGCCGACTCGACGAGAAGAATACTCATTCAGGAGCTGCAGATGAGAGTGGGATGGTGAGCACAACTTTCACAGCCTTCTGCCAATTAAGGTCATCTTGATCTTTCCGCCATGCCAGATGATCAACACTATTGGAAGCAACAGCTGCAGCAAACTTGTAAGTGGCTTGTTGAGGCTTCTTCCATCTATATGTTCAGTATCCCTCTACTGCTTCTATGAGACTGATCAAGTTGATTGATGGATCTTAGCTTTCACCTACTGCTCAATGTCGCTCCGAAGCATTTCAAAAGGCGTTTTGCCTTTTCGACATCACTTCGGCATCACTACAAGCTGATAAACTTCACTAAACAACTTTCCAGTAGAGATGGTCAGAAACTCTTGAGGGAACTCCGCAACTCTAGCGGCAGGGCTGATACGCACAACCTTCGTAGATTGTCCTTGACTCACTCTTGCCCTGGTTTGTGTTGGCTTTCAGGTCCGCTCAAATGATCTTGAATCCGATATTCAAGCTCCCTTCGATCTTTGCAAATCTACTGGTTCAGTTTCATCCGACTGTGTGACTCTGACACATTTTCATCCATTTCATATGACTTGTCGTCATCAGAACTACCTCCGCCATTATCCATGCCTGGCACGGACACTAGGACTAAAGTGGAAGGAAGATCGACTGTGGTGACTAATAACACTTTTTCTCAAAATAGCCATATGTGCGGTGAAGCGTACAGTTTCGGACTAGTAGGAGTGAAACCTATAAGGTAGTGTAATAGTGCCTACTGCAGCGGCAGCTGACTAGAACCCAACCCGCGTGGCTTGCAACAATAACAGGGGCGTAGCACCCGCTACGACTGGCACGATCATAGCCGTACCACTTTTCGAAAAGTGTGGTCCGTCCGAAACGTGCAAAACCGTAATAAAAAAAATCAGGATCCATCGATGCGTATATGCGCATCAGACTTTGACCTTTTTCTAGACTCGTATTCGTAGATCTGCCATGCATCTCCAGTCATACTGAGTACTGTACTCGACTCGACTGCACACTGCGCCAGAAGTGTGCCAGAAGTTCCCAGAACGCAGGATTTTGTGTCTTTTTTACAAAAATTTCCCGGGGGACGTCCCCCCGACCCCCCTCCACCATGGCCTTCGGCCGCGCCGACTTTCGGCTGCGCCGACCTTCGGTCGTACCACTTTCAAAACCCCTCCTGCGTCCCTGAATAATGTAGCATTTTGACCGGCGCAACAAAACATCATGGTTGCTAGATTTTGCCTATTGGATAAGCATGCCATGTTGAACTACGGTACATGATGTAGACTAAGAGTGTAGCCTAGGAGTGCTGGATAGCTACTTTTGAAGTAGCTAGGTAGCTGGGAATAGATGGGGACCATGATTCAGATGACGCTGGAGACACCACGCCTCAGCTGGCTGCGGACCGTGTGACCAGTTTTCGCTCGTCTGGTAGTTCAGTAATTGACATCAAAAGCACCCATAATGCCAGTTTGCTGCGAATATGCCACTTTTATTAATGCTCTGCAGTACTAGTTTACTAAAAAAGCATATAATGCTACTTATAATGCTAGCATTAGCCGCCGATGCCTATCTGCTATACACGTGATGCTTTTGCAAAGCTTGTTTTTGGATTCAAAATTGAATGAAACCATTGCTGGCTAACACTCAGATCCACTCCGTCTTCAAAAGTCTCAAGTGAATTCTACTTTTTAGAATAGAAAATACAAGAGAGAGGCGAAGCTGGGTTGCAACTCCGAGTTTCACGTAGTCACAATCATCAGACAACTGATGGCTCCAAAACGGGCAGCCTGAACATAAGGGGGAGCAAGGTGAGAAATACTGAGGGGAACCATAGCGTACGAGAATATATTTAGAGTAGAGAATATGAATTACCTGGCCCCTTTTACCACTCCAAACTGAGTGGTTTGGTGAATGCCATGGACACGTTTTAGTTCATAGCCACATGCAAGGGACTGTGGCATGGATCACCATCTTGAGGAGCACACTGCATGCATGTGCTTCACGTGTGCATGTGTTAACACATTGATGGCACGGGCCATGTTTGTAATCAGCTTTCAGTCTAGCAAAGCTAAGTGTGTTGCATGTTATCCTATATAGCCCCCCCCCACCCCCACCCCACCCCCACCCCACCCCCACCCTGGGATAACATAATTATAGCAGTACATGTACAATAGTCATGTAGAAGCTGGGACGGCGTGTGCTGGATGGCTGGGAGGCCCCTGGCCCACATACTTCTTACTAAAAGATTTTTATACTTGTATCACAAACAAGTATCACAAACATTTTGTCGCACTCGCTGACTGTATAAGATCTGGTTAAGTTGGTGGACAGTTTGTCATAACTCGTAACATTTTGTCCTTTTCCTTTCTAGATCACAAACGGTAGGAGAAAAAATGAAAATGGTAAGAAAATCAGGTAGTAGTCAACTGGAGTCAAACATGACAGACCATGAGAACACTATCATGGATCACAGTACCTTGCTCCCATGATTGCCAGAAGCGACCCAGCCCTTGCCAGACCATGAACTTGGAACAGAAAGCAAGAAGAGGCACACAATCATGTTAGCATAAGCTAGGTCATCATGTCTGTGTGGCTACCATCGCCACTCACTCTCACCACTCCACCATTGATGTACATCACCAGTCACGCTCACCATCCCACAATTATTGATGTACATCACCCAATGCTCCCCATCCCACCATTGATATCCTAGCTACTACACCACGAATCATTCAATGTTCTCAGCGTGCTACCGGTTCAGAATCTTACTACTCAATAGTAGTACTGAAGTAACTGGCTGCATCTCTACGGCTAGCTTCATGGAGCAATGCCAAACTGACTAAACTATTACTTGTGATGTGATCGACTCATCATCTACAGGTCACAGCCTGTGGTTACTGTCCGGTGTGGTATTAGTGCGTTCGCCGACGCCTGAAAATTGCAGTGCAGACGTTTAAAAGTAATAGCTGATGTGCAAGGTTTTATGTTGCTTTGTCTGTGTGCATCATGTACGTCTTGCGATGACTCTCACAAGCGCGAACTCATGTCACAGTGAATGCGTAGACTGATTACTCTGTGCATGTGTCAAACACTGATTCTCAGAACATGCAGCGAGATGAACAGTCACTTTAAAAAAGCTTTACCAGCATTTCCTCTCACTCCCAGCTTGGCAGTGCACTATGCTCGGTCAAACACATGCTGCGGCCAGCCAAACACGTTTGAAGTTGTCATTGAAAAGGATTCAGGCTGCGTGATGACATTCTACAAACCCAACACTAACGTGACACAATACTTTGACACAATAACTAGAGTTGCTAGACTCACTATTGTTCAGAATAGTCTTGCCTGGAACCTTCTTCTTGGGCTGCTCCGGTACCTGAACGGTAACCCGGTGCCAGGAGAAGTTGATGTCGGTGGCGAAGGCGTCTCGAACTGTTCTCCGGGCCCATGAGGGAGCAGATGATGGCCTGACAGCATCATCAATATTCACCTCCGTTGCATCTATCAAGTCCACAGAGTCGGGAGTCGGGTTCAGTTGCACACAGGAAAGCGGGTAGTCATCAGCAGAACTAGCCCCATCGCTATCCATCTCAGCAGCACCTTCATTGTCGAAGATCAAATCGGACTCGTCAAATAATTCAGCGGCTTCGCACACTTCCCCTGTATTCCGAAGAGGCGGTCGCTCAAGGAGTTCTTGGCGGCTGTTTTCGTCCTCCACACTGACATTTTCGCGGTTGCTAGCGGAACGGGCTTCCCATGCCAATGCTCTGTCTTTGCTCGGGAACGTACTAGAACGGCCGCGTCCATGTTGCCATTTTTCTATTTGAATGGACCGAGCCGAGCCCCATTTGTGCGGCATGGGCGTTTCGTCAAGAGCGCGATCATAACGGCTGGCATCAGTCCGGTCTAGTGCCGTGTCGTCTAGTACACTTGTAGGCTGGTTGTCCATCAGGACGGGGTCATTCGAACCCGCTTATCTGTTCAAATGCACTGCCGCCACCGTCGTAGTGGCCGTCCCAGGTCCTGAGCGTGTTGCTGCCTGATTTTCCAGTGCCTGGCGACTTGAAAGGTGCAACAGCAGTACTCCGCAGCTTCATCAGTCCACCCTAAGTGAACGTGTTACTTGCGTGTGAGGGCTCGGATCGGTCGGAGGCGCCGAGCACAGTCAGTACTACAGTTAGGCAAGCTAAGCTAGAGCAGTCGCCGGAGTCGGAGCAAGCTTCAGTTCTGAATCACCTGTACAGTCAGTGATGGTCGTCGACTTGATCTATTCTTCCTCTGTTCCACTAACGGATCTAGCACTAAGCAGTGATAACATGAACGTCATCGGCAGAAGCACCATGTACATGTACAAACACGGAAGCAGCTCGAGGACACACAACATAATAATGATAAGACGCTGAGAAATAGCTACTCTGTACTTCATTCAGTACATGACACAGTAGCTGGAGAAACTGAGTAGTGGAGACTGCTGATGGTAATAATAATGGAGTGAGCGAAAATGCTTGACTGTAGTTGTCAGCTAGTCGTCATGTTGATGAGCTTGTCATCGCTCATGGGTGCACAGATATAAATGACGGGCTTTGAGCAGCTCATGTTACTGTGACATGTATCTGTCTTGTCAACGGGTGCATGTACATGTACAATGTACAATGTAGATCTACACGTACGTACCAGTAGTCAGTACGATCATGACTGTACATTATTAAAATAATTATGACAAGGAACAATCCCATGCTACTGGACTTGTACAGTTGAGTGTTGTAGGTTGAGTAGCGAGGATGTAAGTGAAGTTTAATAGTAACTGCCGGAAGTATTACAGTTGGTCAATGTTTTTTTCGCAGCAAATGTTTAGGAATGTGGCAATACTACTGTACATGCACTGTAGTCTACTAATACAACCTAACCCGTAGTAACCGGTCTATCGAACCGTCCACTCGGCATTCGGCAACCTTCCAAGAAAGCACCACTGTGTTATGCCCGGCCCACACTAGGCCGATGTTTCGGCCGATGCTCCGACACCGACATGATGAAATAATAATTGGCAGATTGGGGCGGACTACCTACATTGTATACGCGTATACCTATCCAGTGTCCACACACAGAATTGTCGGAAACGCGAGCGACACCAACGTCCGCACCGGGAAATTTTCTCTCCGAATTTGTCGTACGCCCATCCAATGATAGACATGGTTAGCATTTTACCGTTCACGCTATTTTCGACGGTCGGCCAGTACCGTTTTTGTGTGTGTGTGTAATGATATCGGCCGAAAATCGACCTACAAAAGCGTGGGAAAGGCATTTAGGTTTTGCATTCCGAATTTCGGCTCGGCGTTTACTTGTCGAACATCAAAATGCTGGATTTTCGAACGGAAGTTTGTTTCGCAAGTCGAGCATCATGTGAGCTCCAGCATCAGCAACGTCCTGTCCCGTGCTCCTTTTCTCGCTGAATCCAACGAACCTTTGATCACCCAAAGAGTGGAGGGCCAAATCTTCCTTCTCAATTACATGTACCTCAGGAGAGCCAAGTCAAATTTTATGCATATCGCCTTGTCTTTTCAGCCACACAGAACTGATGATGAAGACACTCCAGGGGAAAGGTAGTAGACAGGCAACGGAGAGGAGCAATCGGGGGTAGCTGACGATCCTGCTGTCGCCGAAGACGCCTGCGAAGCCATGACGAGATAAGAAACCTCTTTGAATGAACCACGCCCCACCGCTCTTCTACAACATAATTCTTCGAAATATACTTTCGGCAAAGTGGGCATTTTCCCAACAAACATGCCGAATCTTCGAGTGCATTTTCGACCTCGCTCTCGCGTGCCAAATCTTGTACCGAATGTCGGAATGCAAAACGTCACTACTACTAGTAGACCATAAAGTGTTTCGGGCCGCGGGGAATTCACCCCTCATCACTGACATCAGTTCTTCTCAGTTCTTCTAGAACTGATGTCAGTGATGAGAGTCCATCTAACCTTCCACTCGGCAAAAGAAAGCTTTGGCCGAGTGGAAGGTTAGATGGACTTTCCGTGTGCTCTGGGACGTCTGGATGGCAGTCGACTAGTCGTGAGTCTATCGATTTTCGCCACAATTTATCAAGTATCGCAACAAACCTCTTCTTCGTACAGTTGTCCCCAGTGCGGCCCAAGGCTTGCGACTACTTGAAGGACATCTAGATGGTTTGGAGGCAACCGCTGAACAGAACTTTGTGAATGATCAATGATCAACGGTCGGACCGTCCTCAGCGCTTGTCCTGCACGTCCATGAGCGCCATTGCCATTGACTGATCACGCTACTGTAGCCGGTGCTCGCAAGCTACTGTAAAAGCAGAAATTTTCGGTGGTGTAATATTTTCGGTATTCGCCAAAATCGGCGGTTCGGTAGCTGGAAATTTTCGGTAAGACCCGTTCTCCAGGTAGGTGTACTTGTACTACATGTATACAATATCGGTTGTACCGAAAATTTCGGTGCGTTTTATTTTCGGTAAAAATTGTCGGCACCGAAGTTACCGAAAATAAAACACCACCGAAAGTAAAGTTAGTTTCTGCTCTTACAGTATACTATAGACTAGTGCAAGGTGTTCGTCGCGCTGAAAACGGAGTGTCACTGGTCAGTTCGCGTCCCTAAATGGCCTACAGTTAGGGCCCGGTGTAATATGCCCGAAACTTTGCCGAAAATGCTTTTGGGAAATTCTCGTAAACCTTGCCGAAAATGCTCCCAAACCTTGCCGAAAATGCTCGGAAAATGCTCACTTTTTTGTAATCCTCAGCACACGCCGTCAACACCAGGGAGTCAGAAAATACCGGTATTTTACGACTCCCTGGTCAAAACCATAATTTTGATAAACTACTCAACAAGAAGCTAACCTACAGAATGCGGAAGTGACGTTCTTGTTTGGGAAGTTTTTCTTCTCTCAATTTTGATACACAACGGCCAAGTGCTCCGTTTCCCCCAAAATGCTGCATCACGAGCCCAAACGGCCAAAGTGCTGGGTTCGCGGATTGTACCGAAAATGCTCCAAAAAATGCCGGCATATTATTATTACACGGGGCCTACCTACAGTGTGATGGTTTGGCTCGATCCGAGAGCACTACGTGATGCCGAGAGCACAATCATTAGCTTTCTCAAGCTCCACTGATTAGGGGTGAATTCCCCGAAACACTGAGTCTGTGTAATGAGCAGGGAGGGCACGCTTTCCAACGGCCGGAGAGAGAGAGAGAGAGAGAGAGAGAGAGAGAGAGAGAGAGAGAGAGTGGGGAAGCTTGTGTCTTTGTGAATAACTTGAACATTTGGGCTGATGCAAAATCCGATTTTGGGATTTTCAAGACCTTTGCAAAGCAAAACGCGGTGATTGACCGCATTCCTGTCACTTCACAGTGGTCTTTCATAGGTGCTATTTCTGTCTCTGGGAAAATCACGGAAGAAAAGCTCAAAATTCGCGGCGTAGTAGAAAAATATGCATAATTATGCGGAATCGCGATTTTCCCTTGGGATAGCTAGCCCTTTCCCAAAGATGCCACATTTTTTCGCAACTTATGCTTTTCGCAACCGTGCCAAACAGGTGCTAGTTGCTGAAATCGCATCCATATTTTCAGAAAAAGCTCAAAAGTTGCTAATATCGCAACGTAAAATTGGGAGAGTTCTTGCGCAAAAACCACACAAAAAAGGAGCAGAAGTAGCAGAAGTACAGCGACATCAAACTCGTACACCCCTTCCTGGCCTACTGAGTACTGTGAACCACCACTTGACACAATGACAATAGCTTGTTGCATGTATAATACATCATTCCAGTGCACGGAAAGGGGGATGCACATAATCATTATCGTAACTACCATTGATCTACTGTTTCTCTGAAATGAGTCTGAAAGCCGGCGAGAAATGATCGAATGTGCATTTGTCCGACATGAAGTCCGTGACTTGACCTTTTGACCCCATGCCATGAGGCCAAGGTTGCGGAAAAGTTGCGAAATAGTTCGCGAAAAAGAAGAAAGTTGCGATTACTTCCTGAACAACGGAAAGTTGCGAAAAAAGTGGCGAGCATCTTTTGGGAAAGGGCGAGGGACAGCTACATGTATTTGTACCCTACCCTCACATACCCTATCAGACCCATTACTAGTCGTGTCTGGGGTACCCCAGGGGTCCATACTTGGGCCGCTCCTATTTCTACTGTACGTTAATGACTTGCCAGCCCTTGTACCAAATGTAAGTCTTTTTGCTGACGACACTGCTCTGATGTGCTCCGACAGCTCGGCAGACAACCTCACGGCCTCCATGCAGTCCGGGGTCAACGCTACAGTAACATGGATGGAAACCTGGAAACTGAAGCCTAACCTCGCCAAAACCGAGGCCATGTTCTTCTCTCCCTCGCCCCCCACTCAGCTTCTGTATTTTCCTGGTCTAAATAGTACACCTATTAAAGTTGTTAACGAGCACAAGCACCTGGGCGTTATTCTCGACCGCCAACTCTCCTGGTCTCCACAAGTCCAGTCTGTGTGCAAGCGTGCGAGTGCGTCCTTAGGTATGCTACAACCCCACTGCCAACACTTGAATGATAACTGCAGAAAATTGTTCTTTAAGTCGTACATTTTGCCTATATTTGACTATTGCGATATAGCTTGGTGCGGGTTGTCTCAGACTTTACTCCACAGACTGGAAGTACATCAACGCTTGCTTCTGAAAATTCTGTTTCGAAAAGACCAAACATTTGCCTCCCTTTGTCTTTATAAACTTGCTTCCACGCACCCTCTTCTTGCCCGACATCAGCAGCATCTTTGTATCCTTGTGCAAAAAATCTTCCTAGCCCAAGTCCCGAAACATATTGCCAAGTACAACTGGTTTGTTACCACTAGACCAACACGCAATGCCTTATCACTGCCCCGAGCTAGTTCCTCTCTGTTTTTGAAATCCCCTTTCTTCTCAGCATACTCCCTTTGGTCTAACCTGCCTACTAGCATTAAGACATGCCAGGATATCAGGAAATTCAAAGTCCAGCTTTCCACACTGTCTCATCCGAAGTGATCCCATGTATTACTAATGTGCCTCCCTTTCTTTTTCTCTCCCTATCTCCTTTCCCTCTCTGACAGCATCTTTCTTTTTCTCCCTTTTAGCTTGCCGTGGTTGGCTATCACCTGACCTCTCATGTTTATTGGCAGTCTTCGGACGGGCCAGGAGATGTTGAATAAATAAATAAATAAATAAATAAATACCGGACTTCTAGGCAATCTAGGCGTGTGTTTTGGTCGACATAACGCCCACACCACCCCCTAAGTTGTGTAACTTTTAAAACTAAAATATTTTTTTGGCTTTCTCGTTGACCGGGCGGCTGTGGCAGGTACAACTGTGTTTCTTTTTGTTGTTTTTGTTTTACAACACATAAGGGTGGCGTGTGCACCGTAGCCACTGTATGGTTGACATGCAGCTAGCTTCAGGGTAGAGCACTAGTATCCCAGGGGGGGGGGGTGATCTGCATGGAAAAGAATAGTGATTGAACTGAAGCTGGATGATGACCGCGTGGTGAGTGTGTGACAGTTTTGAGATACTGTCCTGGGCTAGGGATGTGGGTTCTCTAGCTTTCTCGGGTGTTGTAAGCGGCATTCATTGTAACACCTCGTACGGTTTGGTGTGCTGCTTTGCTGTGGGACTTTCAGTAGTATCATCGTGCTTATTGTTACTATGTTACTCATGCACTCAGCCAAAATATCCTATTGAGGAATTTATAATATCAACACATAAAATAATAGAGGCCATTGCCGAGCCACCGTGCTCGTAGCAGAGACCTCTGTCACAGGCTCTGTGTGACTGTAGTGGTGATAGTGGTGATAGTGGTGATAGTGGTGATAGTGGTGATGGTGGTGATTGTGGTGATGGTGGTGATAGTGGTGATAGTGGTGATAGTGGTGATAGTGGTGATAGTGGTGATGGTGGTGATAGTGGTGATAGTGGTGATAGTGGTGATAGTGGTGATGGTGGTGATAGTGGTGATAGTGGTGATAGTGGTGATAGTGGTGATGGGTCATGTACTTCTAGCAGTGCGCCACCATGGTACCACCGGTTTACGTAAAAGACTACATGAACCAGTAGTTTCCATCCCTGCTAAACCTTATCTGGTCGGTGGATACACAGTGCAGTGGAGCACATATTACTTGGTCAGTACTTTTGAAGCAAAATGCTGTGGAGCTGTATGCCAGCAGCCGGCTGCTGTTGCCCTGCAGACAAAACCACGTTTAAGATACTGCCCGCAATGGGACATTAGTCACATCACCCCATTGGCACCCCAGCAGGACAGCATGGGACGTGTAAGGATTTAAAAAACGAAAAGATCATGAATACCTAAAACTGAGAATGAATCAGGACTAATGCCAGTCGAACATTGAGGAAAGAATCAATGGTATGGGAATAGTACGGACATGTATCAGAGTACTAAAATGGATTGCTGATTGCAGTTGTTTGGTAGTAGGGGTTTGAATGAAGTCATAGCACGGAAAAGGCATGCATCTAGCATCGATTAGATGATGACAAATGAAAACAACTGCGGCAAGCAAGTATTACATAGCTTGACAAGAATAGCAATAGCACATGACCTAACGATCACATCACTGCAGTGCTGGCCAGTAGAGATGTGACAATGCTAAGCAGAACATCTCCCCTCCAATAACAGCGAATACGAGTGGGCACATGTGTCAGTGGGCAGTTCTAGCGGGTCTCCTGTTTGCCTATTCCTTGTTACCGACAAAAACCTTACGAGCATGTGGGTCTAGGCGCAATTGCATAAGCCTGAGAGTGAGGAATTACTGGTGAGATCCAATGAAAAATCCACTGATGTATCGGATGGTGCGGCTCTGATACTTATCAACTACAAACACTAGTGGTCTGTTTGTGACTAACTACAAAACCCTCTAAGAAGTAGACCGATGGACAGTGGCCTGCCAAACATGCAAAGCTGATGGTTCGAAACATGCAAAAACTGACAGTGAGGAGGTACTTGGTAGCTTTGCTATCTAGACCAATGTCTCACTGTGCTAAGCAATACCTAGACCAATGTCTCACTGTGCTAAGCAATACCTAGACCAGTGTCTCACTGTGCTAAGCTATGCAATGTCTACTGCGTCGGGATATTGAGAACACGGGCAGGGGCAGGAGTGCACAATGTATCTCACAGCGAGGCGCAATGTGCCCCACTGTGCAGAACACACACATTGCCTAGATTCGAAACAGTGACGCACATTAGGCAGCACTCACAATGTGCCATGCCGTGTGATGTTGCGCCGTGGGGTGAAGGTGGAAGGTGTCCAGTGCTTCTTATCGTTTCACTCCAACACGTAGCGTGATCATGGTGATGGCAAGGGCAATTAGGCGATAGCCAACAGCAAGGCCGATGAGAATACCCACGTTGTCACCTATGGTGCTTGTTTCCTGCATACGAACATGAGAACGTATACACACACACATAAATACACGCACACACACAATCATATACAGTGATACATACACATAAACACATGCACACACATACAAACACACAAACACACGTATGCACACACACACAAACACATCATAAAAACAGACACATACCCACATACACACACATACGTGTATGCACACACATACGTGTATGCACACACATACAAACATAAACACACATGCGCGCACGCACACACACACACACACGCATATATTATACACTCACACAGACACGCACACACACATACACAATGACACAGGTACATTCCCACCAATACATCTACAGCTCAAACGGGAGGCTAGACTAGATTTCTCCTCTGCAGATAAGCGGATGGTGGTGGGCTGAACTCATTCACGCAGCTTGAATGTATAGAATTGAAGTGCAAACCATGGCAACAAGTGACCTGCATACTTCAGACAACTGCTTGGCGGGACAAACTACTTCACTTCACTAGTCCTAGGATTAGATCCTAAACAGCTGCACATCCACGTACACACATGTGCACGCATATTAATACCCCCCCCCCCCCCCCCACCACCACACACACACACACACACACACACACACACACACACACACACACACACACACACACACACACACACACGCACACACAGTCAGAGGTTAGCATGGTTAATGTGCTAGCTCACCGTGTCCAGAGCGTAGGACCTAAGAACCGCTGCACCATTAGGAAAACACACTTGAACAGCACCCGTGCAGTTCTCTGCAAAGAAATATTGAAGAGATACCAAAGTTCTTACACTGCATACAGTACACACACACACAGATACCAACTACCTTACACCACATACAGTCAGGGCCGCCGGAACCGGTCCGGTTGGTCTGGTTGTCACCGGACCGACTCTAGCTCAGGTCACCCCCTGGGATTCGCCTAAAACCAGGGAGAATATATCTGGGTACATGTACATGCATTATCGATCATGCATACATTGAAGCAAAGACTTCAGACACTTTGTCACGCATACACATGTACAGTCACCCATAGTAGGCCATAAATTGTACATTGATATCCATGCAAAACTATTCCCTGTAGTAGGCTCTGAAAACTTGTGAAAGGGCCAAATTCTGCTATTCCGGACCGGATTTTTCAAAAAATGTCCGGCGAACATCCCCGCACCCCCCCCCCCAAACCGGACCAACTTCGCCCACCTTCTGGTGGGCCTGACAGTACATACACCACAAGAGTAGACTAACTAACTCAGAGCACTGTACAGTCATAGTACAATGTACTGACAAGCATAGCATGCCTCAAGGATGGACGCCTGTGCACTTCCCCTGCACATCACAGGAACAGGCAGTAAAGTAGTGATATCACAACTTCAAGATTTACATATTCGTTTGCTCCGTTCGTGGGAGGCGCGTGTTCCCTGCTGACTTGATGCTTGACTGTCTCACGACTGCCATCCAGTTCATACCGGACATCCATCAAACAGTCCCCCCCCCCCCCCCCCTGGCACCTGAGTTTTAGTCGTGAAAGAATTACTACAGCATGCATGCAACATGAGCTATTTCCGAAGGCTATTTCAGGTACCAGTTAAGTACCCAACTTGCGTCACCAGCCACCAGCACAAATTGATCACGTAGTCACACAACATGGTTTACTAGTACTTACCGAGGGTGTCGTTTCTCCACTCGTTTATCATGGCCGCCTCAAAGCCCCAGCGCATGAAGGAGATGAACTCCAGCCATATGAAGTACGGCGGCGTCGAGTCCAGATTCAGCAGCAGACCGGCAAACAGCATCAGTGGCACTATACCGATGGGTGTGAGGGCAAACGCTACCGCCACGTTGTCTCCGGCCACAGCCGATATGATGTAGCCGATGGACTCGGAGTTAATCACGGTCAGGTTGACAAGAGCGTAGAAGATGAAGTAGCGAGCGGCGATGCTGGACAGTCCGAACATGAAGTAGGTTATGACCGAGGCCAGGAGCTGCAGCAAGATGTTCAGCGGTAGCGTTGACACGTACTTACACAGAAAGTAGACGTACGGCGAGTACATACGGTTCTCGTACTCGCGTAAAAATATGGGACGTTCCACGGGCACGGTCTGTATGTACACGCACATACATACAGACATACACACACACATACATACACACACATACATACACATATACATACACACGTGGGTGGACATGCGCACACACACAATACACACACACACACACACACACACACACACATGCATGCACAGTTGCACACCAACACATACATAAACATACACACAGAGAGCGGAGTCCTCCGGTTCGATAGAGTGCTCAATGTGGAAGCAGAGCAGTAACACACGAGTCACAGAAAACCACGCGCTTTGATTGTCGTAACTTAAAGTTTCATGCCATATAGCAATCTTCAGACAACTGATTACGATTAGGTAATCAGTTGTCTGAAGATTGCTATATTGCATGAAACTTTAAGTTATGACAATCAAAGCGCGTGGTTTTCTGTGACTCGTGTAAACATACACACATATAACAGTACATGTACTATTAACACACGTAATATGTATGCACATGAGCGCACGCACGCACGCACATAATTATACACACACACACACATACACACACTCACACTTATCGTATTTTCCGGAGCATAAGCCATACTTTGGACGCTCAGGATTCACACAAAAAAGGGGTCCGGCTTTTACTCCGATGATCAAATTAACATCGATAAACCAGGTTTAGATGTTTGTATTTCGTGGCAAAACGGGGGGGGGGGGGGGAGTGAGGCTGATACTCCAGTGCGGCTAACCATACTCGCGCGATTAGAGCCCTCTCTCGAATAGTGCCCTATCTCGAATAGTGCCCTATCTCGAATAGTGCCCCAGTCTCTAAGAGTAAGAGCCAGTGAAAAAATAGAGCCCTCTCTTGAATAGTGCCCCCCCCCCCCCGGTCTAAATTACTTTCAAGGTTCTATCTTTACATCTCTCTCTCTCTCAGCAAAAGTCAAAAAGCCCCGAAAAAGGATGGCACATGCGCCTCACAAGCGGAGCTGGGAAAAGCAAATGACATCGCGTAGAGCCAACGTGAAAAAGGGAAGTAGTAAAATTATAACTAAGTAATCGAGATTCAAATCGCGAAGCTCGCGTACGCGACACCAAGCGACTAATGACGTCTATAGACGTCATGAGATTTGCGCAGTACATCGCAGTGCATAGATCAGTGTACAAACTTTCGTAACTCCGTCAAAAATTAGTCTATCGCTACAATCGATACACCATTGGAAAGGTATTGCGCTCAGCTTTCCAGCAATATAAAGGTCTTCACGATAGGAAAAGGATGGACGGAGTGGCGACAGTGGGAACACGGAATTCACGGCACTGAGCGATCGTGAATTTTTTTGTTCATGCGGTCGCAGTTTTCTGTTGCGTGCCAGGAGATTTCCCTTTGGCACCGCACATGCGTAATGGACAGCAGCGGAAGCACGTGGATCTCAGCTTTGCAGCGCAGTTTGAATCGTGAAAATCGGCTGAACTGGAACAAGAAACCGAAAAAGAATGTGAGATCGAGTTCCTGTGCTTTTCCGGGGCATCGTGAGGTACTTTCGAGAGGACGTAGAAGTTGCACCGCCGTGCGTATTGAGATTAGAGCTACCAGGATGGATTCGCTTCGTCCTGTTCTTTCCAAAAAGCCCAGGATGACCAAAATCCATCAAGGTGAACTGAATTGAGAGAAAAATTCGTTCGGACCTGTGCGCGAAAACGACACGAGGAGAGTCAGTGTGCTGGAACTGCAGTTTGCTGGAGTAAAATGGGCCAGCACGTAAAGGGTTAATAGTGCTCCATCTGTGATGGACATTGAAAAAATAGTGCCCCAGGGCCACTAATCGCGTGAGTACGGTATACTCCTGAAAATACGGTACATAAACAATTAAACATACACAAACAAACACGCACACACAGAGACACACAATTCTATAACTATACACAGATGCACAGACACACAGATGCAGACACACATACACAGATACACACAGACACAGACGCGAACGCACGCAAACACACTTTGTACCTGTACTTATTTTCTCCACCCACCCAACCATCCACCCACCCAACCATCCACTCACCAGCATTGCAATCCTGTGCACTAACGTCCCATGCCACATAGAACAAACAGACCAAACAGAACAAACAGCTAGCTGCTGTTTAGAGCACTTCCTTACTTGCACAATGTTGCCCGCGCCAGTGAAGGCAGTGAGAGCAATGACGAAGAACATAGAGCCGGCCACACCCTGTACCCGTTGCTGAATGTTGCCTTCACTGCCAATGCCCAGGAACACCAGACCCATCACCAAGCTTGTCATCTGAACAACATGCCAAAGAACACCAGACCCATCACCAAGCTTGTCATCTGAACAACATGCCAAGAACACCAACATTAAGGAACACTAGAGAAATAATTCAAACATTCAAACATCAACCCTACCGTACGGAGAGATTGGGGGGGGGGGGGGGGGAGTCTTGCTATACATTTACACGTGAGAAGACATAACAGCTGGCAATTGTTTCTTTCCGTGTGCTTGGGTCTCGAATCATGCCTACCTACACACCGTATTGTCATTCTGGGCTTTTCCTAGCATAGTGCCCGGTGCCTGATGCTATACTGGCTTTTCCTAGCATAGTGCCCGGTGCCTGATGCTATACTGGCATGTGGCAGTAATAAAAAAGTCATGTATGCCGTGTCCAAGGCTGCGTGACCAATACTTCGAAGTACAATGTCACTGTTCTTCACCATCTGCTGCTTCAAGGGGCTGCAAGCGACACACTATGTTACAGTCAATGCCATCATCACCAAGGGTTCCCAGTAAAAAAGGCCGTAGCCTGTTGGGACTCGCCCAGTAAAAAACAAAAAACAAAAAAAACTACTGCTACTACCATCAGAGGTTGGAGGAGCACAGGTGCTAGTATGGACAACTTGGCTAATCGGTCAGCAAACTTACAATAGTTGTTCCAATGTTGACTTGAATAAGGATAGGATTGCGGCGTGTCAGTAGGAACGTCCTCTTCCCTATCACTCTGAACTGAGTCCACCAGCTCTCTCCATGCTCATGTCTGGAACAGAAAGATTCACAAAAGCCACGGTGAGACGGCCGAAAAAGCTCTGCTCAGTGATGTAGGTTTGATCAGGAGCAACCGAACACGGCCACCTGCAAGAGATGGCCGTGAAGAGGGGTGTTTGACCATTGTATTCTTGACCTCGCTATACTCACACGTATTGCTCATACATTCTGCAATTTGGCAGCGCACACTGGGTGAAGTAAAAAGGCCTCAAGTGAACCAACCCGTACAGTTGAGCGATACCAAACTTCTTATCCAACGCATCGAAGAAACTTAGGCCGGTGCTTTCAGGACACATGCAAAATGCAAATAACACATGCAACTGAGAAGTAAGCCTCATTCTACAGTTCTCGTTCCGATCCTGTGGAATGTTCCACATTCAAGAATACACAATTACCCTCATGGATCCAATGTGCCAGGCCTATAATAGAACTGGCTGGTGATCAGTTGAGAAAAACCCCAACCCTACTGGATATGGCTTAGAGCGCTGAACAGGTCCATGTATTCGATAACCGTATCGCAAAAACGCCTAGCCTAGGTGCTAGCTTGAACTTACCCCAATTCACGCACAGCTTTCGTAATACGCGCTGACGGCTGCAGAACGCAAAAATACAACAGAGTGACTCAAATTGTGTCAACAGGCAGTGTGCAGTTCAGTATATCAGTTGTATTATATACACCAGCATGCAAGCACACCCACACATATGCCTCCAGATGCATGTACGCATGCACACACACACACACACACACACACACACACACACACACACACACACACACACGCACACGCGCGCGCGCACACACACACACACACACACACACACATAATATAATAATTATATGCACGCACACACTCTCACTCACACATGCACACGCATACACACACACACACACACACCACACACACACACACACACACACACACACACACACACACACACACACACACACACACACACACACACACACACACACACACACACACACTCACACACATACACACCCACCACTCTGACCCCTAGACATTTGCAGGTTTCACTAAGCTGGTGGCCGCCTCCAAACTAGCACCCGCTTGCAAGTCTTACCTTTGGTGCCGGTCGGTTATGGATACCCTGCTGCTTCTCAATGTCCACGTATTTGTCAGTTATCGCCTATGCGGAGAATGACATACACATGCACTTCGTATTGATCGGCTCAATCTACTACTAGATGTTTTGACCATGCAAGATCTCATCAGAGAGCCGAGTCCTGATCGATGCCACCAAACCAATCATTCAAGCCATAATACCTACAGTACATAGCTGGGATGAAAACATCGCAGCCGTATCCTAGCGTAAAAAGTTGAACCCCACTTTTCGGCTGGGTTTCGCCAGGCATTCATTTAGACATGCACAGTGCATTACAACGACTGTGACCAGTGTTCGCTGTGAACACTACACCACAATGAAAAATGAAGCATTGTTCAACACAGCTCAAAGCGTTCTGATTGATACCGATAACAAGACCCAACAACACGACTTGTAATTAGTTGCAATCTATCCTTCTCCCCTCTGGTCAATGCTGTACTAGTATACATCGTATTAGAATTAGAGTTACGGATCAGTGAAGCAGGCAGGTCAACCACTCTTTTCTATTCCCATGGGATGACACCACCGAATGATCAGGAGTCAGATGCAACTAGCTACTAAGCGGTTCAAGGCTAACTCAGCGCTTCCATTTTCAAAAGGCATTGAAGTACCCAGGGGCGTCGGGAAGTTTTTGACATTGGTGCGGCCATGAATGGGTCAAGGGTTCAGGGGTCCTCCCCTGGGAAAATTGGGCTCAACTAGCCCATATTCCATTGCATAAAAAACACAAGATGAAATTATTGGTGCGGCTTTGGCCGCATCTGCCGCACCGGTTCCGATGCCCCTGATACAGAACACAATGGAATCCACGGGCAACACCTCCAGCCATTGGAGAGTCAGCCCCCTATGCCTGGCCATGGCACGGTGTACCTTGATGCGCTCTTTGGTTAAAAAGAAAACCTGCATTGAAGGTTATGATGCAGAATGGAATCCATGGGGCAACATGGGGCAACATGATTAGAGCCTCCGGCCATGACCATAAGTACCTTGATGCGCTCCTTGGATGCTTCACGCTCAGTGGGCACCACGGCCAGCGTGTAGATGTAGAAGTCGGCAGGGTTGAAACCACTCGGACACGAGTAACCAATGCTGAAAACGGCAGTAAACAGGCACAACACGAAAGCTCTCGTTCGGGTAATTTTCCAAGTTACCTGTTCTGGCGCAAAGCTCGCTGTTTCCCTCGCCGTTTGAGCACTCTGACTTTCATCCTTCTAGCAGGTTCAAAAGGTTGTACCGTATTTCTCTGAATATAAGTTGCATCTTGTTACAGGTCAGACCTCGCTATAACGTAATCTCTGGGGGATGGGAACATTATGTTTTACCGAGGTTTATGTTATAGTGAGTTGGGCACACCAATATGCATATGTATGTCAAAATGACGCTCTTCACTTACCGAATCCTGTACTGTTTTACATACAGGTATGATGATGTAAACTAGCGAAGATGTGTACAGGGCCTACAGGCTTGTCAGCAAAGGGGTAGCAAGAGTCATGCAGTGCGTGTACTGTACGTGTACATGTGATATGACTAGGGGTAAAATACACACACACATGTACAGGGAGTAGTAAAATACCTGTATTTTTTACTACTCCCTGCTTTTGCCCGTACAAGAGGCTTGGGATCATTTGGGACCAAAATTGTAAAAAAAAAAAAAAAAAAAAAATACTCCCTGCTTCCGAGGTGGACCATGTGGACAGCTCAGCCTCGAACTTGTCGCGAGAAGCGCATGCATGCCGTGTACATGCGTCATTTTCATACGACTTTTTATGTTATGGTGAGGTGTCCGTGCTTCGGGACCCTGCAAACAGTGCGTTATAGCTGAAATTACGCTATAGCGGATTATGTTATAGCGAGGAAATTTTGTACAGAAGTGATGCGGTTTCGGCAGGGACATTCACTTTTCGTACGTTATAGTGAGGTTTATGTTCTAGCGGGAGTCGTTATAGTGAGGTTTATGTTATAGCGGGGGTCGTTATAGTGAGGTTTATGTTCTAGCGGGGGTCGTTATAGTGAGGTTTATGTTCTAGCGGGGGTCGTTATAGCGAGGTTTATGTTCTAGCGGGGGTCGTTATAGCTAGGTTTATGTTCTAGCGGGGGTCGTTATAGCGAGGTTTATGTTCTAGCGAGGGTCGTTATAGTGAGGTCTGACCTGCACACTAAGCTTCTTGAGCAAAGAATGGGATGCGGTTTAGAATCGAGTGTGACATCCTACTTACTAAGTATGTGAATATACTGAAACAACATGGCTTAAATCTGGAAGTGTGTGTGTGTGTGTGTGTGTGTGTGTGTGTGTGTGTGTGTGTGTGTGTGTGTGTGTGTGGAGGCCGTTTCGTCGACCAGGAGACCTGAAACGACATGCCAAGTTCTGCGCTCGTGTTCTCACTTGAACTTTCCGACATTCGCTATCATTGCGTACGCAATGGGCAAGATCAAGGTCAAGGTCAAGGTGTGGAGGGGGAGGGGGTGCAACTTATAATCAAGTGTGAATACTGAAAGTTACTGGCTATGAGCCAATCACAGTGCATGCAAAATCCAGCTCCAAACATGTGGAGGTGGTGACCTCACCTGGAGAAATAGGAGACTGCACCGCCTCGAGGTCCGAGGTACGCCGTGCGCCCTTCCGCTAGCAAAAGCAGCCTGTCGACAGAATACACATGATCAACACACACACGCACGCACGCACGCACGCACGCACGCACGCACGCACGCACACACACACACACACAGAACACAACATAGTTTGCGAGCAAGTCAGAGCAACGAAATGACTGCGCAAATGAAAATTCCCAATATTTTCTACATGGCATTTTTTCACGGCTGCCCCAGAGGAAATCATGAGTGCGTAAATATTCAAAAGAAAAATGAACTTTCTACATATTATCAATTTTATTTATTTTATATATTTATTTCTGCACCTCGCGCTCGTGGCATGTGAAGACAGCCAATTGAATTGAGGAGAGGGTGAGACCAACCACGGAAGAAGAGAAAAAAGAAAATGAAGAGCACGTACACAAAGTGGGGAGGGATTAGCAACTTACAAAGCAATGGGATGCTCAGCGAGCTATGCAGCGGAAGTGGTGACTGTGATTTTGTTTACTGGGAGATACTGAAGTGGTGTCTGACGAGGGTACGGAATTTGGGCATATCTGGAGCTTGTCTAACACTGGGAGGCAGTTGGAGCCACGTGGAGTAGGAGGAAAAGAAAGGGGAATTTACGAATAGGGTAGACCTAGCTTTAGTATAAAATTAATGTACATCATATTTTCCTGCCAGATTTTCCTTTTTCATCCCGTCACACATAGTAATCCATGCCACATGAAGCATAAATGTGGGTCGGTTAATTTCCTAGTGCTGGATAACAGCAGACTGCACCAAATTCCTACAGTATCAGCTGGGTTCATGAATAATGTTGCACTCGTCCGGGTGCCTTGGCATTCTTTTAAAATTCTTCTTCAAGTGTGTCCTTGTGTGTTCCTCGGCACCCGATCTTACTGTACAGCGCTCTACCTATCTGCGTTGTGCTTACCTTAAGTTTGTGCCTGTGCGTTTCTAAAAAGAAAGGGGTGGGGTGGTGGGGTGAACTGACAACCACTCTATTCAGTTGCTATTCACGATCTGCGCATGCGCTGCATTGAAATTTATTTTATTATGAAGTTGAAGAAATTATGACCTTTCGGGCCGGTCACCCATCATCAGACACAGCAATCCAGTGCATGCACAGATCGTGAATAGCAACTGAATAGAGCGGTTGGCAGTTGACAGCCCTCCCCCCCCCCTTTCTTTCTACAATGCAGTTGTGTGATGTCCACACATTTCTGTGTGTTCATATAATGTATATGTACTAGTATGCATGCTTTGGGCACAGAGCAGCAGGTGCTTGATTCTACCCGCTTCACGCAAACACACGCACGCACGCGTGCTCTTGCACACAGTCACCAGACAATGCCTGGCCTGTCAGGAAGCAATGGGACAGACATCCGGATGTGACTCACTGATCAAACTTGCTGAACACCTCGCTGGGCGGCTGGTGAATAGTACAGAGGATGGTACGACCGGACTCTGCCATGCCACGCAGGTGCTGCACCACGCTCTGTGCAGCAAACGAATCCAAGCCGCTCGTGGGCTCATCGGCAAATAGCAGTGGAGGATCCGCCAGCACCTGCAGTAAACACGTATGGAGGCAGGGTCAGCGCTATCGGATAATAGCAAGCACTCGAATTATACCAGCATTTGGTACCTTGGAAGGCCGACTTGGCACTTCAGCGCCACCATTTCAGCGCGATACATTTCAGCGCCAGCACTTCAGCGCCAGCACTTCAGCGCCAGCACTTCAGCGCCAGCACTTCAGCGCCTCATTTCACAGCGCCAGCTTCCTCAGCGCCATGACTATCAGCGCGGTAAAGTACTGCAGCAGCAGCAGCAGCAGCAGCTCAGCGCCCAAAAGTAAAGGCACGGCAATTTACAGCGCAAAGGAGTGCAGCGCGAAGAAGTTCAGCACGATTAAGTACAGTGAGAAGTCAGGTGCCAGGTGATGTCCATGACATGTAAAGTACTAGTTTGTATTGTCAACAAATTGGCGCTGTGATACATGGCGCTGAAATCTGTGGCACTGAGAAAGGTCGCGCTGTCGTATTTGGCGCTGAGATATTTGGTGCTGACGTATGTAGCGCTGAGATATTTGGCGCTTATCTACTGGCGCTGAAGTATGCGGCGCTGAAATATTTGGCGCTGTAAGATTCGGCGCTTAGGTTCACGGCGCCGAAACGGTCGCGCTCACCTGGTTGGCGCTGAACTTGAGGGTGCCGTAATGGCATGGTGTCCTTGGAAGCTATACCAATCACGTCTGCGTACACGGTGACCCAACAAAATAGCGGCGGTAAACTGACAAGCCTATAATACAAACCATCTCCACTGGCCAGTCGCTAAATTGCCACGAAAGGAAGCAGTCTCATTTCTACCGTGCCATATGTCTGTTCTTCAAGTCATGGTCATGCTCCCACCTCTGTTGCAAACGCCAGTCTCTTCTGCTCTCCTCCGGATATTCCGCGCACACCACCAGACACGCTACCGATGAAGGAGTTAGTCACCTTTGCCAGGCCAAGCTGTACGCATGAAAAGAGAGAGAGAGAGAGAAAAAGAGATAGTGAGAGAGTAAGCTACATTTATAAAGACAGGTAAGTGTAACAAATGAGGACTGAGACCTCTACAACAGGGTTTTTATGCCTGAAAGCAGGTGCATGATTTAACAAGCAGGTTGTCAGTCTAGATTTTATGCGCAGATGGAGAAAAAGCGCAAATTTTTTGTAATGAGATAAAAAGCAGAAATAATAAGAAAAGATGAAATGAAAGCCTGCACACAACCCCGCCCAGCCTTGCGAACTGGGTATGGTGGATTAAGAACCCGGTTCAACGCTCGAGCAAGCGCTCTCCACTCAAGGTGTTCACAGCAACTGATAGGAACTCATATGGGGAAATTATAGAAAAGAAATAATAAGAAAAGGAGAATAAATTTAAACGCACCTCAATAGAGAGAGAGAGAGAGAGAGAGAGAGAGAGAGAGAGAGAGAGAGAGAGAGGGAGAGAGGGAGAGGGAGGGAGGGAGAGAGAGAGGGAGGGAGGGAGAGAGAGAGATAGATAGGGAGAGAGAGATAGAGAGAAAGAGATAGAGAGAGAAAGAGATAGAGAGAGAAAGAGAGAGAGAGATAGAGAGAGAGATAGAGATATATATAGAGAGAGAGATAGAGAGAGAGATAGATAGAGATAAATTGAGAGATAGATAGTGAGAGAGATAGAGAGATAGAGAGAGATAGATAGATAGAGAGAGAGAGAGAGGGAGAAAGAGAGTGTGAGAGCCCCACCAGGAGAAAAGCATTTGAGGCATTGTTATTGTCACAGTACATCCAAACTAATCGCAAATTATTCAAAATCCCCAACACTAAACTCACTTCTTCCAACACCTCACGAACTCTTTCCAAGCGCTCTTCGGTCGACAGCTTCTTATTCATCCGCAGCAATGCCTGTTGAAAGAGAGTGTATGAACCAGAAAGCATTGGTAAAGAGGAACAGAGCCAAACCGAATGCACACATGCCGAAAATTACAAGCTACACTTGCCAAACACGTCTACTTGAGGGCTTCAACCCCCCCCCCCTACACACACACACACACACACACACACACACACACACACACACACACACAAACAAGAAGCATCCAATTATCCACTGTGACTTCGACCATAACTCTGTCAACAAAACATACAGTCAAACCTCGTTAGGACGAACTTCAAGGGACTGAACAAATTTGTTTGTCTTATCGGGAGTTCTTCTTATCCAGATCTGACAAAAAATCGATATGCATATCAGATGGATTGTATTTACGTGAAGGTGCATGCTGTGGTACATGGGAAGCATGTTATTCTTAGCATAAGCCAGAAACAGGTACATGTAAGTACAATGACAAAGACAATGAATCACGACTGTGTCGAAAGTTCGTACAACGCACTGATTATTTTGTTCAAAACACGCTTGAAAACAATTTGCACTGTACGTACAATATGACCTCGACTATTGAAAAGAAGAAGAAAAAAGGCTGCCAGCGCACGCGCACGCTCGTGGACCGAAAGTTCGTACTACATGTACATGACCACACTAACTTTGTTCAAATCACACTTGAAAATAGTTCGTCTTCGCGAAAGTTCGCTGTACAGAAGTTCGTCGCAAACGAATAATTTTGACTTGAATTGATGCCTGGCCAACCATAGGATTGGCCTTAGTTCGTACTAATGGAAAGTTCGCCTTATCAGTGTTCGTCCTAACGAGGTTTGACTGTAGTTGTATTGTACTAGTTGATCAGAGGGATGACAAAAACCCACATTAAATTAGTAAATGGGTTTTAGACCTACTTTTTGGTACATTTTGTTAGGGCAGTTTTGGATAAATGAACTGTAATAATTATAGTTATCTACACCAGTACTGTGTTCCGATGCACTGCACACGGTTTATGTTACCTGGATCCTGAGATGCTCAATGACAGTCAGGTTGCCAAAGAACAAGTCCTGCTGCTGGACGTAGGAGGATATCTTGCGAATGTCCGCCGCCTGCACGGTGTTGTTGTTGATGGCCAGAGTGGCGTTGACGTGCAAGACGCTGGCAGTGCGATCCGTCAGCAGGTTCAAGAAAGTCGTCTTGCCAGCACCGCTACGGGCAACATGATATACGTTTGCATACATACACCGACATAAGTAGAATTGATAAAAGTGATGGCTGTGTCCCACCAGCCAGTGTAGTTTCACAGGAAGCATGAGCTTCAAAGTCTGAAGAAAATGCTGAACGGTCTCTCTCTGTTTGGATGACAGCTACACCATAGCCCAGTGGTTAGAGCATTGCTGGCCTCAAGCAAAGGTCCCTCGTCCGAGTGCTGGTGGTTACAGTAAATTTTTCAGACCTTTCCCTTTTCTATATCCTCAACTAGTGAATATTGGATATAAAATTATACATTTTTTATGCCACATGGTATCCCACATGAGCTCCACATCTACGAAAGAAAGTCCCACTTCAACTTCTCAAACAAGATTATGATGTGCGTCAGTCAGCTAGAACACAGAGCGTGACAGGGTGAAAGGAAGACATCAAAGTAAACAGTGTGGATTTATTGCTAGTCGGAGAAAATACGGGGTAACAACAAGCCACATCATGACGTGGAGAAAGGGTTGAAGAAAAGCGGCATTTTTGCTACTATTTTCTTTCTCCAATGCAATGGAACTTTCAACCATTCGAGAACATCTTTCTAAATTTTTCTCTAGATGTTTCTTGCCTGCTTTTCCATGACAAAATTCAGACCAAAGAATGAGAAAAGAGACTTTACTGTACGTTGAGGTATTACCTTGCACCCATGATGGCCAGAAGCGAGCCAGCCTTCACCTCACCATTGACTGTAAAGAAATGCCATGAAAAACAGCCAATGAGGCACCAGAGCACTGGTATCAGTTCTCAAATTTCAAACAACACCTGCAATATTGAGGTGGACTTACATCATACAACATATGCATTATCAATTCATTAAAAGCATAATATGCGGAAACCCTGCCCCATCATCAACACAAGTGGTCTCTCTGCTGCACGATTTCAGTATCTCGAACTTTCCGCCAGGAGCCATCATCAGGATCAAGGAAAAACTGGCAAGGTGGACTTATACCATAGAACACAAGGTGGAGTATGACTATGCCATACACGATAAAAACGCCCACTAATCTCAAGCTACTCTTCATCATCATCACCAATAAGAACTCAGCAGTTCATGAACCAGTTTTCGGGCATTCTCTTCAAATGAAATACAAGCAACCAGAACCAATGAAACATAGGGATAAGTAGCATCACAAGGGTGGTAGCCATTACAACTAGGTGATAAATGTAGCGAAGAATTTACGCACAAGGGGTGATAATAAAAAGGGGAAAGAGAGAAAGAGAAGGTGAGAAGTGAGACAAGAGGAACTAAACACACATGCTGTGCAAAGACATACACCGAATGGACACTACATTAACTAGTGAGGTCAGGGGTGTCAGTAAACAACTTGAGAGATATTACATTTTTCTTTTGTTTACACAAAGATGGCTGGGTAGTGTAAATATAAAATTAATAGCCTCTAAATAGACACACTTCTCTGTTTTGTCACGTACCCGTGTACGTGGTCTCGTCCATCTGAAAGTTTTACTTCAGTAGAAGCTATTTATAATTACACTATCCAGCCACCTTTGTGTAAACAAAAGAAAAAGGTGAAGTCTCTCAAGTTGTCTACTGACACTCCTGACCCCACTAGGTAATGCAGTGTCCATTCGGTTTTTGTCTTTGTACAGTGTCCGTTGTAGTTCCTCTTGTCTCACTTCTCACCCTCTCTTTCTCTCTTTCCCCTTTTTATTATCTCCCCTTGTGCGTAAATTCTTCGCTACATTTATCACCTAGTTGTAATGGCTACCACCCTTGTGATGCTACTTATCCCTATGTTTCATTGGTTCTGGTTGCTTGTATTTCATTTGAAGAGAATGCCCGAAAGCTGGTTCATGAATTTCGGAATTCTTATTCATGATGAGATTTGTAGTTTTTTTCTCTCCCTGACACACTTCCTGTCTCCAAGAAAGTTATACATGATAAAAGCAGAGCAGCATCATTGAGTGATACATCTATCACACACGCAGGCGCATGCGCAGGCTCACACCTACCCGCTCACCCACCGACGCACCCATATTCACACTCACACTCACACACGAGCTCACACCTACATGTATGCTCGCACGTCGACGTGTACAACATTAACAAAAACGGTGCATGGACGAGGTGTGAGAAGTGGTAGGACTAACAAAAAGATGACATTCGGTCACTTAAAACTGTAATTACGGTAGAACACTGTGCTGAACAGCATAATAACGGCGCAAACAGGAACGTCATGATAACAGAACAGACAGTAGCAAGAGTAACAGTGATCATCATTCAAATTGTTCATTGTTACTTTTGAATGCAGTGAACAATTATGTGATCTTGCGCTAGGGCGCACAAGAAACACAGACACGCATGCGTGCACACGCACACAAACACACACTCTCTCTCACACACACACACACACACACATGCACACATTTCAAAAACTCCTCATGATCCCCAATTTCCAATGCTCCCCATCTTCACTCACTGTCATTAATAATAGTCTTGGCCGGCAGGTTCTTCTTGGGTTGTTCAGGTATCTCCACGGTAACATGATGCCAGGAGAAGTTGACATCGCCAGTGATTGCGCCTCGAATTGACATCTGTGATTGGCGCGAGGTCAGGCGATCCAAAATCCGAACACTTTCAACGCCATCAGTGTGATCTAAAGAAAGAGAAAAGGAACATCTGCTAAATGAAGCATTCACACTTATCCTAACACCAAGCTTCTTTTAAAAAGTAAGCAGTTACCCGTAAACCATTTCTCCATTTTCCAAAATTGTCTTGCCATGCCACGGTGGTGGCACCCCCCCCCCCCCCCCCCCGACTTCATCCCAGACAAATGTGCTTTATGAACCCTCTACTAGTAGTGACTACCGACTGCATTTTCGTTGAATGGCATTAAAAAACAAAAAAATCAACAAAATTTAATGAGTAGAGGGTTGCCACTTTTTCACAGGGGGGGGGGGGGGGGGGAGTGCCCCCCCCCCCAGAACCCTGAATGTGGTGTCTTTGCTGCGAAAATCTACATATCCTGCATGGCCATTTAACCGGGTGCAACAATAAACAAATTATTGTTATACCACGAGAATAGGCCAGGTACAGAAATTTAATGAATATGTATAGAGGTTTTTGCCCTACAAAAACACAATCATATTAAACGAGAGAGCTTGGAAGCTCAGGGCCCTACGCTATGCTTTTTTGCCTTGATGACCTAGACAAAAAGCATAGGGATGTTATAAATTCTTATAAGTTTCTACTTTTTGTTTTTAGACATAACCTGGGATTCGAACCCGCAACCATCGCCCTGCATGCATCCCCCGATACACTTCGCATACATACTAATTCTTCCAAGTTGCTTCACGTTATCTTGTATTTGAAAGCCCTATTTGGATATGCATTGTGGCCAGCCGTCTTTGATTGTACGGTACGGTACGGGATAGGTACAGGACAGGTACGGGACAGGTACGGTCGAGGGTAATACGACACCGTCTACCGACTTAATGACGGCAAAAAAAGAAAAGGGATATTATAAATTTTTCAATTCTCCTATTTTTTCAGGCAATACCTGGGATTCGAACCCGCACTATCGCCCTACATGCATTCCCCCATACACTTCGCATTCATACGCATTCTTCCAAGTTGCTTCACGTTATGATCTTGCGTTTGAAAGCCCTATTTGAATATTGCGGCCAGCTGTATGTGGCCAGCTGTGTTTGATGGTACGGTACGGGACATATACGGGATAGCGCCAGGCATGACACAAACACACAAACAAACACCAAATTAAAGCTGTGTGGACCCTGGCTAGCGCCAGACGTTACTGAAGTAACGTCTTCTGCATAGCTACGGGAATAATTATTATGTGGTTGTTCTAACCAGGCACTCGTTAGGAGGGCTACAATGGAGTTTGCGAGTCCGTAGATATGTAGACTGTGTGTGTAGCAGATATAATTCACAGACAGGGGATTTAAGCATGCTGTAGAGAGTGTGCACATTGCACGAGTTCTGAGTACCGCTGGGAGTTTCAAACTCAGACTTTGGAAAACTCTCTCTCTCTGTACTGGGACTCCTGTGGAAGATCACGCATCTACGTTCAAAAAATGTATCAGAAATGTATCAAGTCCATAGAAGCGACTGAACTTGGACGTGTGTGTCACGGTACTCAGCGCTCAGCAGTAGAAGCACCGATGCCGGCACTTACCGTATTTCCCCGATTATAGGTCGCACTCGATTATAAGTCGCACCCCCATTTCCAGGTTTGAGCACATTTTTTTGATATATTGACTTCAGTAGTAAGTCGTGCTCGATTGTAAGTCGCACCCCCTTTTCACTCTTGATTTTTAGTGTAAAAAGGTGCGACCTATAATCGGGGAAAAACAGTACGCGGAATGTTAGCCATTTTAATGCAGCCCTTCTCCAGGGCCAAGTGTACCCGCCTATGACATTCATGTACACGTACATCCCAGTGTATATCCTACAGACTTTGAGGTCGACAGGTATTAGTATTGACGGCGTGGCTCGGAATAGTAGGTCAATGCGCACCCGTATTGAAATTCATGCAGATGTCCGGAGTGAACCTTGAGGCACACCTGTTGGCGGTGCGACCCCTCGCTCTGCACGGCCGAGGCCAAAACAAAGTGCAAGCGTCCAAATGTACTACTATGCTCTGTGGTCTGGGTGCAAGGGCCATAGAAATAGCCAGAATACTACAATGCCAAGCATACCCAGAATACCAGCTAACCGAACAGAAACAGGTACGTAAGTGTACTGTTTGTCCTGCATTGCATGAAGTCAACCCTTTTTTGATCATAATATTATCACATATTTACACAGTAAAGACGGTAAAATCCCGACTCAGATTGTGGATTATCCTTCTTATCAACACCAACACGCATCCCGGATACATATTTATTTCCTCTTTTCTCCATTTATCGTAATTCGCGTTTACCTGGAGAGGGGGCGGCCGGCTGTTCAGGGCTCTGCGCCGTCTGCTTATCTGTGCCTGCAGAGCCAGAACTCCATATAGGTAGGACAACGCCAGGTTCAGCAGGCCCAGCATCACCGCCCTCTGCGGCAGCAACCGCCGGATTCTCGAACAGGACTTTGCCCGTTTCCGACCTTGTGGATTTGCCCGTCGCTCTTGAGCGCAGGTTGCCGTCAGGGTCGGCCATGTCGCCAAATCCTCCGTCCGCTCTGAACTCGTGCGCCTTTACTCGTGTCGTGTGTTCGGCGCGTGTCTTCTTGCAAATATTTCCTGACAGATAGGGACGAGGACGACTACGTTGTAGCCTCAGTCATCGTAGGTCTAGGAATGCTCCGGCATCGAGCGAAAATAGTTCATTTGGCTCGGTGGAGTCATTCAATCATTTCACCGCCGACCGTGCCGTGTGTGTGAAGCGGGCAGCGGCAGTGCCAGTACTGGCAGTAGTGTCGGAACTCGAAACTGCGCTGTCCTGAATGACGTTGGGCTGCAGTCTGCGCTAGCGCTGCAGTCTACCTGGTCTACATGCTGTGTCGTTTGAAGCATAGCTATTACTAGCCATGGCATAGGATTTTGCAGTGCTCCGTGCAAAACGCTCGCGCTGTGGTAGTGAAAAAAGTACATGATTGTATTAGAATACTACAAGTACTTCGTAGTATTTTCTAGAAAAGCTAAATTCGAATTCGACCTGCTAGTGCTACGCTGCAGTATATCAATCATTGTATTGTCATTTTGCACAACACTACTACTACTAGTACTACAAGTAGTAAATACCCATCACGTGAGCGTGACGTGAGTACACTGTATCATTGTATGCATAGACTCCATGTCCCATGATACTACATGTACTACAGTAGTAGTACTATTACTACTACTAATACTAGTACTAGGAAATTAGAGGCCACATGCCACCTACTGCTCTCTTCTCTCCGAAACTCAACACTTGCTACTACTACTAGTACTAGTAAGTAGTAGTCGTCTTCCTCTATTATCATGGACTCTCTGTTAGGTGTGGAAGAATACTACTACTAGTAGTAGTGCTAGTAAGTAGTAGTATTCTTCCACACCTAACAGACACTACTGTATAATTAACTGTATACATGCAAGTCACAGTAAGTGTTTAATTTTGGCAGTTGGGGAATGAATCGACCACAACAAGGCTCAAGACTACAGTCATCATACTGTTACGCTGTAGTACCATACGTATCTATTATTGCACGATTAAAGAGGTCAATATATGAAATATAGAACGAGTAAAAGACCGAGGTCCCCCGAGGTCTTTTACGAGGTCTATATTTCATATATTGACCGATTATGAGGGCAATAATAGATTTATCACGACATAGCATACCTAAAACTGTTTTTGCTTTGCTATAGGAAGAAAGGAATACTATTGTAATAGTATAATAGTATGTACATATGCCGTTTACATTGGACATTACTTCTGTGTAAACCAAAGTTTTCAGTTGTCTCTTGTAGTATGTTCCCCAAGTTCTTTGACTGAGAATCTGATAGTTTGGGTTCAAATCCCAGCATTTGGCTTCAGATTTTTCTTCTTTCAGTTCTGATTTTTTTCTAAGTTGAGGAAAAAGTTCTAAGTCCTCGGGCTAAGTGGTCAATAATAAGTGGTCAATATAAGCGGTCAATATATGCTGATATTTGACCGCTTAGAGATCACAAGTTTCTGTGGGGGACAATAATAAGAGAGTGATAAAAGTCATTATACTGTCCCTAGCCGTTCATTCGGCTGCATGCATAGCAGGCTCGAGAGATACATTGTAGCTGCACACTGAAAGTCAGTGGGTACAGGGTGAGGATCTAGGATAATAGTACCTTCTAGATCTCACTGGTCCGTTCATATCAGCTTTCAAGAGGCTATCGTTATCCCATCAAAGGAAATGACAGCGTAATACTATTAGTAGCATGCCAGTGACGTGTGAAGGAGTGCATTCACATAATACAATGTGCAATCACCATGATTGTGATAGCACGGTCACGGTGTTACAGTACTCAGCAGTTCGTTAGTTCGATGACGACAGGCTTTGTTGCCACAGACAAAGAATGAAAGATTACGAAATCATCTAACCGCGCATCTACAATACATGACGTACCGGTACATGTACTTGAGAACGGGTATAGTGGATAAGGAGGGGGAAAGATTTGATACACCCACTGCTGTCAGCAGCCCTGCATCAAGACTCAAGTAAGTTGCAATGGAGAGCAGCCACTGGAGAAGCATCCTGTCTTACAATTGTATAATTATTACTAACAGGCCGTGGAGCTGGTGAGAGATATTGCGGCAGCTTCAGAGGCAAATGGACTTACGTCACTACTAGTACATGTATTTGCAGTCCTTCCCTAAAGTTTGACAATTTGCAACCATTCTCCTTTTTGTCTCAAACCAAGAGCATTATAGGCATTTCTGAAGCAAAGAACATCAGCATTAAAGGTAGTTTTTAGAGCATTATGGTTAGCATTATACAAACGTTTTCGGAGCATTATTTGCTGAACCCTATTCCATACCCCGGGACGCAGGCCACAAAGGACACGCACTCGTTTATGTACATTATTATTAAACTTGAACTAGGGTTGGTTGGTTGGTTGGTTGGTATATTTTATTTTACTTCGCCAGAATGAACAGGCATTGCTGCCTTCTTGCCTGGACAAGTGGATTGTCCAAGCTCTCACAAAAAGACGAAGAAAGGAAAGAAATATTACATGAGAGTGTGAAGCATGCAATCTTATAAAATAAAAAATAAAATAAAAATTTCCATGAGAGTGTGACGCATGCATGATGAGAGAGGAGAGATAGATATAGATAGAGAGAGAAAGAGAGAGAGAGAGAGAGAGAGAGAGAGAGAGAGAGAGAGAGAGAGAGAGAGAGAGAGAGAGAGAGAGAGAGAGAGAGAGAGAGGAATGACGAGAAAACAGGGGCAACAACTCCACCTGGACGAACAAGAAGACTGAAGAGACAAGCGTAGAGACTCACAAATCAGTGTTGAAATCACGCATGCTCATATCACGCATGCACGCGAGACAAGAGACAGTTTGGAGAACTTCATCATAGAAAAACAAGTCATCTTTCTACAACACCTTGTTGACATTCAACAAAATCAAATAATAGGATAAACCAACACCACGTTCCACATGCACAACAGTCGCATGTAGCAAAAGGAACCACAGCAAAAGGGGAAAACCGCAAACTAGCCCGCTGACATTGCAATAATTTTGTAGCAAAACAAGCCAAAACTCAACAAACCAAAAATGCGACAGAAAACTACACATGTACACAAGACAAGAGACATGGGTGATGTCATCATTCAGAAAAACAATACATCGTTGTACAACAATAAAATGCACTGAATGCTGTTTTACATTTATGATTATATACATCAAAATTAATGTGGGTGTTGATAGCGGAGGGTGTTAGGATGGCACAACCAGCAAATGAACGTTAGGCGAGGTTACTACATGTACGGAGGCCTCAAAGTGTGAGTACTGAGGGTGGGGCAAATACATGTATATACCCACACACTTGCATAGTCACTGTAGGCACACACACACACACACACACACACACACACACACACACACACATACACGCACGCACACACACACACACACACACACACACACACACACACACACACACACACACACGTGACATACTAGATTCTTCTAGTGCTGATTGTATTCAGCACACCAGTACCAAAAGCACGGCGCCACACCTGGACAATTAGAAATAATCTCACCTAAACTGCAATTTCTGGCGCGAGTATCTTCTGATTTGGTGCTCCTGCCGATATTGCCGGTTTTTAATAACTGGTGATGCTGGTGTGACAGTGCAGTGCATGTTCAGTTGGATCCCGGCATTTGCAGGTTTGCATGCTTCTCCATATTCGCCTTGTGGGTACGCATATGCCGGTAGCGGTTGGAGGACATTGAGAATGCCTGTTCACAGCCCGGGATTGTGCACTGATATGGTCTCTCGCCTGTGTGTGTTCTCTTGTGCGATTTTAGACTATACTTCGTCTTGAAGGTTTTTCCACACTCTATGCAAGGATATGGCCTCTCGCCAGTGTGCACTGTCCTGTGTCTTTTGAAGTCCGACGGATACGAGAAACTCTTTTTGCATTCCGGGCAGACTATTTTGGCTTTGGCAGATTTTGCAGGTTCTTTAGTCGACGGCTGCTGTCCAAGTAAGTTACTCTGTGGTAGCGGCTCGACGAGGTCGTGTTTATGTGGTGGCATTACATGCAATCTGGGAATATGTGGCGGCTTGTGATGTTGTTGTCGTTGTTGTTGTTGTTGCGGTAGGCCCCTTGCTAGTGATGGTGATAGCAACACATCACTACCACGCGATGGCGCAAACACATCATGATGTAATCCTGTATTTACAACGGAGGGCATAGCGGTAGAGACCTTTGGCAGGTAGGGAAAGATTGCTGCATCACTCAAGCCGTTGGGTAGGTTAGGCTGAAGGAGTGGTTCCGCCTGACCTAGGTTTAAGGAGAATGGTGTCGCTGAGTTATCAGGTTCTTTCATTGACAGCTGCTGCCCGAGGCAGGTGTTCTGTGGAAGTGGCTCACTGAGGTCGTGACGACGACGACTTGGTGGCATTTCCGGTAAACTTGGAATATATTGTCGTCCTTGCCTTGACACTGCCATCGCATTCGTGTCACCAGTAGGCGCAAACACATCATGAGGGAATCCTATATTTCCAAATGAGCTGACGTCTATAGAAACTTGTGGCGGGAACGGAAAGAGTGCTGCATCATTCAAGCTGTTGGAAGTATGCTGGTTAAGGATCGGTGCCGTCTGACCTTGGTGGAAGGAGAATGTTGTCGCTGGGTTTTCAGGTTCTTTCATTGACGGCTGCTTTCCGAATACGTTACTCTGTGGTAGTGACTGGTTGAGGTCGTGTGGACTTGGTAGCAAGTCAAGTAAGCCAGCAATATTTGGCGGCTGGAGATGCTGTCGTCTTGGCTGTAAGGCCATTGCTGGCGCTGGTGCTGCCGTCAACTTACTATCACCCAAAGGCGCAAACGCATCATGATGTACGAGTCGTGTGTTCACATTGGAGCCCATCCCCGTAGAGACATCTGGCAAGGAGGGAAAAAGTACTCCATCAAACAAGTTGTCATAGTCCTGGTGATCCTGAAGCTGAAGATTTGCTGCCGCCAAATTTTGTAGGTAGGAGAATGGTGTCGATGCGCTGCGTGATTGGTCTTGTGGAACCAAAGCGTCGTGAGCGTAGGGGTTTGACGCTGCACCACTGTGACTGAGTTGATCAAAGGTAAACCGGCTCATCCTGCATGCGTTGCTATTGTCCATGGCAAAGACAAAAACTCACAAGGTGAAACAGAAACAAAATGGAGAGGTTCTGAACAACGGTTGCAGTGAATAGGCATGGATCTGGGTGGTGGTACGAGTTAATAGGGAGTTGATGGTGATGAGATACGATGTTGAGGTGCAGGTGGGAATGTCTCTCAGTTAGTGGTTCTGGAGTTATGCAATGTTAGTGCTGCGGGTCGATACAGGTGAGAAAGGGGAAATTGTTAGGGGTGTAGGTGTGAAGTCTAACCATAGGTGTTGGTGTGCGTGGAAGATAGACGTTGCAAATGTGGCAAGTCATGCTCGATAGGGTAGGTTTGTCAGGGTGATGGTGTGCTGTATTAGTCTGCCATCAGCTGAAGGCAGGTGAGAAGTGGTAATCTGGGCTAAAATTGAAGGACTGTGATTGAAATTAGAATAGAGATTCACGTGTGCAATGCGTTTGTGCATGCAGCATTGTGTAGTTTTTTTCATTTGGGGAGGGGGGGGGGGTAGCCATCATGATAATCATACTCTTTGAGGTGTCGTTCGCTTGCTTCTTGCCATATTTCACAATGAACGCATCTCCTGTTTTAGAATAGTATATCAGCACTCAAATGCATGGTTATCTGCCAATCTGTGCAGTTTTCTACCTGAAGAGTTGAGGTATTACTCTCGACATAACGCTAGCTGACATTAGAGAGGTTCGGGAAAACGAAAATGCGTGCAAACCTTTGCTCTACATCATGAAGTGATTGAGTAACTTCGCACGAATTTTCGCAACTTTCTACTCGCCACTTGTACTTGTTGTCTTGGTGGTATGACTAGTAACCTGGAAATATGTGGCGACTGGATATGTTGTCTTCCTCGGTGTAAGACCATTGTTGGCTCTGGTGCTGATATCACATTACTGTAACTCAAAGGCGCAAACACATCATGATGTGTGAGTCATGCATTTACATTGCAGCTCTTGCATGTGGAAACAGCACGCCATCAACCTGAGACTCTTACCCTATTGAACATGACTTGTCACTTTTGCCAATTCTACGTTCCACGCACACCAACACCTATTGCCAGTCTGCAATCTGACCATTTTCGATTTCTCACTTGCATCGATCCTCAACAATTACCACCCACAACTTCAGCACCACTAAATGAGAAAAATTCTCACCTGCATCTTACCACTGAATCTCATCACCATCATCTACTTTTAAACCATTTAAAAAAAACTCGATCCATCACCGAGAATCCTGCGTATTCACTACAATTGCTGGTCAGAATCTCAAATATTTCTTTATGTTTCGACTTGTGTAGTAATTCTTGGCCATGGACAATAGCCATGCACTCAGGATGAGCTATTTTGCCTTGGATCAACTCAGTCAGAGTAATGAAGCGGCAGGTACCTACCCTCATAACAGATTGGTTCAACCGAAGACCAATCACACTGTGCACGGACACCATTCTCCTACCTCCGAAGTACGACTGAATGCACCAATTAGGTCCCGGCGGATAATGCTGGAGAATTTGATGGATTCTGCTTTTCAATATACTCGCATTCTGCTCCAAAAAAGCACTGATAATGCTTGAATTCTGAATATACAAGAACCACAGAATTATTATTACTCAGCAGGCAAAGGCGTGGTAGCTGGTAGTAGTCGCGAGGGCATTCCGCATTCTCACGAACATCCCATATTTTGCAGTAATACGCTAGTTTTCGCAAGAATATGCTAGTTCTCGCAAGAATATGCTAGTTCTCGCAAGAATATGCTAGTTCTCGCAAAAATATGCTAGTTCTCGCAAGAATATGCTACTTTTCGCAAATTATGTTAGTTAGTTTTCTGCAAAACGTACGGGATTATGATAGCGCAATGCTAGTTTCCAGAATAAGCTAAATATGCTAGATAAAATGTTAGCACTATCCGCTGGGGACCTAGCACCAGTCCTTCAGCCTAACTATTTGATGCGGGATCACCGGGGCTACACTAGCAGCCTGCATTACACACCACCCTTTCCGTCCTTGCCACAAGTCTCTACCGGGATTGACTCGATTGTAAATACAGGACTCGTACATCAAGATGTATTTGCGCCTCCGGATGATAGTAATTTGATGGCAGCACCAGAGCTGCCTCTAGTGCATGTGTGCGTGTTTTTTCTTGCCTTTTACCCTATGCTGATGTCTTTGTTTGAGATTTATGAAAATGACGAAAAATTGGCAGCAAAGAAAACGGAGGTTTTTGTTGTTGGGCGGGAGATCGGGAGAGGTTTCAAAAACGTCAAAAAATCGGGAGATCTTGTGGCTGATCGGGAGATTTGGAACCACTACCAATGTTTATGGGGTCGTTTTTTGCGACCTCTTTGTACTCCGCTCTTCAGTACCTAATACCTTACAATGTCGAGATTGCATTCACTCCCCCAATAGCTTAGTTCTACCCTGCGATTTTCATTCACGCTACGGTCTGTTTTATCTTTATTATTTGACTGCAGACAGATAAAATAAAAATCCATCTGATATTCGCACTGCTGCATCCCCATTGCTATTTCGACATGCATTATTTCGTAGAGTACCGATACATCTTGTAACGGTATCACGGCCATTCGTACCCAGGGGCGCAGGACACAGGAGACAAGCACTCGTTTGTTTGCATTAACGTATTTGAACAAAGGACATGACGGGATACCAGGGACAACAACTCCACTGGAAGGAACACAAAGACTGAAAAAGACAAAACTGAAGACTCAAAAATCACGAATGCTCATATAACGCATCTATGCGAGGCAATAGACAGTTTGGGGAATGTCATTATGCAGAAAAACAACACATCGTTCTACATCACCTGCCCCCTTGATGACATTCTAAAAATCAGTACACGGAACAAACGACCACCACGTTCCACATGCACAACAGTCACATGTAGCAAAAGGAACCACAGCAAAAGAGAAAAACCACAAACGAACCAGCAGACATTGTATCAAAACAAGCCAAAACTCTATGCTATTTTGTATCATATATATCAAAGAAGTGAGGGTTTTTGATCGCGGAGTGGAGGGATGTCTGAACCGGCAAATGCATTTTTAGGCAAGTACGAGTACACGTGCATGTATGGCGGTCTGGGTGTGGCACCATATTAATTTTTGGGAATTGAGGGTATGAAACGTACATACCCGAATAGTAGTACTGAAGGCACACACACACGCACACATGTGATCAGATTCTTCTATTGCTCATATTCGGCACAGTGCGCCCCAGTGTGCAAAGCATGCCCCTGCTCATAATTGGAATTAATCTCACGTAAACTGAGACTTCTGTCTCTGGTTTCTTCTTATTTGCTGCTCCTAGATCCTGCCGACATTGTTGTTTTTGAACTGGTGATGCGGGAGCAATAGTGCACTGTCTGTTTAGTTGCATCCACTGGCAGGTTTGGTTTGCTTCTGGGTATTCGCCTTGTGGCCAAGCACATGCCGGTTGCGGTTGGAGGACTGTGAGAATGCCTGTTCACAGCCCGGGATTCTGCACTTATACGGTTTCTCGCCTGTGTGTATTCTCTTGTGTTCGGTTAGTGTCCATAGCTGAGAAAAACGTGAGTTGCATCTGTCGCAATGATATGGCTTCTCCCCGGTGTGTTTTCGGACGTGCACAGTTAGACTACGCTTCCGCGAGAAGGCTTGTCCACACTCTGTGCAACGATATGGCCTCTCGCCAGTGTGCACTGTCAAGTGTCTTTTGAGCTGCGACGGATAAGAGAAACTCCTTTTGCATTCCGGGCAGACTCGTTTGGCTTTGGCAAATTTTTCAGGTTCTTTACTCGACGGCTGCTGTCCAAGTACGTTACTCGGTGGTAGTGGCTCGCTGAGGTCATGGTGATGCGGTGGCATTACCTGCAGCCTGGGAATATGTGGTGGCTTGTGATGTTGTTGTTGTGGTTGTTGCTGTTGTGGGCCTCTAGCTAGTGATGGTGATAGCAACACATCACTACCACGCGATGTCGCAAACACATCATGATTTAATCCTGTATTTACATCGGAGCGCATAGCAGTAGAGACTTTTGGCAGGTAGGGAAAGATTGCTGCATCACTCAAGCTGTCGAGTAAGTTAGGCTGAATGAGTGGTTCCGCCTTACCTGGGTTTAAGGAGAATGGTATGGCTGAGTAATCAGGTTCTTTCATTGACGGCTGCTGCCCAAGTAAGGTGCTCTGCGAAAGTGGCTCACTGAGGTCGTGACGACGACTTGGTGGCATTTCCGGTAAACTTGCAATATATTGTCGTCCTTGCCTTGACACGACCATCGCATTCGTGTCACCAGTAGGCGCAAACACATCATGAGGGAATCCTATATTTCCAAATGAGCTGACGCCTTTAGAAAATTGTGGCGGGAACGGAAAGAGTGCTGCATCACTCAAGCTGTTGGAATTATGCTGGTTATCCGGCATTAGGCTATGCGGAAGAATCTGTGCCGTCTGACCTTGGTGGAAGGAGAATGTTGTCGCTGGGTTTTCAGGTTCTTTCATTGACGGCTGCTTTCCGAATACGTTACTCTGTGGTAGCGACTGGTTGAAGTCGTGTGGACTTGGTAGCAAGTCAAGCAAGCCGGGAATATTTGGCGGCTGGAGATGCTGTCGTCTTGGCTGTAAGGCCATTGCTGGCGTTGGTGCTGCCATCAACTTACTATCACCCAAAGGCGCAAACGCATCATGATGTACGAGTCGTGTGTTCACATTGGAGCCCATGCCCGTAGAGACATCTGGCAAGGAGGGAAAAATTACTCCATCAAACAAGTTGTCATAGTGCTGGTGATCCTGAAGCTGAAGATTTGCTGCCGCCAAATTTTGTAGGTAGGAGAATGGTGTCGATGCGCTGCGTGATTGGTCTTGTGGAACCAAAGCGTCTTGAGCATAGGGGTTTGACGCTACACCACTGTGACTGAGTTGATCAAAGGTAAACTGGCTCATCCTGCCTGCGTTGCTATTGTTCATGGCAAAGACTAAAACTCACAAGGTTACACAGAAACAAAATTGAGAGGTTCTGAACAACGGTTGCAGTGAATAGGCATGAATCTGGGTGGTGGTACGAGTTAATAGGGAGTTGATGGTGATGAGATACGATGTTGAGGTGCAGGTGGGAATGTCTCTCAGTTAGTGGTTCTGGAGTTATGCAATGTTAGTGCTGCGGGTAGATACAGGTGAGAAAGGGGAAATTGTTAGGGGTTTAGGTATGTAGTCTAACCATAGGGGTTGGTGTGCGTGGAAGATAGACGTTACAAATGTGGCAAGTCATGCTGGATAGGATAGGTGTGCCAGGGTGATGGTGTGCTGCATTAGTCTGCCATCAGCTGAAGGCGGGTGAGAAGTGGTAATCAAGGCTAAAATTGAAAGGCTGTGATTGAAAGTAGAAAAGAGATTCACGTGTGCAATGCGTTTGTGCATGCAGCATTGTGTATAGCTTTTCATTTTGGGGAGGGGGGGGGGGGGTAGCCATCATGATAAACAAACTCTTTGAGGTGTCGTTCGCTTGCTTCTTGCCATAATTATCGCTGAACGCATCTCCTGTTTTAGGGTATGTCAGCACTCACGTGCATTGTTATCTGCCAGCCTTTCCAGTTTTCTACCTGAAGAGTTGAGGTATTATTCTAGACATGACGCTGGGATAGATTAGAGAGGTTCTGAAAAAACGAAAATGCGTGCAAACCTTTGCTCTACATCATGAAGTGAAAAACTTTGCACGAACTTTCGCAACTTTGTGCTCGCCACTTGTACTTGTCGTCTTAGTGGTATGGCAAGTAACCTGGAAATATGTGGCGACTGGATAATGTTGTCTTCCTCGGTGTAAGACCATTGCTGGCAGTTTGGGAAATATCATCATAGAGATAGGAAATACATCGTTCTACAACACCTGCCCCCCCCCTTTGATGACATTCCACAAATAAATTTTGATGTTGTTTGTTTGTAGTGATAATTCAAGTCGGCAGGAAAACCGCGAGCTCCCATGTAGGGAGCAACAAACTCTTCCCCTGTTTCTTTGTTTGTTTACCTTTTTTGAATTCACAAATCCAAAACGGGTACATGGAATAAACGACCAAAACGTTCCACATACACAACAGCAACATGCAGCAACAGGGAACACAGCAAAAGAGAAAAGCCACAAACCAACAAGGTAACATTGTAGCAAAACTAGGCAAACCAAGAATGCGACTAAATGCGAGACAAGAGACAAGAGACAGGGGGGAATTAAATCATTCCGAAAACCAATATAATACCCTGTACATATACTGTTTTGCAATATATAAATCAAAGACGGTAGGTTGTTGTTAGCGGAGGGTGTTAGGATGGGTGCAGCAGCAAATGCAGTTTAGACCAGGATACTACATGCACACACACACACTTGTCAGATCATTCTATTGCTCAAATTCCACACAGTGCACGCCAGCACAGATACCATGTTTACAAAAACGTACACCCCGATAACCGCATTTCCTAGCGCTGTTAGTTTCTGATTTGGTGCTCCTGCCGACATTGTCGTGTTTGAACTGGAGATGCTGGTTCAATAGAGCAGTCCCTGTTCAGTTGCATCCATTGGCAGGTTTGGTTTGCTTCTCGATATTCGACTTGTGGGTACGCACATGCAGGTTGCGATTGCCGGACTGTGAGAATGCCTGTTCGCAGCCCGGGATTGTGCACTTATATGGTTTGTAACCTGTGTGTGTTCTCTTGTGCACAGTTAGATGACACTTCGTCTTGAAGGTTTTTCCACACTCTATGCAAGGATATGGCCTCTCGCCAGTGTGCACTGATATGTGTCTTTTGAAGGCCGACGGATACGAGAAACTCTTATTGCATTCCGGGCAGACTAGTTTGGCTTTGGCAGATTTTGCAGGTTCTTTAGTCTAAGGCTGCTGTCCAAGTTAGGCGCCGGTCACACATTCAGGCGGCGACATTCAGGCGGCGACACCGCTTTTGCGGCTGCCTCCAACACGCTGGCAGTGGGCGCTTTTGCGGCTCTTTTCTGCCGGCGGTCACACATGCAAAGGCTTTGGTACGCACGCAGCTTCACGGGTCTCCACAGGTGTCGTAAAACTTTTCTATGAAAAAGACTGTAGCCTCAAAATTCCTTTCCTGCGCTGGTATGGATCACAGAAACGCCCAGAATCGCCGACTACGTCGTGACCAGCGACTGCGGAGAGCTATGAAGATTGCCTCAATATTCATGTTGTTCAATTTCTCTTCGTTTGAATCTTGCGGAAGCTCCTTGAGCATCGGTGGACGCCTGAGTAGGGACCGGCGGATTCTGCTCGAAAAGGTAGCAGATTCTGCTCGAAAAGCAGTGAAATTGGCAGAACCATACAAACCTTATGGCGGGCAATTCCTCGAATTCTGACCTTTTTCTTTATCCACATACCAAACATGCATGAAACTTACCAGAAAAAGTACCGAATTCTGCCAATTGTTCTGCCGGCAAAATCCGCGGGACCCTAATTGCCCGCCATAAGGTTTGTATGGTTCTGCCAATTTCACTGCTTTTCGCGCAGAATCTGCCACCTTTTCGAGCATAGTCCGCCGGTGCCTACGCCTGAGTCGAGTCCCATGTCGGATGGTTGACCTCGAAATAGAGGGAGAGGAGCAGTTGCTCTTGGTCAGCAGTCCACTTCATGACGAGAGATGAAAAACTAATTTTTCCAAGATCCAAGAGATCCAACAACGACAACGCCGCAAAAGTTGCACTACCGCTTTTGTGTTTCGCCACCAATTTTTTGGTTGTGGCGCTTTTGAGATTGCCGCCGTGGCGCCAGTGGCGCCAGGCGCAGTATCCATGGTGATCCGGGGATATCCCAACTTTCGTGGTGCAGCTTTGGTACCTGTAACCTTGGAATATGTGGCGGCTTGTGATGTTGTTGTTGTCGTTGTTGTTGTAGGCCCCTTGCTAGTGATGGTGATAGCAACACATCACTACCACGCGATGGCGCAAAAACATCATGATTTAATCCTGTATTTACATTGGAGGGCATGGCGGTAGAGACGTTTGGCAGGTGGGGAAAGATTGCTGCATCACTCAAGCAGTTGAGTAGGTTAGGCTGAATGAGTGGTTCCGCCTGACCTGGGTTAAAGGAGAATGGTGTCACTGAGTTATTTGGTTCTTTCATTGACAGCTGCTGCTCGAGTAAGACGCTCTTTTGGAAGTGGCTCACTGAGGTGACGACGACTTGGTGGCATCTCCGGTAAACTTGGAATATTTTGTCGTCCTTGCCTTGGCACTGCTATCGCATTCGTGTCACCAGTAGGCGCAAACACATCATGAGGGAATCCTATATTTCCAAATGAGCTGACGTCTATAGAAACTTCTGGCGGGAACGGAAAGAGTGCTGCATCACTCAAACTGTTGAAATTATGCTGGTTATCCGGCATTAGGCCATGCGGAAGGATCGATTCCGCCTGACCTTGGTGGAAGGAGAATGTTGTCGCTGGGTTTTCGGGTTCTTTCATCGACGGCTGCTTTCCGAATACGTTACTCTGTGGTAGTGACTGGCCGAGTTCGTGTGGACTTGGTAGCAATTCAAGTAAGCCGGGAATATTTGGCGGCTGGAGATGCAGTCGTCCTGGCTGTAAGGCCATTGCTGGCGCTGGTGCTGCCGTCAACTTACTATCACCCGAAGGCGCAAACACATGATGTAAGAGTCGTGTGTTCATATTGGAGCCCATGCCCGTAAAGACTTCTGGCAAGGAGGGCAAAAGTACTCCATCAAACAAGTTGTCATAGTGCTCGTGATCCTTAAGCTGAAGATTTGGTGCCGCCAAACTTTGAAGGTAGGAGAATGGTGTCGATGCGCTGCGTGATTGGTCTTGTGGAACCAAAGCGTCGTGAGCGTAGGGATTTGACGGTACACCACTCTGACTGAGTTGATCAAAGGTAAAATGGCTCATCCTGCTTGCGTTGCTATTGTCCATGGCAAAGACTAAAATTCACAAGTTTAAACAGAAACAAAATGCAGAGGTTCTGAACAAGGGTTGCAGTAAATATGCAGGAATCTGGGTGGTGGTAGGAGTTAATAGGGAGTTGATGGTGATGAGATACGATGTTGAGGTCCAGGTGGGAATGTCTCTCAGTTAGTGGTGCTGCAGTTATGCAATGTTAGTGCTGCGGGTCGATACCGGTGAGAAAGGGGAAATTGTTAGGGGTGTGGGTGTGTAGTTCAACCATAGGTGTTGGTGTGCGTGGAAGATAGACGTTACAAATGTGGCAAGTCATGCTCGATAGGATAGGTGTGTCAGGGTGATGGTGTGCTGCAGTAGTCTGCCATCAGCTGAAGGCGGGTGAGGTGTGGTAATGTGGGCTAAAATTATGAGGCTGTGATCTAAAATAGAAAAGAGATTGGCGTGTGTAATGCGTGTTTGCATGCACTGGGGGGGGGGGGGGGGGTAGTCATCATGATAAGCATGCTCCTTTAGGTGTCGTTCGCTTGCTTCTTGCCATAATTCACATTGGACGCATCTCCTGTTTTAGAATAGTATATCAGCACTTACATGCATGGTTATCTGCCAATCTGTGCAGTTTTCTACCTGAAGAGTTGAGGTATTACTCTCGACATAACGCTAGGTGACATTCGAGAGGTCCTGAAAAACGAAAAATGCGTGCAATTTAACGCTCTACGTCGAATGAAGTGGGATACTTCGCACGGACTGTCGCAACTTTGTACTCGCAACTTACATTTGTTGTCTTGGTGGTAGTAAGCTGGATTTATGTGGCGACTGGATATTATGTTGTCTTCATCGGTGTAATGCCATTGCTGGATCTGGTACTGATATCACATTACTATCACTCAATGACGCCAACACATCATGATGTACGAGTCCTGTATTTACATTCGAGCTCTCGCCCGTGGAGACTTGTGGCAAGGACGGAAAAGGTACTCCATCACACAAGTTGTCATAGTGCTGAAGATTTGGAGCCGCCGAACTTTGGAGATAGGTGAATGGTGTTGGTGCGCTGGGTTATTGGTCTTGTGGAACCAAAGCGGTTTGACGCTAGAGGAC